ACCAGCTGCTCCAAAATCACCTCGCCCGCGCCCGGCCCGTCTACCATGCGATCCTTGACATGGATAATCACCACTTTCAGTCCCTTGAGCGGCTGCTCCGGCAACTGCCGCGCCAGCTCCGCGTTGACGTCCACGTCAGCGTGGGAGTCCACGTCCATCATGTCGCGCGTGTTGCCGTTGAGGTAGAGCGACATGGAGGTGGCAGGAGTTACGTTGGATGCGGCGGATGAAGACACGGGGCCTCCCGACCCTGACCCTGACCCTGACCCCCCTCCTGACGAGGCCGAAGAAGAGGCGTTGTTGTTAACACTGGGGTGGTTGAGTTGGGAGAAGTGTACGGCTGCTGGTGTTGCTGGGGGCGGGAGGGGGGAGGTGGACATTGCGTTGGATGGCGACGGGGAGCCGTATGGCGAGGTAGGCTCGGAGAGGTGGAAGTGGGGGAGTTCAGGTCGGGAAAGGCCCATTTGATGTTGTTGGAGGGCAGCGTTGAATGGTGGTTGGTGGTTGGTCGTGGCGCGCTGCTGGAAGTCGTCGAGGGACATCTCGCCTGTGGGAGTGGCTAGGTGGGGCGTGTCGATTCTGAAGCCGGTTGGGTTACGCGGATTGACACCGTCATTTTCATACAACGAGGTGGTGCTTGCTGCTGCGGCGGCTGCTTGCGCGGAGGCTGAGCTGTGGCGGTTCTCGTAGCGCTTGCGGGATTTTGGGGAGATGGAATCTTCGGTTGGATGCCGAGGGTCTTGTTGCTGTGATGAATGTGGCTGTTGGCTTTTGTCTGCTCCTGCCCCTGCTGCTGTCGATGGTTCTCTCCTGGTTCTGAATCCAGGGTGCGCACTGGCTGCTCGCACCTGGGATGTTATCGTCCTTCGTCGGGTGTTGCGGTCGTCCTCCTCTTGGCGTTTGCGTTTCTTATCACTGCCGACGCTTCCGTAGTCGGAGTAGCTCCGTCCCATGGGGCCAGGTCGAGAGGTTGACTGGCGCTTGATACCGTGTTCCGTTTCGTACTTTCTGCGTAGGATGTCCATCCTCGCGGCTGTTACCTCCTCAGCCAAGGCGGTCAATTCCTCCATGATGTACCTTGGTGTGAGATGCCCGAACAGACGATCATCCGTCTGGGAATCGTCAAAGCTGCATTCGATAAAAATCGCAGTGAGCTTCCCACTGGCTATCTTGGGCGCGGCCTCTCGCCAGATGTTCCGGTTCCGTGGTGACAAACTGACGGAGTCTGGCTCAACGTCACCAAAGATGATAATCTCCCTGCCTGTGGTCACATCGCGGATGAAGTAGGCCGAGCTGTCGTAAACACATATTGATTCATCTGTTGCGTGTCCGCCACCGAGACCTGAGATGGAGCTGCTGCGACCGCCGCCGCCGAACAGATTTCCTTGGTGAATAGACATCCGATCCTGGTCTCTTTGCTGCTGTTGTTGAAGTAACGCGGCTAGACTGTTATTAGCTGCCGATATGCTGTTGTGATGAGCAAGCCCACGGGGCCCCAGGTGGGACATGGGCGGGCTCATTACACTCATCGGCGTTGCTCCCATGGAGGAAGCATCGAAGCTTCCCGGGCGCGTGACGCTTCCGCTGCCACGATGGCTGTGCCTCTCATAGCAATGACCATGACTGACAGCCCAAACCTTGACTGCGAGGTCGTCAGTGATCTCAAGATAGCCCTTGGAGTCACCCTCTCCCAGCGCTGGTGAGCCACCCTCTACCAAGCGCGTATACGTCACCAACCCCACTCCGTTGTTCTCATCACTCAGGTTGGGCCAGATGATGTTGTTGAAAATGTGAGTCTTGAAGGCTGCTATCGTGTTGGGTAGGCCGGCGAGTTTCTTGGGTCTGGAACTACCCAGACCTGCTGTGTTGATTACGAAGCCGGAGATGTGATCGAGATGAGGGTGTGTTATTAGGTACGTGTCGATCAGGGTCCGGTGAATGAAAGATGCATTGGCAGACGATGTAGCCATAGGAACCTGAAGCCCTGCAAAAGGCCCTGTTTTGAGGGTGTATGGCAAAGCGTGTTCTTCATCCTCGCCAAGGGTGGCTGGTTGAGTCTTTGCCAAAATCTGCTCGATGGCACTGAGATGTACGCCTGCATCCACGGCAATGACTGACCCTCTCCTCCAGCCCGCAGCTATTGGGCGTACAAGAAAGGCCGTGACATTGGACTCGAGAGGTCCTCCACCAGAGCCCTGGTAAGCTATGTTAGCTAAAAGCTGGTCCCCAAGAAATTGTTGGTTCATGCATATCGGTGACTTGTTCTGCCGGCATTACGAGTCCCAGTATTTCAATTCCTGCTCGGAGGGAAATCCCACGTGTCCTAGAACATATCCAGGATGGTCGACACGCCTGGATCCTACATAGAGGCCCATCCTTGGTGAAAATTGACATGTCGAAAACGTCTCGAATGGTGCCCTAGCCGTGGCATATTCGCGCTTTGTGGGTGGTGGGGGTGACAGGATCCCATTGTTTTCCGAGCCGAGACATTGAACAAAGGAATATGAAAAGAAGCATGAAGGGGCGATGGTCGAGGCAGATCGAACTACGGCTGCTCGATTTCACAAAGAAAGCGCACAGGCATTCGACCTGTCGCGGACTCTTTCCGGCTAGAGATGAGAAAGAAGGCTGACGGCGTTCTAAGCGGTTGAGGATGATGCTGAGGAATGGGTATGATGGTGAAGGGAGCATGAGAAGGACTTGGATTGGGATGTGCAGTGTAGGTATTGATATTCCTGTCACTCACCAGAACGATGACTTGCAAAGCCGGTGCCGGGGGAGATTCTTGTTGGTCGCTGGCGTTGGTGTTGTTGGCCTCGCCAGGGTCACCATTGGCGCCGCCGCCGCCTCCCATGACCACAAAGATTGATTTTCTCTCAGAGGCTGGGCGAATGAGCCGATAAACAAAATATCTCCCTTGGGTCGGCTTGGAGGTTTTTGTTTTTGGTGTTGGTGAGAGTGGAGTCTCGATGCTTGTTTTGTGTTGGAGACTTGGAGCGGGCGGGGTCTTGGCTTTGCGACCCGATGATGAATGAGATGGGATCGATATGAAAGCAGATGCGCCTCGTGGATAAGCCGGTCAAAGGGAATGCGCAATTCGTCAATGGTTTCGCTTGTTGTTGAGAATATCAGTCCCTTGATGGCGGATGGCCAAGATGCTCTGGTTAACCCATCGAATTACGGGGTTGTTGTCCCTTTGATGGAGCGAAGCCCTATCTTGCTCGGCTTATGGAGGTTGGGGAAATGCGCTAGCTAGGTAGCTAGGTAGGTAGTGTAGCGAGGCTTTGGAGGTGACACCCTCTCTGTACGTCCGTAATACAGACTTGGGTGTTTGATTGTGAGTGGTACAACAACCCGTAAGCGGGACTCACGCCTTTTCGTCGTGTATGAGGGTGATGGCCAAATATCGTGATATGGGACAAAGTGGAAAAAGTTAAGGGGGTCCCGTCGAGGTTGGTGATGGAATTGGAAGTGTGGAAGTGGAGAGAGAGATTGTGAGCGAATTGTGGAACATGGAAGGGAAAGCATTCCCGTCAGAGGCACTGTGCTTCAGTTGGGTGTCAAAGCGCTGAAGGGATCTCCGATTAGTGGGGGTCCCCTCGAGGACCCGACCTTGGACTCCTCTGCAATTTCAACTTTACCAACAATCGTTCCTAGGTATCCATAAAGTTTGCGATATCTTCCCTTGACAAATTCCCATTATCATCATCAAAGTCTCTCCAAGATACCGACATCAGACTACATCACTACAGTGGAGCGCATCAACAAAAGAGCACGTGGCAGCAACCAAGCAACATACCATCCTCACCTTGTCCTGCCTGTCAGATCAGATCTATCAATCCATTGGATCTCTCAACAGTCCGGGGTTCCCCAGATCTGGTACTCGGCAGCAGACCCGCCCACTCTGACGGCAACATGGTCCTGTTCCTTGGACACATGAGCGACCTTTGTGACGCCGGAAGAAGGCCAGGACCTAGTGCAAACACATTGTATGGACGGTTCAATATCATGTTCGACGTGAAATTAAATGAAATCTTTCCGGTGTTGGACATGACTACAAGCCTCCCGAACCCGCGGGCTCGCCGTGCCGTGCCGTGCGTACGGAAGGATTTTGCAAGTGTTGCCGAACGCGAGGCGAGTCGGAAGTTCTTCATCCGTTGTTCACCGTGCGACGGAGTTGCCGTTGGTCGTGGCCGTCTACTTCCCGTCGTCTACGATTCGCCAAGTTCTCACACCCTCTTATATTTTTCTCTGAGAAGGTGGCGTTTCCCCGCAAGACAACAGCAGCCACGGCTTCCTCTACCTTTGGCCAGAGGACTTTCGATTCAGCTGAACATTCTTGCCTCCTATCAGGATTCCAGAACAGCATGATGCTAACCACTAGGCCAGCTGTCCCTTATACAAACTCGGAATGTGGTGCTCGGATGGCCCGACCGGTCTTAGGGTTATGCTGTGCGACCCTCCATCAATGGAAATGTAGAATGCCTTTTCATTTCACAGAGAAAGCGGCCATTGGTCATCTAGGAACGGTATCACACAACAGGTCGATATCATGCCTTGATGCTCGAAAACTAGGAATGATGTTGAAAGACTAGTCTAGTGTAGGTTCTATGTTCCAGGTGACCAGCATCGGAATTCAAGGTCCTGGTAGGAGCATTCTTATCTGCCTAGCCCAATCTCAAGAAATTGGAATGGATCTCCTTTGTCTATACCGAGCCAGAGAAGTCGAGTGTATGATATGATATACCAGCAGTGCGGAGCCCGTCTGACCAATGAGACGCCATATGAAGGACATAGATTGAAGGCTCTCGCACTAAAGATCCCACGGAAACGCATCAGTTATCGAAGACATTCAGAATAGAGGAAGCCAAGATACACGTGAAAAGATGGGAAGAAGTTCAAATATACAAGTGCGCGATGGGATGGAAGACCCAAGGCCAGATGGAAGCACACAAGGAACTGACAAGCGCTGGCATGTGCCATCACAGTTTCATGAGGTTGAGGCAAAAGCTCACCAAGTATTCTACCGATCATCTTACCTGACCTATTGTTCATGCGTCGCAAGTCGTATCAATATGTATCAGACCTCCAACGCTTCTTGCTGTATACTGCACCTTCTTCTCCGTTTCCTCTCAGGGTCTCCTGGTCGATGTAAGCTGAAAACAATGCGTCCGTCATCCGTTGCTTGATATCCACTTGCCGATCTCGCTATTCTATTCTATCATCTATCACAGATTCTCTCGCTCTCTATAGGACTTGAAAATCTCATCAAAGACCCGCAAAACCAGCCCCATTACTCCTTCTCCTTCTTCCTCTCCTCCCTCGCCTTCTTAAGCTTCTCATACCCCTCCATACCCCCAATATCCTTCTCAAAGTCCGGTCTCGGAATCTCCAGGCCCTCCCTAACCAACCCATACGTAATCCCTCCCAACCTCGACACAGGCTTATACACATCCAAATCCATCTGATTCAACTCCTCATTCACCGCCCCCTCTTTAATCCAAAACTTGGTCCCCTCGACAACCACCAGCGTCGACCCCGTCTCCCCCGGCTTCGAGCGGGACTCAAACTCCTTGACATGCACCAACTTGCACTCCACCGCAAACACAGCCTCCTTTGCTCTCGGAGCCTTCACCGTCTGCGTATCATACACGGGCGTCAACCCACTAATCACCCACTCCGACACGCCCAAGGGGGCATTGGTGCTGCACGAATTAGCCGCCTCGAGGAACGGGGTGGACATCAGATTGATGACGCACTCGCCCGTCTCGTGCAGGATGCGCAACGAGTCCTTGGCGCGCGAGGCCGGAGAGAGCGGCGAGGCGAATCCCAAGGTGAAGAGGGGCGGGTCGTGTGAGATGACTTGGAAGTACGAAAAGGGGGCCAGGTTCTCCGTGGTGCCGTCGGCAGAGCGGGTGGACACCAAGGCAATGGGGCGAGGCACGATGGCGGAGATGAGCAGTTTGTAGTTGAATGCGGGCGGGCGGCCTTCGGTGTAGGGGTCGACGATGATGTGCTGCTCGTTCTTCTTGGTCTCGGCAGAAGCAGCAAGAGAGTTGGCGCCCGTGCCGTAAGCCCAGTCTGGTTGGGGAGTTTGGAAGTAGGTGAATTTGGGAGAGGGGTCGAACGCGGGACGAGAGGCTTCGACGGCTTTGAAGTCGCCGTGAGGGTTGCGCTTGAGGACCTTCTCGAAGGCGGCGCTCTTTTCGGCGGCGGATGGTTCGGTGGACATTTTGGCGGGTTTTGTGAATCCCTGGGTTGACTTGAACCTTGAAAATTTGGTGAAGAGAGAAGTGAGGCCTGGTAACTGTTTATGATGAAGTTGTGATAGAGTCGAAGATTTGATAAAGTTGGTTGCTAATGTGAGAACCTTGGAGGTCGGCATGAATGCCCAATTGGGAAGGATTCTCGTGGGTGAAAAGGCGAGTACTCGATGACGGGGAGGGGTTGACGATCAACGGATTGGTAAGTAGGAACAAGGGTTTCGATCGGTGACGCACTTGAAGTGTTTGTAAGACGTGTGTAAGCCGAAGAATGGATATCGTGGTCCGTCTGCGATGTAGCGCTGTGGTCGTCAAGCCTGGATTGTTTGTGGTTGGTTACAGATGAAGATAAGGGATTATGGTACTCTCTCTTATATAAACATGCCAAAGAAATCCGACCTATATCCTAAGCCGCGATCAACAAGGTGTCCCTGCCGAGTTGCCATCGTTCCAATCATTCCATGACACCATCTCGGCATTCGGCGGAAATATCTGGGTCTGCGGGGGAAAGCGGGGATAGCGCGGCGCCTATTCCGCTTGTGATTGCCGGGGTCCACGCAAGGCCGGGATCTAATTGCTGGGGCCGGCGCCGAGGTTCCGGACGACGTACGGTGCTCGGCTTGCACCGGCCGGAAGCCCCTGACAAAGTAAACAAAGGATAGTCGCAAGTGTGAAGTAGTTGCTTGGGTGATGAATGACTTCAAAGAGTGATCGCAAAGCAGCTCTCTTTACCCGCTTTAAGAATAAAAGGTGTGTCTATATATTACCAATATATACCAATCTCTTCGATGCTTCACCCATATCCCTCTATGCCCTGCCCTCAACGTCCTAACATATTGCCCACAATACCCGTAGACCACCTTGCCCTCCTCCTGTCCTTACTGTCGCGTTGGGTATACTTATAAGACCTCAAACTATACCACTTCCCACCCCTATCACTCCGTTCCCCATCCCCGTAAACATACAAATCCGCATCCCAGATAACCTCCTCCACCTCAATACTATCTCCACAGCTACCAACACAGCCATCACACTATGACCTCCTCCCTCCCACCCCTTGGTTAAACCCCCTCATCGCTTCCCTGACAATCCCCTCCGCCTCCGCCACCACATCCCTCCCCTCTCTCCACGTATACAACTTGACCCCCTGCTTTTCCAACAGCTCATGTGCCTCTGCCAATCGTCTCAGCCAAATCTCCAACTTTTTGTTCACCGGCGAGTTCGCGCCTCCTCCTGAAGCAGAGTTACTAGTGGCATACACAGACGCGCCGTTGACCCCGTTCATGGTGTCGTAAGACGTAGCGGGGCGGACGGGGAGGAAGGTGTTGGAGCGACCACCATTGCCACTTCCTAAAGTGCGACTCTCGAGGGGAAGGGGAAGACCCCATTCGTCAGTGTCGGAATCGTAGGAGGAGGAGTTGGTGGTCTGGACGCGGCGAGGTGGGGGGAGGGGTGGTTGTTGGGATTGTCGTGACTGGGATTGGGAAAGGTTGACGGTGCTGGTGCGACGGGGTGGTGGAGGGGGAGGAGCGGGACCTCTGGATCCTGATCCTGACCCGGGCGCTGACGCGGAGGAGTTCTGATGCGAAGTGTTTGGACGGGGAGATTCGCGGGGCTTTGGTGGCAGAGGGGGAGGAGCACCGCCGGTATTGATCTCTGCTGGCGAGCTGCGTAGTGCTGTGGGTTTGGCGGGACGTGGTGGTGGTCCTTTCCTTTGCGGGATGTCACCTGTTGATCTACTGGCATGCATGGCGTTGAGACTGCTGGTTCGAGGGTCATGTACAGGCTGTTGAGGGGGGTCATCCGATAGATCAATTAGATCACCCATGATGGGCCCCTTAGGCTGAGGAGACGACCGTGGCGGAAGTTTCGGCGGCGGCGGCGCCACGTCTCTAGTGTTCGTGGCCGTAGCAGCCCGCATAGTCTGTGCTCTCCTCCTGCCGCTGTCGCTTCTCTCAAGTCCATTGTTCCTGTCCGTAGCCTGTGTGTTCGAAGTGAAATACCCCATGTCCACCTGCTCGGGTGTGGTGACATCTCTGATGAACACGGCCAATATCCTACCGGGATAAGCCAGCGCCAGGTCGGTGTAGACCTCCAGGTCAGCCTCTCCGCTGTCGCCCACAAGGAGAAACTTCCTTTCAGGAAAGTCGCGTAGTATCCTCTCCAGAGTGCCCTTCTTTCTTTCGGCAACTGGCTCAAAGATACCCTGCAGCATACCGCTGTACTGCTTCAGGTCTATCGAACCAGGAGGTAGCCCAGCCTTGTAGAAGAAAGTAGCCAAGACGGGGTACAGTTGCCACGGACTGTTGGAAACATAATGCAGCTTCACTCCCATATTGTGCAGAGAAGTATACAGCTCCTTGACACCGTCAATAGTCTGATCCGCCAAATCACGGACGAAAGTATTCCTGAAAATCTCCCTGGCACCACCATTGATATTCGACCGCTTAATGGTGTCGTCGACATCGCTGATCAAACTGACTCCCCTTGGCTCGATAACCTCGACAGGCTGGGTGGTTGAGATGTTCTCGTTGGCAAGCACTCGGAAGTGTGTCGGGACAAAGTCCAACGGTACGCGAGCGATAAAGTGACCTGACGCATTCGTCTCAATCGTCTTGGACTTGGACCGCTGATCGTTGTAGAAGAAGAGCGTGATGGGCAACCCGACCAGCGGCGTAGCCATGAAGGGCGCTAACCGCGCATTCAGATTCGCGTTCGCAGCCGCTAATTCCGCCTCCGTCATCTCCGAGGGAAATGCTCCCAAGCCGGAGTTCGTCCTCACCGGCGCTGTCGAACTCGGCGGCGATGGCGAGCGTCGTTGCCTCATTGCGCCAAACCCATCATCCATATCATCAGCCCTAGGCCGCTCACTGTACTCGCCTCTGATAGCCGCTTCCTTCTCGCCCTGTCCTCTCCGTTCAATCTCCCTCGCCTCCTTCGCGATCCTTTCCTCTTCCCCAAGCCCTTCCAGATCAGTCACCGTCCTCCGCAAATCACCGCCTCCCTGTTGCGACCCTGCACCTGCCTGCAGCGCTGCAGTCTGTGGTAGCCCGCTCAGCCTTCTCGCAACCCCCAGCACCATGCGATTCTTCCTCGACATCGGGCCCTTAGGTGGCATATATATCCAGCCTCGAATGTCCACATCCACCACAGCCTTCTCATCCTCATGCCTGTTCCACTCTGCTGTCCAGTAATCCCGCTCATCCACTCCAGGGCCAATACCGTTCCCGCCTCCGTTCGGTGTGCCGTACGCATTCCCACCCAAGTCCGAAGGCCGCCTAGGCAGGTGAATACCCTTGACATGCCGCTTTGCGTACGAAGGAAACAAAATCAGCTGCTCCTGTCCCTTGTGAATGATAGGTACCTCCGGGAACGCGCCCGGAATGTGCACCTGCTCTGGCGATCCATCACCCATGTCGCGCGTCAGGCGGGTTTGGCTGTATTGCTCGCGGATCTCGGAAGCGGCCGCTACGCCGGCGCGGTAGACGCTACCGGCCATGGCGGCGAGTTTTCGGCGGCGGGAGCCGGATTCATACGATTGTTCGTTGGCGCCATACTGGCCGGTGTAGCCGTGGGTGTATGGGGACGTCATCTTGTCGTTGGCGTCGGTTTTGCGCTGCGGCAGCGCTTGGGCTTGGCTGTCGTCGGGCCAGTTCGTGTTCGTGTTGCTTGTCTCTTCCCGGTCTCGTAGTAACCGTTGTTGCTTCCAAGGTAAAGACCTCCTCCCAACAAGTCCCGGGCCGAGTCCGCCACCGCTCGCACTACCTATGCCAATACTCTTCCTGACGCCGGCACCACCACCGGTCCCATACACCAACCGCCGGCTCTGGCGGCGGATGATATCCACCAATCTCCCACCCGCCTGTTTCTTCCTTCTTCTTTCAAGGATGAATCGGTATATCCTAGTCTGCAATCGAACCTTGTGTCGCGGGAGGGTGCGGTGGCGGAAGTTGAACAGGTGTTCGCGGTATCGGTCGCGGACGGTCGAGGGCAAGAGATATCGGACGAGAGTCGATCGGGTATGTGCGCGAGGGCCAAAGAGGCGTCGCAGGAAGGGGAAAAGCGCCAGTTTCGTGGATTGCTGGGTTGCCTCCGAAGCCTCGCTTGGCTGGGAGAACCAAGGCTTGAAGGACGGCTCGTTGGGAAGGAAATTGTTCGGTCGAGGATACGGGGATTGAGGCAACCTGCGCTATTGTAGCTTCTCTTCAATTCGGTATGGTAGTTGGTTGTAGCGACCAAATGGAGCGATTTGGTTTATTGAAGTACTATGTAAAGTGAAGAGAGGGTGAAGTGGGATATATAAGAGGTTGAGAAATGCAGGCTGGAGATGCTAAGCTGGTGGCAGTTGACCGCCGTTACTGGACTTGGAGCTTATCGAGTCTATGATTGATCTCTGTGGCTGCCTGAAGCCGAACTTTGTTCACACGCGCGAATCAAAAAGTGAAGAGCCAAGAAAGAGGTCGAAAAAGTGGATGGATTACGACTCGAGGAGGTTTTATGTCAATTGCAGCTGCCTGTTATTCAAGACATCATCCATGGCAAGAGACAAATCACTTCCGTTTACGTCACCCGTACCTGCCGCCGTGACACCCAGGGTCCAGCTTCTGGGTGGGTCAGTCGAGCTCGCCGCAAGGCCCCCTGATCCGCAACTCCACACCCAATCATAGTCCCATGTGAAGAGGCAAGTCTGACCTTGATGATCACGACTCTCTTTGCTGAGGGAAGCAGACAACATCATCAGACAGCTTCTTATTCGTTTTGCCCATCCGGGTATCAACAGCACACTAAACTTAGCTTAAAGCTCAATTACATTCACAAACTCAACAACACAATCGTGCTCCTCACATCTACTTTCTCCTCCCCTTGCCCTTACCACCCTTACCAGCATTGCCGCCCTTCTTTTTAGGCCCAGCAGACCGTCCCACCTTCTTGACGACCTTCTTGAGGTTCAGCACCGCGCCCTTACCGGCTCTCTCGGCGCTGCCCTTCTTGTACGTCCTCTCCTGCTTGCGCTCTTGCATGGTGTCGAGCTTCTTCCTGTCCTTGTTACTCAACTTGCCCTCGTTCTTGGACTTGAGCTTGTCCCTGACGCCGTTGAGCTCGGCCCGGCCCGCCGCCTTGGCCTTCTTCTTGTCCTCCTGCGTCTCGAACCACGTGCGCTTGGGCCTCGAGCTGATCTCGTCCTCGTACTTGATCATGTTCTCGCCCTTCTTGACCTGCATCTCCATGTTCTGCAGCTGCTTCTCCTCCTTCTCCTCCTGCATAATCTCCTCGATCTCATCCTCCAACTCGTCGATCTCGGCCTGCCACTTGTCGGCGTCCGCGGGGTCGATGATGCGACTGCTGATCTTGGCGCCCTGAGACTTGCCGGCCTTGACGGCAGCCTTGACGACCTTGCGATCGGGCTCAGCAGCCAAGGTGATAGCGGTACCGCTGCGGCCGGCACGCGCTGTACGACCGACACGATGGACGTAGATCTCGGGGGTCTGGGGAGCCTCGTAGTTGATGACGGTGTCGACACCCTTGATATCAAGACCACGAGAGGCGAGATCGGTGGCAAGAAGGAAGTTGACCTTTCCATCTCTGAAGTCCTCGACACTTTGAATACGCTGTAGATTCTGTTAGTATCACTTATCCATCTCGAGCACCGTAAATCGCAAACATACCTGAGCCTGGTTCATGCTACCGTGCAACTCGGCGCACGACAATCCAAACAGACCAAAGATGATCCTCATCTTGTGCGCAATCTTCTTTTGTCTGAAGAAGATAATGACACGCTCCGTGTAGATGGTCTTGCAGATGTGCAACAGATATCCTTCCCTCTTCGACTCGCGACCGGGTCTGAGACGGACAAACTCCTGAACAAGCGTACCGGCAGTCTTCTTCTGCGAATCGGCCATAATGCGCACAGGCTTGTTGAGACCGGCGCGAATGAGCCTGTCGACAGACGAGGTCATGGTGGCAGAGAACAGCATGGTCTGGCGGGACTTGGGAAGGGTGGTAAGAATCTCGTTCAACTCGTCCGCGAAACCGTCCTCGAGCATGCGATCGGCTTCATCGAGGACGAGAATCTCGATGGTGTCGACGGCGAAGCTGGCAGAGTTGCGCATGTGATCGATGAAACGACCAGGAGTGGCAATGACCACATCCGGGCGAAGACGGAGCTCGGCCTCTTGCACCTTCAGACTGAGACCACCGACAGCCAGACAGAACTTGATGTCGGTATGGCTGGCGAGCTTGACAGCGACAGCGTGACACTGAATAGCCAACTCACGGGTGGGCGTAAGAATAACGACGCGGGTGGTGGGAACCTTCTTGGGACGGTAGAGGAGACGCTCAAGGATGGGAACGACAAAGGCGGCCGTCTTACCGGAACCGGTGACGGCACCACCGACGACATCCTTACCCATAAGCGAGATGGGGATGGTCTTGGCCTGAATGGGCGTCGGCTTGGTAAAGCCCACGGAAGTAAGACCGCGAAGGATAGGGCGGGAGAGAGACATCTCCTGGAACGAAGCCATCTCGCCCTTCTTCTTAGGCTGATTCTCCTCCTCCGGCGCAAAGAACTCCTTCATCTTGGCCTCCTCCTCCTCATCGATACCCTCTTCATCATCCGATGACTGCACATCATCAGGATGCTCAACAGCCGTAGCAACCGAGTCATCATCCGACGCATCGCCCTCCTCTTCATCCTCTCCCTTCTTCTCCCCATCTTCACCCTCACTATTCTCATCCTCCCCATCAACACCCCCCATCTTCGCATCCTGCTTCTCCTCCTCCTCTTCCACGTCCGACCCAACACCCATACCAAAAGCATCATCAGCCAAGACACCATCCTCATCATCATCCAAATCCACATCAATCTCTTCCATGTCGTCTTCTTCCTCATCAACCTCCATCTTATCCTCCTCCTCTTTTGTTGCCGTAGTTTTCCCCTCCTTAGCAGCCTTCCTCTCCCTCCTCCTTCTAATAATCTCATCGATATCCACAGCCTTCTTGTCCCCGCCCGCGTTGGCGCCCTTCACGACACCCTTGTGCGCGCCCTCGAAACCCCAGCCGTCGAACTCGGCGTCCACTTCGTTCTGGCCGTCGACAACGAACTGGAACTCGGTATCCATGGCGCCGTCGTCTTCGTCGTTGTTGCCCCAGATGCCGAGGTCAGCGGCGTCGTCTTCTTTTGTTTCGGCTTCGCCGTCGTCATCTTCGGTCTGTTGCTGTTTCTTGGACTTTTTGTTGTTGTTCTTCTTCTTTTGCTTGTTCGATTGTTGTGTGGCCGTCTTGGCTTTCTTCCTGGGTACAACTTCCTGCTCCTCTTCTAGTGGGATGTCTTCTTCATTGTCGGAGATGGTGAGGATGAAATCGTCGTCGATCGCTTTGCGCTTTTGGGAGGGCGCCATTGTGGTGGATGGTGTTGCAACGGTCTGTGGCCGTTGTTTGTGCTGTAGTGTTGTGTTGAAAAAAGAACGACGGGAAGCTCTCGATGCTGAGTGGGAATTGGTGGAATCGTCAAGATTGTACAACTGATAGCAGTCAGTGGGGTCTTTTTTCGTCTCTTCCTCCCGCCGCAGAACGAAAGGGAAAACAAAAATTTGGGAACCATGCCCGTCTGTAACTTTTTCTGCCGGGCGGTCAATGTGATTGGAGGATCTGGGAGCCTTATCAGTGGCAGCTGGTCGACAGCTGTGGGGGGATGGGTACGTACCGATGCTGTATACTACACTACAAAAACAGCCCTGACCATCTCAACTATCAAGTGAGTACCTGCCGCTGTCTTCGGGAGCAACTCGTTCAACACCACATTTCCCAAAGAAATTCAATACACGTTTACGTTATAGCGCCAGATGACCTTTTCCTTACTACAGTAGGACTTTATTTATACTTGTGAGGGGCATATGATCTACTATCGTCAACGCAGATGTATCAGCCCGTATTATATGATAATAATACACAGGAGTCATCTACCCCGTCGATATCCAAAATGAACGCCAGACACCTTGCCAATGGTATAATGTTAACCCTCAAACCTTCGCCTCCAAAACATCAGTTGCCCACAGCGTAACTTTCTTCACATGGACCGCCACATTATCACTCGTGTTACCGTGTGGAGAAGCTCGCCGACTCTCCAAGGAAGTCCTGGTCATGCCCCTGGTCCTGCTGGTAAGTCTCCTTCTGCTTCTGCTTCTTCTTCATTTCAGCGCGGATTCGTTCTTTCTGCGCCTTCAAATGCGCCATTTCAACATCATCCAGCAAGAATTTTTGCTCATCGATATCCCTTCCACGTCCGGACGCGGATGCTTGCGGGTAGAGAGGGTCTCGTTGATATCCGTCACCTGGCAATTCGTGCTCAACAATATCCCACGTAGCATGATAGTAGCCATCTTTGGTTGGTGGCAGCTCAGCATGCGCCCTTGGCTCCTCCAGCTTACGGATCGCGCCGTTTTCCATTGCAGCGTACTCCTCTGTCGATGCGTATGGTGGTAAAGGACCGTTGTTACTGGCGCTCGGGAGATCAATATCCTCCCATGGATGCCTCCTTTCGATCAGAGATGCGGGTTCGCCTTGTAATTCAACTCCTCTAGGTGGTCTCTCAATCATGGACTCGTCGGGAGGCACTGTAGGTGAAGTCACAGCTGGTGTGGGCGTTACTCGATTGGGTCCATATGAGATGATTAATGGGGGTTGTGCTCGTTGGGTTTGTGAGGTTGTTGGGTTTGGTCGTGGGAGCGTAGTGGGAACTGAAGGAAGAGGAAGATGTGGCGTTGGAGTTGGAGCTTCGGTTGGGGGAGGGATGGTGTACTGTTCGTAATTGTGGTAATCGGGGTAATAGCCACCGTGAGGTGCTGCGGAGGCCGCAGATAACTGGGGCATTGAAGGCATAGGGGGTACTCCAAGCCGGCTGTCAAGGGAAATCGAGTCGGCAGCAGCGCGTTCATTAAGTTCTCCCCTGGAGCTTGCCCGCGGTGTTAGCGTGGGAGTGACAGGGTTCGGCCCATATGACGTAGGAATTGGCTGGACAGTCTTTGCGCGGGCGGCTTCGAGTTCTCGTCCGGTGATGCTCAAATTTTCCGACACTCCAAGCCCGCCTCCGAGTCCTGCTCTCTCCGTACTTCTCTTCCACGCAGCTCCTGTCGCAGCATCGTGACCCCAAGGTCCTTGATTGTATGACCATGAAGGCGAATGTGACATCACAGGAGAATGGCCGTATATGTCGCTGGAATTGTTTGACCGTACGTCATCATAGCCTGTTGATCCAGGATATCCGTCAAAGACTGGCTGAACTGTATCGTATAGATGACCATCCGACGATGTTTTCGACGACGAAAATCCCCCAAACATCTTTTTCTCGGGACCCTTCCTTCCCTGTCTATACTCGTTCGCGACGATGGCGTTGGCCAGCTCAGCCTGCTGCTGTTTCTTCCGGCGTCTAAAGTATAAGAAGGCGGCCATGGCACCCACACTGAAGCAAGCAAGTGCGATTCCAACGCCCAGGGCGATTCTAGCACCGAGGACAAAGTGGTCGTCGGGATGTGGCGGAGGGCCTGGGATTGCGGTAGAGGAAACGTCAATTGCGATGACGGTCGCGCTGGGGCCGATGGTGGCCGGAAGACGATGGTCGGGATCGCGGTCCTTGGTCAAGATGAAGAACTTGGAACTTTCGACTCTGCAATCGCCCGAACCGGCTTGAAGTTCGAGCCAGCAGGGATATGTCGAAGAAAAATTCAATGGAAAGGGCGTGGTTCCATTACCTGGGGTCGCATGATCAACCGCGAATTCTGTGATAGGGAAAGGTCAGTCTGTCAGCAACGCACATCCCGTCCGCTACGATCGCAATGACGCCATGAGTCTCTTTCTCATTGAGGTAACTTTGTTAGAGGGGAGAGCGATTCGAGCTGAAAGTTTGAGAAATGATCTGTGACCCAAAGGGCTGGGTACCTTGAAAGGCACCGGGGGTCTTGCAAGGCTTAGTGCAGCGGGAGCCGAGAGTGCTGTCGGGAGATTGTAAGATGGGGAAGATGGGGGGAAGGGGGAGGGGGGCTTGCATGTGGGCGGGAGCGGTGACATTGTTGAAGCGAGGGGAAACACTGAACTGAACACTCACTCTTTTCCTTGTCGGTTGAAGTGCCACACCAACAGGAAAGACTCGGCTTGTCAAAGGTTGAAGTATAGGTGACGTTGATGGTGTCGAGAGAGAAGACTCGCAGGTTCTCCGTGGGGAATACAAAGTCGGCTCCACATTGTGCAGTTGCGGTGCCCGCAGACAGAAATGAGGGAATGATGAGCAGCGCGAGCAACACCCAGACTGGAAATCCCAGAGATTGCCTCGATCTCGATGGCGTCGTTGTTTTCAGCGTCCTTGCACTCCAGTTCCAGGTCACCGGTGTCTGTCGAAATGATGCCGCCGTCGTCATCACCGTGGCCAAGCGAACAAAGCGAATCTCTCGTGCTACGAACTCATTGATGTTTGCTGATGGGATCGCGGATCGTTGGATGTTGAGGGGTGAAGTAGTAACGGTAAAAACGCATGAACAGAAGGCCGAGAGCGAGTGACTAAAGGTTGTATGAACGAATGACGGGATCGACAAACTGGACTGATGGATGAAAGTAGAGTTGAAGTTCAGTTGGTTAAGGTGAGATTGACAGAGCCAGGCAAAGGAACTGAAGTGGGCTAAATGACAGGGGATTTCCTAGCGCAGATTGGCGCCAAAGACGGGAGGCAGGAGCGATCAGCAAAGATACAGAGTCGGCCCTGTCGGCGTACCACGACAGAGGGTTAAAGACTATGTCTACCTGTAGGTATCTCTTGAGACACTGGACGGGAAGTGATGGATGACTTCAAACTTCCACTTCAGTCCTGCCCCCAAGACCCAAAAACAACTCTCCTTGGCTCTTTCACTGCACACAGCTCAGATGCATGAAGCCAAGCACCCTGCCACACTTTGATGGACTTGTTGGCTCCTAAATTGGACTTTGGTTCGACAAACTCGAGAATCATCAATGCATGCGCCCCTGAAACCATTCAGCTCACAGCCTCAATCATCATCGTGGTCTGCAAGACAATTCTGACAGTGTGACAACTAAACCATGAGCAGGTCAATCAATTCCTTTCTAACACCCTTCTGTTTTCAGCCTCTTCTTTCTTGATTCAACCTCCTCCTTGTCTCCAAGTATCGTCTCTGAGTATTTGAGGATATATATAACCATCCGGTCCAGGCTCTAAACCCCACCAGGCTTTAGTACAAGATCGGTCATATTTCTCGATGGCCTGGCGAACCCAGGTTGATTGGTTAACGCCTCGCTAATGACTGAACCAGCGCTCGAAAGAAGATTACAGTGACGTTACAAAGGGAGGTTGCGCAAAGAATCCCATTCAGACAAGACTAGCCATGGGGCACATTACCGTATCCTTACAATTCCATTGTATTTGGTCGGCATTGTGGTTCTCTCCAGGCTTCCGGAGCAATCAGATTCAACACATATACCACCAGCGCAGTATCGTCGAGAGGTCCTATCGACTTACAACGAACGGGGTAGTAAACGTTGGACAGCGGACCTAGCGTCTTCTCCGCCTCTATAGAGGTCGTTGATTGGAAGCCTTGATGGCTGCAGGTTAAATCCTTCATTTCTTAGTGTCTTGCTTGGGGGCTAAAAAAGAGTCAAGACCTCAATGAGAAACGTGAAACAGGAAACAAGTGATTCTCTTTCGGTCCCGTGTCCGGCACAGAGGGTGCGATCAACATGCCGGAAGACTCCAAGCCTGTCCGGGAACCCAACTTCCCCAAATATCCATGATTCCAAGACGACGTTCAAGTCCTCCTTGAGAGATTCTGATGAACAAAAAGATACAGATGACGGGGCAACAGTATGTATGCACGTCAGATCTCCGCTCCGGCAGTTGTTGTGTAGGTTTCTGCCGCGCTTATGTGCTCCTCTTCAAGTGACTACAGCATATCCAGATGGCGTAGGTACTCAGCCCTACAGCCGTTGAGGCAACACCTGCATCATCATCATCTGGCTCCCTCTCATCTGCCCAACCGACACCACACGTATTTCGTCGGACAAGTGCCCAAACCATGTTTTCTTTTCTGCACCTTTGCTCAGGGATTTGGAGATCAGACAGCTTTCCGGGAGAGACTTCGTTATCCGAACGCGTGCAAACTATCGCTACACTACACTAATTTTAGCGGCGGGTTTGGGCATCCGAATGACAGCGGTCCACGCGATGGACAGGCATGCCAGGGTGAAAACCTCCGCTGATGAACAAGTCTTTTTCTTTTTTCAGTTAGGTTGTTCATCTACCAAAAGCCATCGTTTTCATTTCGGACTAAATACCAGGATATCTGCGTGCCTCGGATCTTGGACATCTCTTCGCTGAAGGGGCAACTCCTCTTCTCACGGCTCAGTCACCATAGCTCCAGACCTCAAGATTTCGGACTTGATACAAAGTGTCTGTATCACTGTCAGCAAATGGACCGGCTGAGACGATCAGGTTCTTCCAACACCAAAACGAAGAGACCTATAGTTGACTTACCCACTTCAGGACCAGGCGAACCCGACGACCCTTCCATCTGGAGATTGATAATCCTGCAATATTACCCTTCCAGTCAGCAACCGACAACGCGAAAATCCTGACCTCGACAACGAAGAGAAAAAAAAAAGGATAAAACTCACAAATAAAGTGGCTGCCCAACATACCCCTTCCCCCACTGCGTTACCACTAGCTGCCCATCCATCCAAAACCTCACCTCCACATCCTTTCCACCATTCCTTCCATCCCTCCTAATCTCACACACAACCCTATGCCACTCCTTCTCACTCCCATTCGGGCCATAAACCACATCCCGCGTCATGACCTGACTACTGGTATTAAACGTGTTAAAGCTAATCTTGCCGCTCCCCTTCCATTCCGCCATATCAATCTCGGGCGGCCACCCGTTGACAGCCGTCAACCAAAACGCAGGCCAGGTCCCCTTCGCAACGGGGGCGCGGAACTCGGCTGAGAAATCGTAGCCTGACACTGCACCAGCACCAGAAGAGGAAGAAGAAGTGATGGTGAAGTGCTGCTTGGCGTGGATGGCGCCGGATAGGTACTTGATGGGGATCTGTTTGCCGCCGTGGGTAGCGGGTTTTTGGCCGGTGACGCGGTGGGCGGTTAGAGTGAGGGTGCTTGAGGTGCCGTCAGCAGAGGGGGATATGGAGACTTGGGAAGGGGACATGCGCGCGGCGCCATTGTGGTCGGTTCCCCAGGGGTAGTTGAGGGACCAGTAGGTGTTGAAGGTGGTGGTGGAGTTGAAGGATGTGGAGGGGATTAAAAGGGTCTTGGATGAGGCGAGGGCAGATGGGAAGAGGCAGAGGATGGTGATGGTTTGGAGGAGAAGGGTGAGGGGGTGTTGGAAGGACCTCCTCATGTTGGCGGGTTTCTTGGCGAGACTCGGTGTTCCTGAAGGGTTGAGCGAGTTGGTAAGGACTCATCCAGTTCGGCTGAATTCCGTTGCGATTACTCTCTCTTTTTTAACTTGACAACCAGGACTTCCTCCGACACTCACAATGCTGTTGAGGGTGGTACTATAGAAACCCATCGATTATAGGATGGAACATTACACGGATGATTTATACCTATATTCCACCATTCATATACATTACCGTGATCAGCGTTGCAGCTATGTTGGCCTCAGACTAAACATACAACCACGCGAGGGTATGCGTCGGATACACACAAATAAAAGGGGAATATTTGGGAGAAAGCGTACTGTACAGATGATAGTTAATGAACTGTGTATACCTTCTTGTCACATGTATTCAAACCCCTTTCTTGCTTTAACAACGAACCCTAACCCTGATGATTGAGGCCGCTCACCTACCTACCCCGAACTTCCAGGGGCACCTCTCCCGCTCGAGCCCTGGCGTACTGGGCCACTCCCCTGTAAATTCCCCGCGGTGGCGCTGAACTATAAGCAGTGCAGTGACTCCATCGGGCAGGCAAAAAAAAGTTGCCCAGATTCGCGACGTCAACTTTCACTTTTAAACACCAAAAAAAGTTCCCGCGACGCCGATTGACTCCTCCACGCGCCGGGTGACACAACTTGTTTTATACATTTCCCACTCGACGAGACCCTCTCGACATGCCCAGGTCAGAGGAAATGACTGTATAAAAAATACTTACTCGTCCATGCATTACAAGAAGCTAGCAGTCGCTGCCGCATCAAAGAGGATAAGAACCGTGCTGCCGACTCGAATCTTTACCACCACATCCTCGCTCCTATCGCTTAGACGTTGTCTTTCCACAAGAGATTTTACAGGATCTCCAGAATCGTCGGTAGATCCCTCGGTGTTCACTAGCTCAAGAATACGTCGGGTGCCAGACTCTGTCTCGAATCCTAGAACCACTCCGTCCCGGAATCTTCGCCCAGCGAAGCCCACTACTCGCCTCGCCGTCAAGCCTCCTAGCAAAGATCGGCCTTCCAAGTCCAAGATCCCAGACTCGGTCTCGAAGACAGTCGCTAGAGAACTCCTTCGCAACAGATACCTCTTCTCCGAATACAGTCTCTTCTCGCCGCAACGAGCCTTTCAAAAGTGGAAGAATCACGGCCTTTTGAAGCACACCAAGATCCCCGAGGACTTCTTTAGCGGCCGCATCCCTATCAAGCTCTACCCGTATCAGGTTGACGGACCTCGTTTTATCCTTGCTTCTCCTGCTCCAGAACAGAAGGAAGCTCTTCCACCGCCTGCAAAACCCGAGTTCGGCGCCATGCGCAGCCACGTCCAGATCGTCGCCGCCCCGACGGCCGACACCCCAGGCGCATGCCTCCTCGTCCACTATGACAATCGCCGTTACGTTTTCGGCCACCTCTCCGAAGGCACGCAGCGCCTCTTCACCGAAAACAAAATTCCTGCCGCAAAGCTATCGCATATCTTCCTGTCGGGCAAGACGGACTGGGCAACAACGGGCGGCCTACTGGGCATGATTTTGACCGTTGCCGATGTTATCATAAGCGCAAAGACTGCAGTTGAGGAAGAGAACAAGCTGCGTCGTCAAAAGAACAAGCCAGAAATCACCCATGGCGGTCCTCAGCGTATCGAGATTCACGGCTCCAAGAACCTTGAGCACATGCTGGCTGCTGCCAGACGATTCGTGTTCCGCAAGGGCTTCCCACTCGATGCTCATGAGCTCCGCGCCGATCCCAGGGCCGCAAACCCCGAGAACAGCAAGCCTGACTACGAGGATGAAAACCTCAAGGTCTGGAAGATCCCTCTTGTTGCCACAGGCATGGAGAGCCGGTCGCGTAGCAGCAGTACCGGCTCGCAGAACCCGCGGAAGCGGAAGCTGAACTCTTCGGAGGAGCCCGAGGTCATGGACACTCTGGTAGAGGGAGAGGACGGAGAGGTTGTGGAAGATTTGCCGGCAGGAGTGGAGGATGACGAGAAGACCCACCTTCTCATGCAGACGATTATCAAGCACATGTTCGACTCAGACTGGAAGGCCGACACTCTTGTAGAACAGCCTCTACACAAGGTCAAGCTGCCGGCCAAGATCTTTGTCCGCGACGATGAAGGCAAGATCACAGTTTACAAGGGCCCATTGCCGGGGAGGGACGCGAACGTTCCTGATATCAGGGTACTTGTGAGGGAGCCTTGGCCTGGTGCGCTTGTCCACCGGTTGCCACCCACGGACCCTTGCTTCGATTCCACATGCTACATCGTCAAGAATCATGCTCGTCGAGGCAAGTTCCAGCCTGCGAACGCTCTCAAATACGGGTTACCCAAGTGGACATTCAGCAAGCTCGCAAAGGGCGAGAGCGTGGCGGCAGAGGATGGAACCGTTGTTACCCCCGACATGGTTCTGGACCCTCCTATTCCCGGCCACGGTTTTGCTCTAGTTGATGTCCGCTACGAGTATCTCCTCGATAGCCTCCTCAAGAGGCCCGAGTGGGAGAACAAGGAGATCATGGAGCATATCGATGCCTTCTACTGGATCCTTAGCCCAGAGGTCAAGGATGATTCCCGCCTGAAGGATTTCATGGCGAAGCACAGCTCCCTCAAACACGTTGTTCTCGGTGAGGGAATGAACCCCAACACCATCTCATTCGGGGGCGCGTCTGGGAAGGCTATCATGATGCATCGGATGGATCCCGACCGCTTCTCCATTCCCAACCACAACAACGAGGAAGAAGCCTTACCAGCGGGCTTGGCATCTGTTGCTCAGCTAGGCAAGCCCGGCGAAAGACTACTCCTTTCTCCTTCGGTCGAATTTCAGCGCCAGTTCGCCAACGCTGTCATGGACACCATCAAGCCGATCAAGGAGCTCACTTCCACCCACGCCAAAGCCTTCAACCTGGCGCTCGAAGCGCAAACGAAGGTATCCGACCCTGCTTTCGCCGCCCGCGTCGCCGAGTCCGAGCAAGACATTCCAAACCGGGACGCCGAAATCGTCACTCTCGGCACCGGGTCCGCCCTTCCCTCCAAGTACCGCAACGTCTCAGCCACGCTCATCCGCGTCCCCGGCTACGGCAGCTATCTGTTCGACTGCGGCGAGAACACCCTCGGCCAGCTCCGGCGCGTGTACGGCTACGCCGAAACCGACGCCATCCTCCGCGATCTGCGCGCCATCTACATCTCTCACTTGCACGCCGACCACCACCTCGGTGTTCCCTCTGTTCTCGCCCGCCGCGCCGCCGCCAACGCCGCTCTCCCCGCCGACGAGGCCCCCAAACCGCTCACCATCATCTCGACAACCAAGTACATAGGCTTCCTGCACGAGTACAAAGACGTCGAGCCCCTCGACTGGGCCAACATCAAGTTTCTCACCCTCATCGGGACAGGCCGCAAACCCACCGATGACCCGTCCGGTCCTCCCTCGGCCGACTTGGGACCAGGAAACAACCATTTCAACATGCTCCCGGGCACCCTCTGCGCTTTACAACCCGCCAGCTTCCGCACCGCGGCAACCCTAGAAGCTCAAACCGGCATCGCCTCCATTGACGCCTGTTTCGTCGACCACTGTCTCGGCGCCACCGCCGCCGTGTTCACCTGGCCGTCCGGTCTCAAAATCTCCTTTTCCGGTGACTGTCGGCCGTCGGACTGTTTCGCGCAGATCGGCAAAGGGTCGCACTTGTTGATTCACGAGTGCACGTTCGATGATGAGCTGATTGGCGAAGCAAAAGCCAAGAAACACTCGACTGCGAGCGAGGCGTTGGATGTAGGTCGCAAAATGGGGGCGAGGAGGGTCTTGTTGACGCATTTTAGCCAGCGGTATCCGAAGATGCAGGCGCCTGTTTTGGACGAGTTGGAGGGCCAGGAGCAGAGTGTTAGTGGTGAGAAAAAGGATCGGACGGTGGTTTTGTATGCGTTTGATTACATGAAGATCAAGTTGGGCGAGTTTAAGATGGCGGAGAGGTTCTTGCCGGCGCTGAGGGAGTTGTATGGCGAGTTGGAGAATGAGGAGGAGGATGGTGGTGAGGCAAAGGAGTGATCTGTATGTGACATGTGATGTCGAGGTTGGTCATGTTTTCTTTGGCATGGTTGGGCATGTTACAGGTATATAGAAGGCTGCATGGTTATAGATGGAGTGATGAAGATGTACGACGATAATATACCCCGGGTTTCTGGATACAGAGATATGGTACCTTTAACATGTATATGAAGGATTAGATGTCAAACGAAATAATCCATCTATCTTAGATGAATATGAGATTGTTAACGTTAGGTTCAAGCTATCACATAATGTGGCAACTGATAATTTATGAGGTTCTGAACTCTTACACTTCGTAAGCAAATAAAACATCCAGAATATCTACCCAAAAGTCCCTTCATTACATCCATGTCCGCACATAGGAGACAAAAAAAAAAGAAAAACAAAAGAAAAGAGAAACAGAAGAAAAGAGAAACAGATGAAAGATCCTCACCGCTGGCGCCGATCATTCTCCTTGTCCCTCTTAGACCCAGAACTAGACATATCCCTTCCCCATTTCCTTTATTCTTCTTTTATTCTTTCCCAACCACTTCCGCGTTTCTTTCTTGCCAGGTGCAGATGGTCTTTGATACTCAGAAGTTTCAGAGCAATTCGGGTTGGCTCCTCATCATCCTTGTCTCGTTCTCTTCTGTGGCTATGATGCCCTCTGCGAGAAGATGTAGATGAGGAAGAGCTGCCGCCGTGACGATAACGCTCGCGGTCAACAAGCTCGCGGTCACGATCACGATCACGATTATGATCACCACCATTGGCGGCCCAGTCCCTAGTATCTGTAACCGAGGGCAAATGCTGTGCAGAAGATGGAGTTTGTGAGTTGTGAGCCTGACTCATCAGACTCTCTCCCTCATGTCTGTACCTCTCACGCTCCTCCCGATATCGCTCCCTCTCGCTCTGAGTCTGAGTTTCCCTTTCTTCTCTTTGAAATTTACTTGGACCTCCGAAATTCAAGGCTTCAGGTACAGCACTCAGATGACTCCATGTCGTGACGGATATGATTTCGTTGTCATCGTCGTCATCGTCGTTGCTGAAGTTAGTTAGTCTCTGATCAGTGCCAGTGCCAGTGCCGATAGTGGTGAAACTATTGCAAGTAAGCGTGGTAGCGTCATCAAATTCGCTGTCCGAGTTCGAGTAGGAATCCCATTCTTCCGAGGGGTAATCACGGGTTCGGACGAGAGCGGTGCTTGTGCCTGGGACTGTGACTGTGCCTTGGACGGCGATTGGGGCGGCAGTGATCTCGTAGCTGTGGGAACCAAAGTTAATGTAATGACGAAATAATCGGCTGGGTGTGGGTGCGGGTGAGACTTGGCTGTTGGTTAGGTTGTAGAAGGAGAGGGGGACGGTGTGTTTGGAGGAGTAGGATTCTCGGATTCTGGTTCGGGATAAAGACGAAGAAGGCTTCTTCTCCTCGTCAAGAGGGTCTTCACCCTTACAGAAACACTCCCACTCCTTCTTCACGGCCTTTTCCTCTTTCATCATCCTTATAGTTGGACTCGGCGTCAAATTCATGTCATGAGGATGGTACGGATCGGTCCCGAGATCCGTATACAACCACTTGTCGCGCCCTTGAGGTGCGCCTTTCCACCTCAAATATTTCCGAATGGTAAACAGCGTCAAGGCCAGCTTCTTCGCCTTTTCCTTGACCACCTTTGCCCTTTCCTCACCCAGGTTCTCGATCCACGCGTCAACCAGTGGATACAACTTCGGCAATCCCCCATCCTCTTCCGCCACATCTTTTTCGTTCTTGCACGGCGCTCTCGAAATCATGTTCGCCAACAGCGCCGCCAACACCTCCTCCCCGCTGCCCGCCACAACTGACAAGTTGCAAGCAACGCAATATTCCCTGGTATTCCCTTCCCCGGAAAGCTTGCGCTTGGAGGGTATCACATCCCCGTACTTTTCAAACTTCCCCTTCTTTTCCGAGTCCGGGAACCACAAAGCCCCAATACCCGACATGCGCTCCACAAAGTCCCTGGCTTCCCTGATCGCCTGTACCTTGTTCACTCCGAACTTCTTGAACGGATTCTCATCATCATCCTCTTTCTCTTCCCTCTCCCTTCGGATCCGCTCCCGCTCCCGTTCCCAATCCGTCCCCTCCTTCCCCTTCAACTTTTCATAATCCTCCTCCACCAAAAACGCCCTAACCCGATCCACCCTCTGACTGACCTCCATCTGCAACCAAAACCAACACCAGCCCAACAGATAATGATTCAGCTGATTATGCCCCCCCAGCTCACAATACGGCCGCTCGTTATCCATCTTCCTCATAATCCACGGCGGGATATCTCTAGAAAACATGATCATAAAGTCCTCGTGGATCGTGCCCAGGCTCTCCATCGTCAAGAACGGGTGCTCGAAGACCGGGTGCCGACGGGGGTTTCTGTCGTCATCCAAAAACCAGGCTTGGGCGCGGAGCCAGTCCGACGGGGGGCAGACAGTGGAAGAGATGGGCGGGGGGTATTGCAGGAGGTCGGCGAGGACGAGGAGGGGGGTCCCCCCGAGGCGGAGGAGGAGGTTAGGCAGGGGTCGGTTGGAGTCATAACGGATTAGGTGGGGGTATCTTGAGGGGTCGTATAAGTATTGAAGGTGGGATGCGACGAGAAGGTTCTTGTCTTTGTCGAGGAATACAGTGAAGTTAAGGGGGTTAGAGCGACAGGTTTCGCCTCGGAGGCAGTTGGGCGGATCGGGGTCGGGGGAATGGTCGTAGTCTGTTTGACGTCGGTCTCTGTCGCTTTCTCTGTCATCCCCATGATCACTTGTCGATTTCGATCGAGAAGAGTGAGAGGTCCATGCCGAGGAAGAATCCTTGCGGTCGGAGACCTCGAGACGGGGCATCTTGGTGATGTTGGGTTAAAGTCTTTCCAGCTTCCAGAAGTGGATGGTCAATGGGTTATTGAAAGTGAATAGCTGACGATGAAGTTCAACACTTGCTTGAGAAGACTGGAGTGTCTCAACATGCTCCGTAGAAAGAAGGGCTTCCCGAGTATTTATCATGGCATGATCGAGTTGATTCTCGACAGTGCTGGGATACGGTCAGTCTCTCATTGTCAAATTCATTAAAGTTGTTCGTATATCAGCCGTCCTGCGGCAGAATTTTCTTTGAGACCCTTCTTACCCGTAGACATGATGACGGTGGTGAACGGAACAAAGAAACTTATTATCCTACTTGACAACGCATTGTCAGCTTCGCCCGCCTATCATTCTGTAATGCCAGAGAGAAAGTCTCCCTAGACCTGCAACGGGCGGAAGTCGAAGGTACTCAGGGAGTGCAGGGTCAATATTTTCATTGTAGTCTGTTAACCGAACAGCGTATCTCTTCGATGACATTAACTAGACAACGGGAAGCAGCGCCTTGGAGAAACGGGGAACTGTGTGTCTGCCAATATTGATTTGGACAAACAAAGATGTACCTCGATTTGATGTTGCCATTGTTCAACAGTCCAGGAACTGTAAGGTAAATGGAATCCAAGTTGGATATGCAAGAGCTAGAAGTCCAGGGAACTCACCAGGCTCTGTGGACTGGTTTGTAAGTCAGGAGGGTAGGGAAACCATGGACACTCAACCAAACCTACACCAAGCGATCACGAAAAGACACTCACTTACCCGTCAATCAGCCCACCACGCTTTCGTCTAATCTCGCCAACCGAGTAAATCTTTTTTATTCCAACATCTATCCTGATACCTCAGACCTAAAACTCGGTTTCTCGAGGACCACTCCAACAGCATTTAGTTGGAATATCGAGTAATCAGCCGCCGCCATATCAGCAACATATCAGCAAGTCCATGCTGGACGCCTCTCCCAGCAACCTAAACCCAGCCGCAGAAATTACGAATCTTCCATCCGGTTCACGGCACATAGATTTTATAGGATCGTGAGATCAAATGCGGTCGAGGTCGAGGTTTGCCAACCCAGCCAATGTCGGTCCGTAGCCCAGAAGCGCTGAATCACGTCAATACCATCTTATTTCCTGCATTTCAGGTAGGTCGCTACTTTCACTTCTCATTTCTTCCTATCCTATTCCCAAGCTATTCGTATAGCAATGTCGGGATCAGCTGCGTTTTTACACAAAAATCACAAAAAGTTGGACAACAACTCGTCTATATATCAAGGACGATCAGCTCTCAATGATGGCGTTTTGTTTGATACTGCACGAATGGACTTGAACCATGTCCTTCCTTCGTGCTTCTTTCCTTCCGTTCCATCCTTACCAGATGGAATGCATACCCCCTTTTTTCACTTTCCAGTTGCGTAGAAGGGTGGAATTGCCAGGGCGGTCTTTGTCGAGTCGTGGATCTTCGACTGGATCAACTCTTTATGGTTAAATTTAATGTTTTCTCCCCCATGGAGAATGCATCAAACCCCAAGACCTCATCCCCACGCTTGTCCGATACACCGGCACGCTTTCTCCCCGTAGCTTTTCCAATCGTCGTGCACTTTTTCGCTTTGCCTGTCGTGTCCAAGTTCTACAGATATCCTTCCCCACGAACCCAACGGTAAAGGAACTCACTTCACTGATATGTTAAAGAACCGGTCATGTTCCTCCTTATCCCCATCCTTTTATAATAAACTCCAGCGTGTGCCTGACTTCCATCTCATACCTTTTGAACCAAACTTGGTGTGTTCAAAACAAGACAAAATCGTTCCCGCCTGCAAAATGGTTTGCCGGTAATTTGGTAGAACGGTGTATAACCGTCGGCTCACGAGGACGTGCGCGGTTAGTCTCGACCGGAGTACAACCCAATCTTACCACAATCTGCCTCACTCACGTCAGACACCTAGCCTTCGAGGAACACCAGGTGGGAGATGGCCCTTGACCACTAACGGAAGTATAACTGGGAATCGAAACACAAAGAAATCCGGACGGAAAAGCTAGGTCCATAAGCCAACGAGTCAAAACCCTCAACCATCCATTCATCTATCCTCCTTCCGGAATCCGCTCATCAGTGTCATGATAATGAAAAAGATCTAATCCATATAAGGCTGCAAATGACTGTGACTGTGCCTCGTCCATAAGCAGCGGATTGGTGGTAGTGAGAGTGGTGAATTTTTTTTAAAAATAATTCTGGAGGACAGCACCGTCTTGGTAGCCCAACAACAACTTTGGAATGGTGCCATCCACGACAAAATGGGACAACGCTTGGTGCAATTTGCAGTTTCGCTTCATGCTTGAAGAGAGGGCCAGAAGCCAGCGGGGTGGCAGGTCATCGACTTGACGCATTCGTTCCAAGATGAACATAATGACCCAGTTGCAATATTTCTAGTCTTGCTCCGCCACTCGCAATACTCCCTGGCGAGGTCTTCCGAGGTCGGGACGTCTGCGCAGCATGGCTTTGCTGTTGAGCCGGCCGCGTTAGGGGAGATCGAGCCAGGGGCACGACTTAACCCACTCTCCTCGCGCTTAGAATTTAGGTGACACTGTACATGTCTCTTGGACCCAGTGTCACTTCTTGGGAGGCTGGAATCGGGAGAAATGCATCGGCCACCGCTCTGCTCCGTATCGCCATCAACCTCTCATTCCCAAAGTATTTCCTCTCGAGCGCCGTCTCAGGCTTGGAATTCCTGAAATTCCCGCAAGAACTCACGCTTGCCCCTCGTCAATAAGTCGAGGAGGACTCCAGCGTCATGCTGCGTGCATGGCCGGTAGCATAGTTCTTCGCGCTTCCACCTCCCGGCGTTGTCTTTCTGCTTCCTTTTCGAGCCTGATTCGGGTGGCTTCGGTACCGTCGTCTGGTGGGAGGTGCTCTCTGAACCATTCGTGCTCAAGGGCTTGCCTGGCGGTAATACGCTTATTGGGGTCATACATAAAGATCTTCTTTAGAAGATCCAGGAACAGAGCAAGAAAGCGACTATTTCTAGCAGGGATAATCTCCTGTGCATTGTGTCAGCGGAGCGTCAAACTTGAAAAAGAATCCAGTAATACTGACATCGAGAGGTTTCATGCCCTTCACGAATCTCTTGGACGCGCGGGTGGTATCGGGAGCAGGGTAGTCCAGTTTTGAGCGCTTGAAGAACCTAAACGAGTTCGATAGCCGCGATTAGCCCGGTGAAACTTCTCAGAAGAATAAGGGGAGGCACATACTTCGCGGCCGGGTTGCCACCATTCCTGGTCATCCTGTTGACTTGCTGGACAAGCGAAGGGTCAATTTTATGGTTGACTACCGCCTCCATCATTGCCAGATGCTCCAGGTTGTCGTGCGTCTGGAACAAAGCGTCACCTGTGTAAAACTCGACCAGGATGCAGCCAATGCTCCATATGTCGCAGGGAAAGGACCACCCCAGGCCAAGTATGATTTCGGGCGCACGATAATGTCGTGTGCTTACGACAGATGAATGATACTCGTCTTGAAAGGTGGCGGACCCAAAATCGATGAGCCTGATCTCTGTGTCTAGAAGAACCTTTCTATGCACGGCTCTGCGATTGGTGAGCGTGGAAGATGATGGAATGGTGCGAGAGTATGTAAACGTCTGATACTCTTGATTGCAGAGCAAGATGTTCTCGGGTTTGAGATCGGTATGAATCAGGTTGAGGTCGTGCAAGACTATCTTCTCGTTAGTACCCTCTCCAGTAAGACAAGGAAGACAAAAAAAATATGCTTACAAGCCACGCTAGTGAACAGCTGACGAGCAAAGGCCAGGATCTGACTGTTGGGAAAGGGCACGAAATTGTTGTCCTTCAGGAAGTCAAACACGCTCTGCCCAAGCAAATCCATGACGATGCAGATGTGGCCACGGAAATCGAAGCAATCCCGGAGATGGATGCAACGGTTCCTGTTCTCCTCGTCGTTCGCCTTCAAAGTTGCCAGTACACGAAGTTCTATCTTACTGGCGTCCCTGTACTTCTGCACAGACCGAATGATCTTGATCGCGACAAGCTTGTTGCGCTTCTTGTCTTTGGCCTGCACGACTTTACCAAAAGTGCCTTGGCCAAGCAATTTGAGTATCTCGTCTGCAACAATCGTTAGTTTGTCGATTACCCTCGGCAGGTGACCACAGTCGCTCGACTTACATCTCTCCGTAAGATCATTTCCGGGAATCACAATCATGTGACCATCATCATCATCAACTCTGGCGTTTTGATTCGGCGAAGTCTGCAAAAGTAAGTCAGAAAATGACTACAAGTCGACGCTCCATGGTTCCAAACTTACGTCCTGGATGACCTTGACATGTACCTCGCCAGCCTTCTTAGGAGGATAAGGAGGTGGTTTGTACACTGCAAAGGTATCGGCATGAGCGGTTTCTCGACGCTTGGCCTCATTGGCCTGTTGTCGGGTGAGTTTCCTCCGCTTTGTGCCTGGTTGGGCGTAGTCATCGTTGTAACTATGCGACGAGAGGGAGCCGAGCGAAGTCGCCGTCGTGGTGTGCTGGGCCGAGTTTGCGCTGTTGCTAGTAGACGCGGGTGAGTTGAGGGAATTGGAAGCAGACGGCAGCGACCGCTGTGTTTGGTTCTGGGCAGGAACATAGTTGTCGTGGTGGACAGGGTCGTAGTGGCCATTCGGCCTGCGCCTCTTGGCTGTTGGCTGAGTTGGCGCTGACGGGTTGGTGACGATGTGGGCATTGGACAGTGTTTGAGAGGCTACACTCCTGGTGGCCGTACCCTCGGGCTCGGGAGTGTCGTCAATCACGATGACTTCCTTAGGCAAGCCGTTTTGATAGAACTCGGCCCAGTTGGTCTCTCCGCGTCTCCTCTTACGAGTTTGCTGTGAGGCGGGCTCGGACCCGTCAGGGTTGGGGGCTGTCGCCATGGCTGTATGATCGGTCCCGGGTTGAAGGGTCAACCGCTGGGGAGGTAGTTGTTGAGGCGGGCACGGGTGAGGGGGTGGTAACGTTCGGGTGATGGGCTTGAGGACGACCGAGGAGGCGATCAGAGGTGGCGGCGCGTTGACTGGTGATTGGTGGTCGACGAGCGAGTACTGGGCCGAAGGAGGGTCTGGAAATGGTTGTCGTGTTCCTGTGGGCGACAGAATGCTGGGGAGATTGGGAGTATTCTGGGAATAAAACGAGGAGGCGTTGGCCTGGACGGGATAAGGCTGATGATGATGCTGGTATGCAAACTGCGAATGGTACCGGTCCGAATAGGCGCGAGGCAGCGTTGCTGTGGCGGTTATGGGCGTCGACATCGTTTTGTGCTTTTAGGGCTGATCGATCGCGATTCCTTCTGCGTGTAGAGAAGGGTTGCCGGCGACCGGGTGGGTTGTGTCTGTACCAGCAGTTGCGGTCGGGGTCCTTGCGCGCGCGACGGGAGACGGACTGACGTGATGGAAGGCGCGGTGGGAGGGGAATGAAGGAGGAAATCGGACAATGGGGTCGAATGGGTCGGGGCAAGGCCCTTTAGATGGGGATGGATTGTGGTGGCCCGGGCCGGGATGTTTTCAGTTTTGGAAGGAAGGGGACTAAGAAGGAGGAGGAGGATGATTCAATGCAGATATACCGGGAGATGGTGGCCAAGCTGAGGGTTCTTCCCGATGGGAGTGGAGGACGGCCTTATTGCTCCCGTCCGCTGTTGAATTGTGCCTGTCGATGTGGGCGCGAGTGGTAGGCGTGGCAGGCGTTGCCTTGTTGAACTGGTGCGGAAGCTAATCAAGTACTGGAAGAAGTGGCAGGCGTGTTGCCTTGGGCAGCTGGAGCGCAAAGGGGAAAAGGCCTGAATATTTTTTGCGTCTGGTTGTCGCAGCCTGCCTGTTCGTGAATCCCTCCTGAGTCTTTGGGCAGACCTCGGGGGAAACTGGAAGGATACTCGTAACAAAATGGTTTGTTTAGTTCGCGATTGCAACCCGTCCGTTGGCGAAGGCACATGCAACTACAAAGACGAGTCTGTGGTGATGCGCTGGTCGTCGTAGCCAGGAGAAGAAGCAAGGGGCGAGTCAAATAAAAAGTCGAGTGTGTTGTTGTGTCACGGGCTGCTGAAAGGCAGCGAGCGGCTAGTATCGATGTACCTACTTGGTGCCCTGCTAGGTTGGAATCGGAAAGCGGAGAGTCGAGTGGCCTGCCGTAAGGTATCGAGGGTTTCAAGCAAGGAGCGCTCCAGGGCAAGTAAGTGTCGCGCAACGTACTAGGTAGAGTAGGTGTAATTTCTACTGACATGGAAGAAGAAACGGAGGAGAGGACGGAAACTGCTTTTTTCCGTTAACCAGGCAGAGTGCCAAGATCTGCCGGATACAGGAGAACAGTGAACGAAGAAGACGAGAATCACGACGGGACGATGTCGTAACTCTGAATTGGCCCCCGATGGAGGAGAGGGCCGGGGGCGTTTTGGGCCCTTTTACCCTTTGGGATTGGTGTTTTGGTCGTGTTTTGTAATGATAAGAAGATTGAGCTATGTTGCAGCTTCATTACATTACAGGCGCTGCTGAATTGCCAGAACGCACGACGACCGGGGTAGGCTGGGCCGTATCACGCTGCTGGTACTGTGCTTTGGTTTTGCTGAGCTGGTGTAGAGGTACTTCCCGCAGGTTTAAAGCCCTTTCGATACAAGGGGGATCAAGGCCCTAGATCGAAACCAAGGGTTGAACTTTTAGATTTCCGTTCTAGCTAAGCTAGTAAGTGACAATGCGTATCAGGAGAAGGTAGGAAATGTGAGGAGGTCGTCGAGGTTCTTGCCGGTTGTTCGGAATCGCGGGCGACAGTGTAGTCCGATGTCTACAGGTAGGTACTCGATGTTGTTAGTGAATTGCGGCGCGGTGCGTGCAGTAACGCGAATATTGTGCGGTTTCGACACCACCTAGACTAGCATGGACGCCACAGCCCTGGGGTGGGGAACGGTCCACGACCGTGATAGGTGTTTCTGGATTATAGTCCGGTTGTTAAACTTCGGCCACTTCTTCTGTCCTCTTCGATTTCTCGTGGTTCTTCCCGGGATGGGGAATGTCGTCCCTCTGCCAGTGGTCTTGCTTCTGGCACCTGTCTTCTTCGTTTTGATTTTCGTTGCCCTCTTTTTCGTCATGGTCGTGAAAAAGCTACAACTCCTGGACGTTTGCGAGTCTGCCACCCATGCATACATCGGGATCCGGTTCGTCTTCGTTATCTTTGTCAGATCTGTCGTTGCCTGTTGGCATAGTGGCCACGTTCGATGCAGTAGTTTGATCATTTCCTTTCGGAAACAAAATCCCATTTGGCCGAACTCGAGGAAGCCAACTCTCTTGCTTTTGTTCTCTGCTGTCTGATATCGCTAACTCCATTTGTTAGTGCTTTGCCAAGGTGGAGATGGAGACATCGGATTAACACACCAGACAAAACATTATAAAATCCTCGAGGACGGAAACTTTCAAAGGAAGTAGTCCATGTGTCATAGACAAGATGAAAGCCATCAAGTACTTGTCCATGTTGGGCTAAAGTCGGGTTCTTGAGAGGTCCATATGGATCTCTTGTAGAAACTGTCACAGCTGTCAATGAAGTTGACAAACGATATGGGTTGGTTTCCTATTCTGCGTGGGAGCTCAAATTTATATATCCTTCGCTATACATTTCTACTCATGTGTCTGTAGAAACTTTTCCTTGTTCTGGCTTGGGATTGCGGTGTCAACGCGCTGGATTTGAATGTGCTAGACTTGGAAGCACTGCGTGCCTCAAGGAACGTCGATGTGTCTCTCTGCAATATCGCAAGAAACTTGCGGAATCTTGGCAACCGTCGAGATACTTTTTGAGCGCTGGGCAGGGCATAACGCGGCGCCCAGTAAGCCAGCATATGTATGTGCCTGTTAAGTTGGTGAAAACTTGGGGAAATTGCCCAACACTCCAGTTTGGGTGCGTTTCAATGTTTAGACACACTGCACAGGTTTGCCCCATGTCGGACGCTCAAAAAGATTATTGAAGGTTGCAAGTTTCGCGAGTTTCTACGGCAGGTTTCGCCCGAAAGAATCAAGTTTATGGCTTTGGAAGTTCGGCTGTTCGTGCAGACTACAGCCTCAAGACCTGTCATGAAACTCACACCCGCAGCAACATGTACTGCAATTGCACGCATGCGCACTGCAATCCCGCCGACCGTTTTTGCCTTGGCTAAGTGCATTTTGGCTATATAGTGTAAATCGATCTTCTTTTTCTTGGTGTTGTTTTGAAAGTTTTCGAACAACTTTCTCGTTCTCTTTTTGTGCATGGAAGTCAGCCTGTCTCAGCCGATTGGAACATCCTTGGTTCTTGGCTGTCGTCCTTAAAACGTCCAATCACATAGCCAGGACGGATGACAGAGCCCTGACCCGTTTACACTGTTAATTTGTTGTCAGGGTGCTTTTCTCTGAATAATTTTTTTATTTAATTTTCTTTTTGTTTAATTTTCTTTTTAATTTTAATTTTAATTTTTATTTTTGAGGAAGAGGAGGAGGAGGAGGAGAGGAGGAGGGGTTGAATGCACGCTGGAACTATAGTAAGCAATGAGAACAGGATCCCCAGGGTCCTTGCCGCCACCAAACAGGGCTTCTCTGGTGCAGGACCAGAATGGGACAAGGAAAGATAGGTATCATTTCCTTCCTGGTCGGTGTCACCGTTCGGCCGGTGTCAGACTATCGCCCAAATACACCTAGTGCACACATGGTATGAAGTAAGGCCCACTGCCACTCATCTGGACAAATCCCAAACGCACAGTGATACCGAAACCGCCTACCAGGCAGGTCCTTCAGCTCCGCAACAGTGGTGGTTTCTGCCATTGCCTCCCTGACTTCATTGTCGTCGAAAATCATGGATCAGCTGCTGATTCAAAATAACAACATAGTTTGAAGAACAATGTCTTTCCGGCTTTCTTGACATTGTGAACATATCGAAAGTCGTTTGATCAGGCCTCGTGTTTTCAAAGCCCAAGCGGAGTTCGTTGCGGACCAAGATGGGGGCTCTGCCTCCCAGCAGGCAGTTTCATTTTCACACACACCACCCATCCGCGAACCATCATTTTCGGATAAATCCTTCCCCTCTCCAGAGGTTGTGAACGGCGCTTGCCCAGGGGCTCGGGTCTCCAGGTGGCGCTGGAAGGAAAAGACCCATTTGGTTGAGGGCCCGGCATTTGGGGACGTTCACAATCACCACTCGACCCCATGTAGTCCCAAGCAGATCGATCTCCACCCATGAGTCCTGTACAACATTCAAAGTCTGGAGATCACGAAATCCCTTTGGGGCTTCAACAAGAGCACAGCCCGCAAAACCGAACTTGACAAGCCTCGATTCGATATAATGAAATTTACGTACTAGTGTAATAGCTTCTCCGCTTTCTTCCATCCACGCTTTCTTCATCGAAGTTGGTGTCTGTCCGAATAGCAACGGGGGGCTGTCGCCATGCCGTGCCGGGGTCTGTAGATCGTTTGGTTGGCCAGGGACACCCGATGTAATAGTGCGTGCACCTGACCTAGACATGGTGGTTGCCGACAGGCGGGCCAGGCCACCACCACCACTCTCAACGGGAAGACAAGCGAGGGGCGAGATGCGTTGTGATGATGGTGATGGTGGTGGTGGTGGTGGTGGTGGTGTTGCACCTGGAATCAACGGCGGGGCAATTAATTGATGGAATATCACCACCTTTTCTGTATGGATTTTTGTCAAAGAGATGATATCAAGACGTTCATTCACAAGCCAACAACAACATTGAGAAACAACCAATGGATGAGCAAGGCCCAGACATATCCAGGGTTGTCGATATTATACGTTACACAAAACGCGATGGTAACTGCCCAGGCCGGATTCTAGCGTGAAGTCGTGAACAAGGGACGTTAAGGTTCCTGCGTTCTGCAATCCCTGCGACGATTCGCGTGGAAGCATGTTGGACTTGGTCTGCTGTTTTGGAGATGCATATATCAAGGCAGTGTGACTTTTTCACTTGGGCAAATCGCTATGTAGGTCACCAGTATCAAAAGAGATCCAGCGATGTGACTTTTGAAATCTGAGTTTGGTGCGTAATAAAGATGTTCACGTTCTGAAAGTGCAATGGCGTCACGGGAGTATTGTACCTGCAAGATGTATGTATCAGCAAAATTACGAAGGGCTAACGCCGGAGCCAATGCTCTTTCCCTGCAAGTGCACACGGCACGTCCCGTGGCTGTAGTTTGCCTGCCAAAAGGTTGACTTTTCGGTCACTTGAACTTGTCGGTACCGTCATGTATCGTTAATGCATGTTCTCCGAGACGGGCATTCAAAGTTCTTGTGCGAAGTGCGTCTGCAGCTCCTCCAATCACTTCCCACACCCTTCCTCCACTTCCCACACTCTTAACAAGCAAAACTCGGGATTAGAACTCGGCTACAAAACAACCTTTCCGTTGCAAGAAGCAATTAAAAGTCCGGAATCAGGTGATACATTGGTCAACAATGATATTCATTTGTCTCCCTTATCTCTATTACTAGCTGTGGTGTTGTTCATTAGTGTGAAAGTTGAACATGTTTTGGAAGAAAAATGTTAGGGGATGGGCACTATATCTCTCTTTTAAGTTCTCTGTACACTAACGTTGCTGGTCGTGATTTCGGAACTTTCACACACCATTGACCTGCTTGTTGGGAATCTAGCCGTTACAACCATTTTGAACTATTCTACCGGCCTCCTGGCTGGTTTGGTCGTGACTTGGTTTCTCAAAGGCTCTATTCATGCGTGCATTTCTTAGATTTTGCGGCGGACTTGGCCATATGGGCTAGACCTCTTCCCTCTCACTGGACTTCAGCTTGCAAGTTGGACGATTTTGCGGACGAAGATAATGAATGATCCAAGGCGATGGATGGCCAAGCGTCGCGTTTAGTTGCCTTATGATGCAAATGCGTATCCACAGCCAGGTTTCTCCCATGCCTCTGCAAGTCTTTTCAGTTGAGAGAACTGTTCTTTTCATAGTAAAGCTCTTCGTCAATCCCGGTTTCGGAAGACATGTCCTTGCAGGAAGTGGCAAAAAGAAAAACCTATGCCTCTATGTCCGTGCCGCGCTTACCGCCCCCTGCTTTCTATCTCCGATGATATCGGTACTCTTCAGGCCGGTGAAACGGAAAAGTGTGTCCTTGCACTTCACTTGCTCCTTTGGCTTATGTTCTCGTGTCGACGACATCAAGCACCATATCCTGCTAGAAGAATACAACATGCAGGCTTGTGATACAATTCGTGTCAACGGGAAACAAAAGCTAAGGTCATGAACAGCAAAGAGGCTGAACGACAAGTAGTAAGGACCATAGAACTAGGTCGCTAAGTATAAGTGAAAACTAGAGCCATCTCCTACACCTTGAAGCTTGCGGCCCTGTTCTTGCTGAGGAAAATCAAATCGACCAGGAAAAGATGGTCCACGATGACTTGTTTCAAGTCACGCAAGCCTCTAGATCCAAGGCCAAAGACTAGATTTTACCAGGTCCAGGTTCAGGTTCAGGTCCAAGCCCGGTTGCGATGTAAGTCAAGGCCCAAGGCCAGGTCAAGTCAATGACCATCCGTGGTGGCTATAACACGAAATTCAACAGCCATGGCAGTTGTAAAAGGGGATTTGTGAAGATGCTCAACAAAACTTGCTGCTGTAGCTCAGCGGCACTCGCAGATGGTCGGTATAGCTCCAGATCAATTCCAGGGCCTTGCCGACTACAGGCCCTTCATTCGACGGTTGATGAACCACGAAGGTCGACCACCACCATGATGTTTCAAGATTTTACAAACAGGAAATTTGAAGAAGAATGCCAGCTTGGCCTAACCTGCGGCATCTCAGGGGCATTACCACTCGGTTGGACAGCGCCACCTGGCGCCGGGATAGCTTATCGATGACACGACCAAGGCCAACCAAAACCGTTAACACTTTAACCTGCCCGGGCCGCAGGCCCAACTTTGCAACGACGAGACGATGAAGCAAGAAGCTGACTGAAGCACGACAAAAGCATGTCAAGCAGTGTCAAGTAACCAAGCAGTGCCACGAAGCACAACTTGTAGCTTGTAAAGAGAAGAGGAGTAACATCAGGTGAGGTGATACAGAGCATTACTGGGTCAAGGCGGAGGCAAGGAGCTACTCAGTGACCATTGACCAAGTTTGAAGAGCAGTCATAGCAAGGTAAGCCGAGCCTCGGTGAAAACCAGCCGGTAACCGGATGAGATAATGCCCATTGCTTTCGGGAAAAGTAAATCGAAATGATAAGAAGGCACTGCGGAAAGATTGTTGGAGAGGCTCCGAAGAAAAAGTTGCTTTCTTTTGAGGGTGACGGCCTTTGTAAGTGTGCGTCATGGAAATAGGAGAATGAGGTTAGGTAGCGTACGGGTGCCGGACCCTAGGTAAAGCCCTGGACTCTGCCCCAGCTGCATCCGGTGCTATAAGCATTGTCAGCTTGTAGCGGTATTGGACATGCATACCTGTAGTGATCAAACTCCACGAAACCGAACCCAAGGGGGAACATCCGAGGGCTGTCAAAAAGATGCCTGGCCAACGGGTCCGCAACTAGTATCTTGGGGCACGGAGGAGGAGGTTGTAGGACTCACCTCTTGATGACCAAAAGGCCATTGCTATGACATCAAGCAAAGGGAAACAGAAGCAACGCGAAGAAACCCACAATGCAAAAGAGAGAACAACACAACCAGACGGAGAAGGGCAGAGGCAAGGAAGCAGAAAAAAAAAACTGACCAAATCAACATAGCTTTTCAGGATATCGCCGCCGTCTTTCGCCGCTGCCGCTGCCATATGAACAAGAAAACTCCAAGGCTATGCCGCCCATTGTGTGCACACTTCTCCACGGTTCTCCATCTTCAAGACAGAGGGAACTAACCCATCCCACCAGAACCCGCCCGCTCCCCTTCGCCGCCTCTTAGATACCACGGTTGAAAACAACCAAGCCATCCTGACCACCACGACCCTTGAACTCTCCCTCCAGCCTATCCGCCTCGATCTTCTGCATCTGGGGGAACGCCGCCAGCGCCAACGGCAACACGGCATAGCTGGTCACCAAGATCAGACCGAGGTTAATCGGGGTCGTGTACCTCGGGTTCCTCTTCAACCATTGGGTAGCCTGGAGCCTGACCAGCACAAGAGGGGGGATAACCATGATCGGGCTGCTGTTGAGCACTCTGCTGACGGCCGTCTCCGCCACGGCAATCGTCGCCGCCTTCTTGCTCTTACCCAGGCTCTCCACGTCTCCTTCGCCCTTGCCCTCCGCAACCAGCTTGGCCTTGTCGGCGGCCGACAGGACCGGGTACACGTCAATGCCCGTACGCATCTCCTCGCCGCGCATGAGGAAGACGTTGAGAGCACCGGCCGAGGCGACGGCGGCAAACGGAACCAGACGACTGAGAATCAAACGGGTCGAGGGCGCCAGCGACTTGAGGCGCGGGACAACGCTGTTGAGACCGACGGCCACGCCGCAGGAGGCGCCGACGGCAAGGAAGTAGGACTGGGCGATCTTGGACCAGCTGAGGGGCGAAGACTTGTTGGCGTTGGAGTAGTTGATGGCAACGTTGAGGGATTGGTTGGCTACTTGCCAGGCGATGGTGCCGCGGTTCTGGTTGTGGAAAAGAGTTAGCAAAAGGAAGATGTAGGGAGAAGGAGGTAGGGAAGGGGAAGTGTTTTCAACTTACACCAAGGCCAGGGGTCAACATGCCGGCTGTTACGACCAAGTTGGAAAGGACGAAGCAGGACATGCGGAAGGGGAGAAAGACCTTTTCTCCGGTATCTGTGTCATTTTTGTAAGCCTACGTGTCTTTTCCCCTCCTAATGACTTAGGTTACAGGTATGTCGACGCAGCGGTGCGCAACGGTATGCGTTCAGGAGTATGTCGGCGGATGAAGCATACCGGGATGGAGAGTAGAGTCGACGAGCTTCTTGGCCTGCCACAAGTCGGGCGTCATGGACTTGATCTGTCCCTGCTTGTAGGAGACGAGGAGCTGCTTGGCTTGCTCGAGACCGGCATTGCCAACGAGAAGCGTCCTGCGAATATGGCGCGCACGTTAGCAAAACATGCTTTGTCCCGTCCTGAATCCAGCCCTTCATTGCTCCAAAGTTTGCGCCAATAGGAGGTCGCAAATGCGTCATCTAAGCAGCATATACGGCCCCCTCTTCCGGTCCCTCCTCCCTCCCTCCTTGTAGTCCCATCCCCAGTTTAGTTGCGGTTATGCTCACCTCGGATCGGTAAGGCCAGCGGTATGCCTGACGCGGCCCCAGTAGGTGCTCAAGTCATACTGCGAGTCGGGAAGCGCGCGTGCGCCGGGCAGAGAGGCGGACATGGTGGTTTGTGTTCTGGGATGAGTTGGGGATGGTGTTTTGTCAAGGAGTGTTTAGTGGCGTGAATAGTGCGCTCTCTTTGCGACGAGAACAACACCTTTGTGTCTTGTCTGACGGGCGGGTTGACGGCGACGCTGTCGGAGAAGAACAAACAAACAGACAAACAAAACAAACTTGAAAACAAGAAAAGAGAAAAGTAGTAAAGAACGAAGACCGAAATGGAAATAAAAGCAAAGCGGTGTATGACTCCTGCTTGAAACAAACCATCGACTCTCCTTCGACAAGAGGGTTTTGTTATCTTTCCCCGGTCGCGGCAAAAATAAAGCGGATCCCGATCTCGGGGACGGCCAGGTATCCCGGTCTCGATTCAGGACCCCGGAACGGGACCCCAGATGATGTGCCGTATCACTGTCCCGCCTGCATTTTTGTACACTACAATGCATGTGTACTGGCTGACTGGGCGGACTACTGAGTAGTATGAGGAAATGACCTACACAAGACGAGAGACAGTCAGACGGGATTCTGGATCTGGCACCGTAAGTAGCCAATTCATGCCATTTCATGTCGTTTTGCCCCGAGGCCAGAAGTTGATGGGGGAAAAAAGACGAACACCGGCGGAGGAGGGGCTCTGAACCGGATTGCGGGGCGGGCAGATGTCGCAGCGCGGCGGCCAGACGCGGTCCAAAACTGAACCCAAGGGTTGCACGAGGGTTGCACGAGCCAAATGCCCTGATAGCGACAGGGTTGTAGTGTACATATGTAAATCGGGATTGGGCTCTTCTGATTGGCCGTGTTCCCCGGTCGATGATTCCTTGGATGGGCGTAACTGACGCCAGCGCCGTCATCAGTTTCCGCGATGCTGCTTCCACTCTTCTCCCTTCCGACCTCTTTCTTCCCTTGTTGCAAACGATAACTCGTGATTCCACATTTGTTTGATAGATGCTTGAACTTCCATCAGTGCCGTTGTAAGCTTCGTTTCCTCGAAGAATACGACTACACAAACCGTGAGACATTGAACCGATGTGAAGCAAAACACATCGACGAACCATCAACACTCTTAGGTTGCTTAGCCAGCCCAGATAGGAATCCCAGCACTTAGACTAAACACCAAAACAGACCATATCAAAGAACCCACACAATGGCTCCAACCGATGGCCGACCCGGCCAGCCCTTCGACTTCGGTGCCTTTCTCCTCCGCCATCTCCCATTCTCCTCATCGACGACCCCTCTCCAAGCCCTGACCTACCTCTTGGGCATCTGCCTCTTCAGCATTTCCTTCCTCGTCTTCCTCAACAGCAGCGTCTCCTTTGTCATCACCGACTTGATCGGCGTCAAGCATGGCGTCGGTGACATCGTCGGTACCCTCGGCTTCGTTGATGAAATTGTCGCCTTGATCGCCTGCCCTATCTGGGGTCTGGTGTCTGATCGTGTCGGGGTAAGACATGTTGCCGTCACTGGCTATGCAATTATTGGACTCTCGCTGCTAGTGTTTGTTCAGGCAACGAATGTATACCCGCAGTTGCTATTGGCGAGGATCCTCTTTGCTGTTGGAGCTACCGCTGCGTAAGTAATGTTCAGCACGGCGTTCCACGACAAAAGCTAATCATCATTGGTGACAAAGGGCGACCATGGTTACGGCAATCCTCCCTTCGTTGTCCGACGAGACTCAGGCGCAAACAGATGTTGTCGAGAACCCCCCTCTGAACCCAAGGCATAGCATAACACCGTCAGTGGCTTCTGAGGTTACCATTACCCCTGATCGGTTCCGCGATCACAGCACCTCCGAAGCTGGCTTCAGATTTGATGGCACCCAAGGGAAACCCGAAGGACGTGGGAAGCCGTCCGCGCTGGCTGGCTACGTAGGGCTCTTCACAGGGTGCGGTGCCCTCGTCGCTCTTTCGCTCTTCCTCCCTCTACCGGCACGGTTTGGACACATCGAAGGCGTCACTGTTGGTCAAGCCGTCCAGTACAGTTACTACGTCGTCGGCCTCGTCTCCTTCCTCGTCGCCATCTTCGTCTTCTTCGGTCTCCGCGGCATCAAGGGTGAAGAAGGCAAAGGATTCCGGACCCTCTTCGGACTCAAGCGCCGAACCGACGACCACTCAGCACCTTACTCCTCCAAACAAGTCTACCCCTACCTGCACCTCCTCCGCGACTCCATCCGGCTCGGCCTCACCGACTCCGACATCGCCCTCGGCTACCTAGGCGGCTTCGTTGCCCGCGCCTCCACCGTCGCAATCTCGCTCTTCATGCCCCTCTTCATCAACGCCTTCTTCATCCGCAACGGCTTCTGCCAAGGCTCGCCCAACGACCCTTCCCCAGAGCTGAAAAAGGAATGCCGCCAGGCTTACATCCTCTCCTCTATCCTCACGGGCGTCGCCCAACTAATGGGTCTCCTCTGCGCTCCTCTTTTTGGCTACCTCTCTAGCCGCAAGTTCACCAAGCAGAACAAAGTCAACTACCCTATTATCGTAGCTACCACCTTCGGCATCGCCGGCTACATTGCCTTCCCTCAACTTAAAAGCCCCGAGTATAAAGACAAGGATGGGCGGGGCGGCAGTCCTGTCGTCTTCTTCCTCGCTGCACTTATCGGCATTAGCCAAATCGGCGCCATTGTCTGCAGCTTGGGCTCGCTAGGACGAGGCGTGCTGAAGGTGGACGTAGTCAACGTGATCACGCATCCGCACCGCGTTGACAGGGACAGCGAAGTAGCTACTGTAACTGAACCGGCTGATGGCCGGAACGAGACGGCACCCCTTTTAGAAAATCCAGGAGCTTTGCCGGAGGATACGGTGTCGAGAGTAAGGCTGAAGGGGTCCGTGGCGGGAGTCTACTCGTGGTGCGGAGGCGCGGCCATCTTGTTATTGACGAAGGCGGGCGGGTACGGGTTCGATGTGTGGAGCACGGGGACGCCGTTCTATATGATGGCTGGGTTCAATGTAGTTTGGTTGGTGGTTAGTTTGGGGATTGATGCGGGAAGGTTTGGGTTTAAGAGGAAGAGGGGGGGAGTAGTGATCTATGGGCATCAGGTGCCGAGTGGCTTTTGAGTGTTTTGGTGGTTGTAAGGTTGTGTGATCCAGGTGGGCGAGGATAGGGGGAGGGTGGAAGTCGTTGATGATGGTTATGATGTATGCTTATTGCCGCGAATATGAATTATTTATGCGTAAGGAAATGTTAACTGTTGCATGACTGCCGTTGAAGCCGCGACCAAGTATGGCTACTATTCCAAAGACATGGTGATTCACTCTCTAGTTTCTACATCCAACTATCTTTCCCCATCTTCATATGAAACTAGCATCTCCCGAGAACCAAACCTTCCACTCTCCAAGTTCGCAAAACACATCCCTGGGGAAAAGAGGGAATAGACAAGGAGAAAGGTAATATAGTGTGACACGACGTGCGCCGCGGACTTTCACCGACCCAACTACCGGAATCTCAATCACTGCCTAGTCTATTCCAGGGAACTGAAGAACGACATTCCCGCCCTCGGTCGAATGCGTACCGAATAATCCCTTAATCGAGAAACTCGGGTTCTTCGGTTTTCAGGTACGCACCTGGCAGTACCTACAAGTAGGGTGGAAGGTGCAATGGGGCTTGAGGATTTTGGTGGGCTTTGCTGCAGTGGTATTCAACCAGTGGTCACGGTGAGAAACCGTTAGTTAGCCTGATCAACCAACCCACTCTCTTCCATTCTACCCATAACCGTGAGCAACGCTGGAAAACCAGTTGCAAGGGCTTGTTGTGCAAGTAAGTACTCTGTACGAGCTTGTAGGTAGGGTTTGTGCGCATACCACCGACATAGAGCATCATACACACAGATGCGCGCATGTAACTAGATGCAGAATGTCAGAGTTGAATTCAAGGATCTAGAATCATCCATCATGAGAAAGCAACAGGAAACTTCATCACTGGGTCTCTCGCAAATGGATTGTGTGTATCACCACTTACTTGGGTGATGTGCAAAGTCGGACTGAGTATAGAGTCCAAGCCTTCACAGATTCTGGCTTGTCTGAGATATGAAAGCCAGTATGAGTTCTCCGGCAGTGTCATGTCCTCGGAGCATGTGGATGATGGAGGGTATCTCGGGGCTGAGGTTGAGGATATACATACTCGGAGTGGGCGGGTAGGCTGGAGGTTTGTGGAATTGAAGGTAGATAGTGTTGTCATGGAAGAGGAAAGTACAGGTCATGTTACGTATAGTATGGCAGCTGTGATATGGATAAGCAAGCATGGGGTGGTGAGGGAGAGGGTGTTTTGTACAAGACAGAAAGGAACATAAAAGAGTGGTCTGTTTACCTGGACCTAGGTGATAGTGAAGGGGTGGTTAGTAAGAACCGCCGAGTTCGAAGCTTGAGATGGAAACGAAAGTGTCTACTACAAGTACTTGTGTGTCAATATCAAGGTCAGTGATTTCCATCTTATTATGTACCTATGGCGACCAGTCAGTTCAAGATCACGGTGCAGCAAGAACTTCACTTGTCCAGTGAGACATCAAAAAGTGCACTTAAACAGCCAACACAGTGTTGAATACAAGTCACGGATCAGTGTCAGCTTGTGCCTTTGCCAGAGGAATCCAAAACACTTGTTTTGATATTGCTGCCCTGTCTGATGCCTTTTGCCAGATGCCATATTGGGTGCTAATCCAAAACAAGCCTGTCTTATGTCCATTCTTACGACCTTGCCATGGTCGAGCTATGTCATAGTGCCACCTAGACTATAGCGTGTGTGTCTTTTTGCCCTCTAGATGGTTGCCATCCCATCCTTTGTCTGCGGTTTGAACCGGGTAAAAAGAGAAATGTATCCTAGGTATAACGTTCATGCAAGGAAGGAAAGGGGATAGATACGGGGAGGAACCAAGTCATACGAACGCGCGCAGTTTCAACTTTCGAGCTTGAACAGTTTTACTTTGTTCGATTCCGCGGTAAGTGGTGGACAGATAAGGAAAACCTCTTTCACGGTTCCGGTGTTCATGAAACCACTTTTCCGCTAAAGGTGAATGCAACCAAACAGACGAACACCGACCCCATGCTGGCTGCTTTTTTTATCCCAAACCGCCGCCATCCTGATTCTGACATTGCCGCCTCAAAGAGAAAATAAAGGGGAGGCCGTGTGACTGAATAGTCTGGCTTCGATGTATGGTCGTTATGCCGATATTGAAAGGCATTTAGTTGCCGAGGCTGGGGAAGGCAGACTCATCGTTGGGGTTGATGGGAGCAGCCTTGTTCTCGGTGCGGGGGGCACCGCCACGGGCAGCACCACGGGCAGCACCGCGGGGAGCGCCACGGCCACGGCCGGCATCGCCACGGGGACCACCACGGCCGCCGCGAGCACCACCACGAGCGGGACGCTCGGGCTCGACGAAACGCTGGTCGATCTCGAGGACCTGCTTGACCTTGCGCTCACGCTCGCGCTGCTTCTTGCCGGCGGAGCCAGCAATGAACTCCTCGGTCTCATCCTTCTTGAGGGGCTTGGCGTTGGCCCACTTCTTGTCCTCAACGACACCCTCGTTGGCCTTGCGGACCTTGAGGGCGGCCTCGGCCTCGAGAGCGGCCTTCTTCTCAGCGAGCTGGGCGAGGTACTCAGAGTAGGAGACGTGCTTCTCCTCCTCCTCCTCGGGGATAGCCTCAGCGGCGGCCTCACCCTCGGTGGTGGCCTCCTTCTGCTCAGTCTTGGCGATCTCCTCGGCGGCCTGCTCATCCTTCAGCTCGGCCTGGCCCTCGGTGGCGCCCCAGGAAAGGGCAGCCTGCTTCTCGGATCCGCTAGTCAGGGTGTTAGTGGACGGAGGTGCCTGTGGCTAGAAATTGCTTGACCGGAACATACGAGGGGATGGACTTAGAGTGGCGGTCATCCGAGGTGTTACGGGGGTGACGGCCACCGCGACCACCGCGGACGCGGGCGTTAGCGCCGCCGCGGGGACCACGAGCAGCACCCTCCTCAGTGGGCTTGCCACGGTTGCGGTCGCTGCCGGCGTTACGGTCGCGGAAAGCTGGGACCGAAGATGTCAGTTGAGAGGGTAGCCATGGTTAGCATGTTGGATGATCAACATACCGGCCTCGTTGCCGGTCAAGTTAGAGCGACGGCCAGAGCCCTGAGCGGGGGTCTTGCTGGGAGCGACGCCATCGGAGTTGCGCTTGGTGGTGTGGGTCGAGGTCTTCTCGACGATCTTAGCAGGGGCGGCGGGAGCGGTGTTATCCTCCACGTCGTTGCCTGGATGAAAACAATCGATCCGTCAGTATTGGTGGTTCCTTGGATTGCGGTTTTCAATGTTCCTCCTCGCCCTGCCAATTTCGAGTGTGCCGTCGCGTGGGTTTCGTATTTCACAGGAGGGTGGGCAACCAACCGAGCAGATCGAACAGGTTCTGTAGAGAAAAAAATCGCAATCAGTTAGTTTCTTGCTGTCTTGAGCGCTAGATTTTCGCGGTGGTGGCCGGCTGCTGCTCGCTGTGCGTCTGGATCCCCATTCTCAAGCCTCCCTCCTCTTTCGGATCCCAAATTGTCGCAAGGAGCCGGTGTTGGCGGACTCGCTCGAAAACAAAAATGAAGCTCTCAGTTTCATTTCACGGCGAGGTCCAACCACGGGTCATCCATATCCGCTGCACAGCACGCAGCTCTCGGCCGACCGTAAAACCGGCCACTTCGGAGATTGACGGGGAGAGAGATAAACACACCTTGGAAGCGACCGACATCTTTGCGCTTGACAGGACGTTGGCCTGACTCAATGCGCTTCTTCTAGACGGGGTTGGGTAGGGGGGGCGGACGACAGCGACAACGACGTCTGATGCTCGCTGTGGTGTCGTAAAAGATTTTGGCAAATCGCTCCCGGGCCACAGGGAGCTCGGACCAGGTTGTGGCAGTGGCACGGATCACAGAGACGCTCGTGCCCCGCCAACCTGCACCAAATCTCCCCTCCAAGGCCCTGCTCTGGCCCTCTTTGCCGCTGTTCCCCGCTTCCAACTTTGACTGCCGTTTTGGCTTTTTGGTGAAATTTCAGTGCGCCGCTGTTATTGGTGGTTAGGGCTACCACTTTGCACGCTGCCTGCCCTTTGTTACCAATGTGACGTGCGTATCGATCCGTACACGCCGTAACTTTGCCTGTTTGAGCTTTGCTACCAATCCGGCAAGTCTTGGCAGAGTGTTTGCAGTCGCGACGACAACCACTCACTAGACATCATCGTCACCAAGGTAAACAAACGACTGGAAACACATCCGTCACAAACACCTGACGGAAGCTACCGCTTTATATGCCAAGTTGACGCATTCCTGCCGAGGTGACAGCCTTCTATGAGATCGGACCTGCCTTAAGTAACCCCGGACTTCCTGTCAACGGACTTCATGCGAAGAAGGCACACATTGCCGTCGTGCTGTTAGACACCGGACGTCATGTCTTTCTCGGAGAGGAATTTCTTTGGTTGCTGTGTTTAACGCTTGCCAACAGGTGCTTGACCACGGCCACATTGGAGAGGGTCATCACGGGCCACTTGAGCAGTTTGATATGCAGCTTGGACCTTTCACCTTTTTTTCTCTTCAACTCCTACTTATATCTCACTTCTTTTCAAATATTCTCTGGAAAGTCTTTCATATGCCATGACATACAAAAGTGTCGGACGTTGTACAGATTTCGCGTGTCTGTTGAACCGCATCACCCTCAAGTCACAGCGACTCTGCATGCGTTTCCACAAGTGTGGTTCTGGATGGACTCACCCGTTGGTTTGCATTTGACGGTCATGGCAGAGAGTGGACGCTGTGGTGACGAAGCTCAAACAGCAACTATATTAGGACGAGTCCCATTCGGCAGTTGAAGCAGTTGCCAGTGGATGCTGAATTCTTGCATTGAGGATCCCCTGTTCAACGCACTTGTTTACTTCTCGTGGCCCTTCGAGGCGGAGATGGACATACACCTGCAAAATACATTACCTTTACCACATTCAGGGCAATGTCCTCGCTTCAAGAATGAGAGATAGTCATCAGCAAATGTCTTTTTGCTGTAGGTTAGTTAACCTGAAATATCTATATCAACTGATCCAGTTATTGTAGAGTTAACAAGTCACGGAGAGCCATTTCATTATGATCAATATGCAAGTCGACTTCCTTCTCTATCGCGTAGCTCTGCAATTTGTTTCTCTCTTCATCTTCGTTTTCACGATTTTACCGCATTTCTCGTCTCTTACTTTCCACCCAACATCGAGTCTTTCGTGTTAGTCATGGCATACTGTTTGAAGTCAACTTACAGGCGTTGTTTTAGAAAGCGTGTCTCTGTGTTTCTTGACAACTAAGAATGTCTCCACGGCGTTGCCAAAGAAAGTCAGGGCATGTACTGGATAAGAAGCATTATCTAGCCTGGTCACCATTGTTTGGCATGACAGATTTGCTTCATTTGAGCTGATGTGTAGTTCTCAGGCTATGCAAAGTCCACAACACTCTGAAACACCGGGGCAGCCACATGAGTCGTTGACGGTAGGAGTCGTCCTGGCCACAAAATCTGTATTGAGCAGTTTTGTCGATCATTCATGTATAGGTTTGAGCCACAGTATATACCTACTTTTGGATATTGGCAAGGGATGTTTGAGGAGGCTGCTATGAAGCACTTCTGACTTTGTACTTCTGTCAACTGTATCAAACACGCCAGCACATCATCTGTGAGCGAAAGCCACAGCTCAGGCTTTGGGTAATAGGAGAGAACCCGGTCGGTAGAAGTTGCAATCAAACCCATCTCATTAACATGTACCTCTCAGGTCTTGCTTGATACAAGTGTTAGTTCACGAGCAGACAAGAAGTCTATTATCAGGTAAATATGTATACAAAAGCCACTTGCCAACCGCTCAAACCGGCAAACATGGAGGCCTCGACAAACAAAACATAGAAGTAGGACACTTTGCGCCTACAAGCACTATGGCTACAACCTCAAAAAAATATCACACTGTATTGAGGCTGCAAGCTCTACGAAGCAGCAAAAGAAAGAAGAGCTTCGAGGACACTCCCATTTTCGACACCTCCGCCGACAACCAGCAGCTCACCAAGGTTCAAGGCACTCACTTGCAGTATGCACGCAACGTCCGTTGTGAGCGCAAGGTCAAGAATTGCGAGCTGAGCCCACATACTTGTCATGATAGAGGACTTCAAAGAAGATTTCGTCTGGGTGCCGCTCGGCTCTACATGGAGCTACACAAACGAAGTTCCCAAAGAGGAATCATTTAACTGGTCAGTAGAGTGTTGAGAGAGCTGTGCCCTACTTTGAGAGTCGTCCAACAGCAGGCAGCTTGTCATTTGGTGACGAGATCGACGGTTCCTTTTGGTGTGACTCATCCTGCATTCGGCTTGCCCTGCAATCCGTCCACCAGAATTCGAAATGAGTTCAACCAAGTCTGCCCGCCTTCGGGTACGATTCGACCTTCCAGAGCATTCCCCCAGCATCAGGGCCGATTGAACAAAGGTAGTAGGAGGTAGTAGTGATGAAAGCGTGAGGGTGGGCTTGTCACATTTGTGCGACAACCGGTCAGCGTGCCGAGTGACACCTCAGCGGCACGGCCAGGATGGCGACCCGAACCTTGTCGAAGCGGATGCATGGAAGGGTTCCCGCTGCGGCTCTACACTACTCTCGACACTGGACAGGCTGGAGGAACAGGAAAGTATGTACCATTCATGCTCATCCCGTTTCTTCTGGAAACGGTTCATGGTGCAGAATACAAATCCAGACGCTCAGCGGATAGAACCCAGCGTTGCTGAAGGGCAAGTCGATATGTCATGATGGCTGGGCTGACAGAAGTCCACTGGCTACACACGGCTATCATCGGCGCCTCCACCAAAAGTCACTATGCACACTTCCACAGGCAGCAGTGTTCCGGTGTGGAACTGAGGTTTCACTGGAATTAATTCAACAATGCGTATCCCAGACCACCGTTTGACTCCAGTTCCGTACCTAACCCGGGGATGATTCCTTCCGGACCGGTCATCACGCGGTAGACCAGTCCAGACTATGCAGTGACTTGTACGCGGAACTCGCAGGATCTTCTTACACTACAAATGGGACACAGTTGAGGGGCAACATGCTGGTCGTGAATGGAGTATCTATGTGTCATGGTTTACCTCGTGAGCTACATGACCAGACGGAACCATCCTACCTTTTGAAGACGCCCGATATGTCACATCTTCTTTCGGCACGTGGAGCCAGCGTGGCGTCCATCTACATTGTCCGAGATATTGACTGAGGGTGATTTTGAACACCACTAAAGGGAAATCCTGGAGATCGTGTACTGGATACCTTGAGCTCAGCAATGTATCATCTCCCAACCAGCAGTTTTCAGGCGGGAGTGACTTCAGGGAAACCAAACCACATAGGCTCACCATCATCTCAGGATCATGAGCTTGACATCAGCAGAGATGTACTGCTGATCGAAAGGAAACAACTGTGTAGGGCCACATGCAACCTTCGGCCTGTTGAGACGCAACGTTATGTCTCCATAGGTCCGAACTCAGAACCATAGCCGGTTAATAATGGATCAGCATTACTGCACACCTGGACTTGTTATTGATAGAATGTTAGTTGTAGGGCTAGACACCGTCTAGATTTTACTCAAGTCGAGAGAAGGACTGGTAGATGCATGTGTCCTGATAACAACCATGATACTCGACAACTGCTAGACTTCAATGGCCTTCTTATAGGTTCCTCCTCGTTGTCCTAATGTCTTTGCTTTCTAACTTCGTGTGTTGGATCGTGCTATAACAAAGACGGGACCTATATTGATCCCACATATATGACATGGTAGTGTTTCTTATTATCTAAATATTACGTATTCATAAAAGCCTCCAAAGGCTTCTTGCATGGAAAACTGGCAATGACGTTCCAATATAGCATTCAAATGTGAGGACATAGATGATGGATGTGGAAGGAAAGTATCAGCGATTGATGCACGACGAAGGTCTATCGGTAATAACGCCACGTTTTATATAGTTCGAAATTCAAATTGATCTTGCGGGACACTTCTTCTGTGTATTTGCTACATCATGCCAGAAAATCGAATAATACCATGACGGGTTTACTTCGACCAAGCTATGTTGAAGCCGTCAAGCATCCTCCCAACCGAGGAAAGGTGTTTACAGAACTGTCTGTTCCCTTGGACATTCTCGTTATGCTCAGATTCGCTTCGCTTTGGGACCTTCCATGTCTCCAGATATCTCTGACAACCAACAGAACAGTCTTCGAACACACTCGCCTGGAATTTCCAATACCCTCGTTCCCGTTGTTTACTTTCACTCCCAACTCCCATTCATTAATTCGGCGATTCCCATCCACTTTTAGAGGTAATCTCACATCATCACATGTCATCCATCCACCATGCCGTGTCCTCCTCCCAAAGCTCCTCTACCCAACCTTGGTACCAAGCTCACTGAGCCTTCATCAGCTCCTCCCATTTACATTGATATCTCCATGGCCCCTCGCGGTCTCGGCGCCCCTCCGACGCCCCTCCATCCCGGTATTTTTCACATCCCAACCGGCGGTCATCTTGTTCCCCCCTCCCCACACCGTTCCCCCGTTCTCCATCAGCCCCCGTTCCCGTCTCCGTAGTGTATGTAGGTCCTCAGCCCCGGTCGTCCACCGGGGCACCCAGTTCTCCACAAATCAACCGGACCGCGGACCTACCTCGCTTTTGTTAGAAAATCTCCACTCTCTTGTCCTCCTCCTCCGCCAGTCAGTCAGTCAGTCAGTGTCCACATGCCGCAAAAAGTTTTTGGTGGGCAGTGGCACTGCGGGCTCCCAAACAGTGGAGAAGAAAAGTTTGGTGGAGAGATACACTAGTGTAGATGAGAGGGACGACAAGACAAGACAAGAACCTGAAGATCTTGCGGACTAGAATAGCGGATCCCTACCTACGCAGTAAATGCAGTGCCGTTCTTCGGTTGTTATCACCGAACATGGAAGGCTACTGTACCTTGAAAATAAGCGGTGTTTTTCCACACCGTGTTCGTTTTTTTTTTTTTTGTTCTCAGTGACATTTCCATCTCCTGCCTGCGGTCTGCGGGAAAGTTCTCACACTAAATCTAGCACTATAGCCGGCTTTATTCCCGGACGAGGTTTCCTTGACTTTCTCTACCGATCTCTCTCTTTTTCTTTCCTTTTTTTTCTGTTTTTTTGTCTTGAGGGACCGACTTCGCTGCGGAGAGGATGAGCTTTGTGAGTGAGATGGAGTTGGGGGAGGGACTGGTGTGGGAAAAATGCGGGAAACCTTCGATCGTAAAGGGGGGCATTTAGTTCCTTAATCCCCATTAACCATCATACACTACACCAGTAACAGAGTATACCTGGAGGGAAGTAGGTACCAAGGTAAAAGCCAAGAACAAATCAATCGACTAACTCCAAGTCCAGGGCATCACGCACAACAGAAAGGCGGCCCAAATTCCTCAAACTTCAAGTTCTCAACTTCCAAGTCCATCGCAGGGGAACCACAAATTCCATCCTTTCTATTTTGACTCATCCCAAACTGAAGCAACCCGAAAAGAAAACATCGCCAGGCACGACAGAAGAACTATGTAGATCTAGATTCACCGCCAAGCCGCTTGGCCCTTTTCTTGATCTTTTCTCACGCGGTCTCACACCATCCCAACCCATCATCGCTATCTGCAGTACCTAGCTGTTGTCGATCTGCGCCATGTGTCGTCGTGTCGGGTTTACACTACACTACACTAGTACTGACTGTTACCGGTCCGTTTACACCATGCAAATGGAGTACCGGCCCGTATCTAGAGGCGGAGTTGGATGTGGAGCGTCCTTCCGATGACAAAGCCGTCGGTCACGCGTCTCCGCTGCCCCTGGCTACGGCCTTGCGGGTTAGGTAAATTTGTCACGCAAATCGTTCGGCGTTGTCCTGTAAAGAATTGAGCTTGTCTGTCTTTTGGATTCGATTTAACTTTTGGTTAGTAGTATTTCCTGATGATCCTGTCTGTTATTTACATCAGGTAGACGGTTCATGATAATGTAAACAATACATCCTGCTCCCCATGGCGAGGCTTGTCATCTGCCGTAGCCTGAACGGTCTCGTGGTATATCCCCCGCGTTCTTTGTTGGTTAACAATTCCGTGGATTGCCACCGTGATGACAAGTTGATTGTCATGCTGCGCTGACCTCCTATTTTCCAATCTCAATCGCTGGTAGCACAGATAGAAATTGACAGTTGAACATAGGTAGGTATCAAACACCGGGACCAAACACCATGCTTTTTGATGAGATTGCGAAAACTCCTTTTTCCTCCTGTGATATGAATGAAAGTATCCGATTTTGAACACCGTTTTTGTTTTGTGGTACAGTTACAGTGAAAGCAGACGCATACAAGGTATCAAAACATGCTGGCATCACCAAAAGCCAGTGGCCATCACCAACAAAATCTCGAAAAATATCCAAAAGAGGGAACAAAAGAGTGGGGAGACGGGTTTGTCTCTCCCATAAAAAGAGGGCAAAACCCGCTGATTGTGAATTATACCCAGTGCTCAATGCTCCACGGGTATCTTTTAAAAACATTAACTTTTCCGGTCGTACTTTTGTTGTTGTTGTGTCTTCTCGCGTTGTCGTCATTCGTCCGAAGCGGCCGTCGTGCCCACCTATTTTTTATATAACCTCCTTTCTCGATTGCTGTGCAGTTGCTGACTCGGCTATGTGTGATGTGCCGGTTTGTGAAATTTTTCAATATGTCGGATTCCAAACAGATGTCTGTCGAATCGGGTAACGGTGAAACCCATGACATCCCGCGATACCTCCTTTCCCTAAGCCATGCCATTATCCTCCTTTCTCTCCGTCTCTTCTACCGCATGTTGCTGGTGTCGAACGAGAACTGTGTCGGAAAAGCCATGCTAGCACTCAAACCGAAAGGATCGCCAAAGTCGTATTGGTGGTCGAGAAGCTGGGCCATTGGCGGGTACGCAGGATGCTGTTGATGAGAGCCGTTTTCGATCGGTGACTGCTGGTTTCCTTGAGGACCGGAGGTGACAGGGGACGAAAGTGACATCGCTTGGGGGTCGCCGCCGTATGCTTGGCCGGGATAGGGGCCAGGTCCGCTTGGAGTATCGGGGGTCTCGCCGGGGTCGTCCATCATTTCGGCTGCGGCGTCGTACTCCTGTTCTGAATTACGGAATGAGCCTAAGGTGACAAATATTTATTAGAGGGGAAAAGGGGAAGGAAGAAAAAGAAAACGGGTCAGCTTGCCGAGTTGTTCAATGTGATTCTGGAAGGAAGGCGTGGGGTAGAACGAATTCGTGTTTCCGCCAACGCTGTTCCTCATGTGGTTCTGTCCTTGCTGAAGCCCAGGCATCTGCATCTGGCGTTGTTGCTGAGCTAGACCGGGCACTCCGTTGCCCAATTGCGAAGGCGGGTGGATCTTTAATGCTGAAGCGGGTGGGAGATGCGGGCGAATCGGGGGAATCATGCCGTCGGAAGTGACCGGTGATGCGCCGCTATGGGAACCAAAGGTTGCTGTCGTTGATGGCGAGGCCGAATGCGATAGTGGTGTTGGCCGACTCTTGGGCGATAGAGCTGATGCGTGAGAATGAACCGGAGGTGGCAGGGGAGAGATAGGAATCCCGGGTTCGAGTTTAGGAGCGATGCTCGACTGCGATCTGCGGGCATGGTGTCTATTCAGGAGAGCCCGCTGAATCGGCGGCTGCTGTACCAAGTTCTGGGGCATATGAGTAGGTCCAAGATTTGGACTGCCCGTCTTGGCTTGGAGCTCGGCTTGAACATCGATGCCTGAAAAGGAGGGTAGGTAGAGTTAGCAAATCAACATTGGTGAGGCAGGCCCCCCCAAAAAGGGGTGTAAACAAACAACCCGAACATGGGAAAGTCGTAGACAAAGGTACCTTTCTCAAGGAGGATGCGCTCCAAAAGCGAATTCTTGTAACGAAGCATCAGGCATTCGTCAGCGGCATGTCGGTGAGCAGCTTGCAGATTGGCAAGGTTTTGCTCGTGGGTGCGGATAGCATCTTCAAGCTGCTTGATGTACTCAGTCCTGCGCTCACGGAATGCAGCTTGAGCCTGACGGTTCCTCTGCTTCCGTTCCTCGGACGTGGCGTAGATCTATACATATGTTAGGATGTTATTCATCACTACTTGTGTCCGCAAGAAGAAAAGACAAAATAACCAAAAAATAACACAAAGTAAACAAAATGAAAGAATAAAAATAAAAATAGGAAAACAAGACCAAAACAAGAAAAGAAAGAAGTCAGGATCTTACAGGCTTGCGGCCGCCTTTGCGCTTGGGCTGTTGGTTTTCTTGGGGAGCAGCGGTTTTCGTTGAGGTACCTGTATTTTGGCCATTGGCCTCACCACCAGGTGCCTCACCCTCTCTTTCTCTCTCGGGACTAGACTCCATCTGCGAGTCTTCACTATCGTCTTTGGTGGGATCGTGCTTATCGATAGACATCTTGTCTGCCATGTCCTTCTTCCTTCCCTGATTGTACAGAATTAGTTGCACTGGCAGACGTTGTTTGTTCTGCCAGTGAGAGTGTGCGTGTTGAGCGTCTGGGACTGTGACTCTTGTGCAAGGTACGCCGTAGTATGTAGGTAGGTAGTGTAGAGGGCTCGGCAGGGGGGGGTTCCGGTAGTGGTTGGTAGTGGTGAGTCTTTGTTGATGCGGGGCCTGCCCAGGAGCGGATTCGGGGAAGAACCTAATGCGGGTTGAGTGCCAACGTGTGCTGCACCACGGCACTCGGAAAAAGCTTGGGCTGGGACAGCGAATGAGTTTTCGATATGGAATGGCAAGACACGCCCCAGGTCTCGGTTTCTCCTCTCTCTCACAAAGTTCCCTCGTGCTAAAATTCTCCGAACAAGATGGACTGGTCCAGGAACAGCTTCGGGAACCAGGGATGATGGCGCCAATCAGTGCGTAATCTCGAATCTGAAATCTGGGGAATGGGGGTAGGATCCGAGTTTCTGGGACCGGCGATAAGGCAAGGCAAGGCAGAGAGCGAGCGTCTGTACGGAAAAAGGGGGTTGGAAAATCAACACAGGCCCGCGTTTCCCCGGATTCCGTGTGTCAAGGCTCGACTTGAAGACGGTTTTTTGGAGGGCCCGAGATAAGCTGGAGGTCGATGACAGGTTGCGCATGTGTAAAGAAAAGAGAAGAATGGGAGGGTTTTATGTAATGTTAATCCCCCTGGAGTGGGTGGAGGGTCCGCAAGCCCCCGCCCATGTCCACTGGATGCTCGCTGGATCCTCACTGGATGTCGTCCACAGGGCCCCGGAGGTCATACCTACCCCAATGGCCCGCATACCGCCGCTACACTACGAAGACTAGGCTGGCCTGGCTTGTTTAGCCTGTCCCACGAGCTTCCCTTCCCTTGTCACTCGAGAAAAAAAAAGACTGGAGGAAGGGAGCCCCGCCAGGCAGCTCGAGTTTGTGGTCTGGCGAGTCTGGCCAAAGACAAATATCCAGTGTCTTTCCCCCTCCCCCAACACAACACAGGACCGCCCTTCCAGCTCTTCCTGGGACCGAAATGGGTCACCTGCGCCCGTTTTGTTGGATGGCACAGATGGTCATCCTTGACGACACTAGGCCGAAAACCCTATGGCTCCATCGACTTCTGGACGACCAACGTTGACGCCCCGTTCCACCCCCAGCCTCCGAACGCAATCTTCCACGTTGCAGGCTTCCCCAGACGAAAGTTCGAAACATCAGCACCGGCTCCTCTCTGGGTACGGCTATGTTCCGTAGTGGCTACCGTACCTGGACCCCGCGGCCCTCAGCGTTTGTCCTGGTTCCTCCTGTGTCCAACATCGACGGATTCTGCTTGGCTGCCAACCCGCTCCCCACAGTGGCATCTGGCGGACGACTTCGTCTGGAGCCAATGGTGCCTGTTGTGTTGCAAAGTGGGAATTCCCGATACCGCTTTGGGAAGTCTTTCTGCAGCACCTGCACCATCAGCCGATTCCATTTGCCTACATGGGCTTGGGCCGACCGGCTGGCTCCCTGTCTTCCGTTGTGCCCGTCTCCAACTACCGTGTACCTCGATGGCTCCTTGACATTACATACTGCTACCAGCAGATTTGGTCTCTTTTGCTACAGGAATGCCGATAGGGCTGGACAGGTTTCGCTGTTAGATCTTGAAATTTTACGTACGGGGATCCAGGCTGTCTCTACTCCCAATGATGGTTTGTCAAAGAGTCTTAAAATGCTTTGGCATAGAGGAATGGTAGACCAGGCCCCGTGACAGGCCGCATGAGCTGTCTCAGGAACATGCTGTTAGTGCGATGTTCGCCGGAGCCAACATCGGAGCCAACTTGCAATGGCAATGCCTACAGGTTCCAGCTTTCAACTGAGCTATGAATGAGCCTTCTTCGTCACCTCGAATAATGAGGAACTTACACAGGTAGATCTGGCATTGGTTGTGGCATGTAGGACTCTTGACTACTCGCCTACTGCAAGGCTCCAATGGTTCGGATGTGTGAAGCAAAACCCGCGAGATCGATCGCGTCTGGTGTGTCGATGAGTTCTCGCTTCAGGAACAAATTCTTGGCCACAATCCGATGACGCATCTCAGGCCGTTGAAAGCCATATCATTTTTTCTTTTCGTCCAAAAGGGCTATAGAGCCATGTAATATTGGTGAAGTACTGTCTCTCACCCACAGGCAGCTCAATATGGCAGTGAGCTTCAAGCGGCCATGGTTCGCAGCTTACACCTGGCTCGTATTCCCAAAGTCTGCAGATAATGACGTCCGTCTGAACAAAGGTAACTCGGCATTCTGAGGAGGTTGCCAATTCCTTTGGACTGAGGTTGTCAAGTTTGTCAACAGCTGTCAGCGAGATCGGTCTCGCTCGTAGCGGCGATGGGACGGCTAGGAGGGGAATCAAAGGTAGGAGGTGTGGTATTGCAGGTTTCATGCATCATCGGCGCCCCGACCTTGAGGGGCATGTTGCGGGTCGGTAGCGGAGCCACGCCGTCTCTCGCCTTGCCAAGCCACCAATACCCTCAAAATTTTCCATGGTCACCTGAGCCCACCAAACAAGCGGGCACGCTACAGTATGTACGGTCGACCTCCGCCCTGATATCTTGATCCTTCCATTGTGGATTGTGATATTGAGGGGGAATGATCTCTGGTTCGCTAGTCTTGGAGAATTGCAAAAGGGTTCTTGTCCCTCGTGGTTGTTGCGTGTTTGATGGGAATTGTAAAGTGCCAGACATTGAGCGAGTTGGCTGTTGCAAACTGCTGCTCCGGTTGCTCTCCAGGACCCCTGTCTAGTGTCTACAACATCGTGTAAGTGAGAGCTCTACGTTTAGAAGGTTGTGCAGCGGGCGTCAACCACACATTTTGCTTGGCGAACTTGGTTAGTATCGTCCCGGCTGCTGTCCTGAGGGCACGTGCCGAGCCATGTACACTACGGGTGCGGACGGGCCAGGTGACACTATCAGGTCAATGTGTTTGAATCCAGTAAAAGAGTGCATAGAGAATGCAGTGGCTGTTGAAGTATAGAACCAAGAAGTGGTGGAAAACACGGAGACGAGTGATGCCAAGGATCGATGAGTGTGATTGGTTACCCTACCATTGACCGGATGAGCCGCGTTGTTGGGGCTGACTGGCGCCGCGGGGAACACGAAAGTGCACAGCATAAAGGGGAAGAAAAAGCAACGACTGTTCACCAACTCGGAATTAAAGCCCCTGCTTGGGGTGGTATTGGCCAATGCAGGTTTCTCGCTTTTGGCGAGCTTTCCTTCCCACCTGAACCCTCAGACGCTTCTAGGTTGCCGGCCAGAGGCAAAAGAGAGCTTCAAAGTGGACTATAGGTATTGTGACAGAAGAGAACAAATCGTGAAGCTGGTCAGAAAGCGTAGCGAGTGGTTAGTCAAGGGTGAAGCAGTGAACTGCATGCGGAAGTCCTTGTCGTGGAAGTTGTACCCGTGGGGATTACCCTGCCGCGTTCTGTGCAATGCCTGGAACCAAATCAGGACGATAACAATTCCAATGGCGGAACGGACTGGACTAGCGGGGTAGACAGCGAATCAGCACGGCTTCCCTTGCAAAGTTTGTCTTCTGCATCTCCGAGGAGCTGATGGTGGTTTGGTGATGGTGGGAGGGGTGGAACTCTGGGAGGGTGGCTCGGTGACTGTTGCCCGGTGTCGGCCTTGGTGCTGTTGGCAGGCCTGGGCGAATCAGGTCCGACCAATTGTGTCGAACTCGCTTGGATTGTAGAGTCGCCTTTGGTCGGACTTGGAAACGTCATGGCCTTTCCGGTACCAAACTTGACGGAACAGGAGTTATGATGGAAAAAGTGTATGGCGTACTTGGGTGGCTCGATTAATTAGCTTGATGGGATGGATGTCAGAACAAGACAGAGTCTGAGAGAAGGGTGATGGCTCGCTTTTGTCACGCTTTGAAGCTTGAAGTGATCTGGGAGTGTCCAGATGCTTGGTAGACTTTAGACGCTTGGAGTTTTTCCACTTGTACAACTATTTTAGCATTATCAGAACCGGGCAGGATTAGCCGCAACATGGTCGATTTTTCTTTGGGTAATACTTGCGCAAGACTAGAACGTCAGCGAAGTGACTGTGTCGTCACTCATCTTTTTCAACAACCGATCCTGCGTGTGATGAACCACTGAGGAATTGCGGCACTGCCAACACTGACACAGAGCACGACCCGACAGATCTTTCAATGTAACCCGCGCTGGCACGTATGTGGCGTATCTGACGCTGGCGCGGGTTGTAAGGTTGGTGCTGATCACAGACATCTAGCATGCACATTGGGCGAGATGCGACGGAGACCACCGTCTGCAGGCCTTGAGGTCTTGAGGTGATGGAACGTTTTGTTCAAAAAGTGGTGCAAGTTAGAGGAAGCTGGTGATTCACACTAGCTGGGTTGGTGTTGCTTGAGTGTATGGCTGGCTGATTGCGGTTTCGGAGTAGACTAAAAGCCTGGAGATGTATGTGTAGACGTAGGTACTGGCCCTTCTTACCATAAGGCCGTCAGTGAAGGAATTGGTCCTGACCATGAGGTATGCCACAACCCCAAATATAGTCTGACATGGCATTACTGCTCCGTTGCTGGTCATGAGGAGATGAAACCTGTCCCAAGTGTCTGTTCGAGCAAGTGAAGAAAGGATGCTTTTCTAACTCTGCTGTTTTGATGCCCATATTCGGTCGCGACAGTAATCACTCGTGTCCATGTGTTGCTAGGCCATGACGACGGTGCCTTTTAGTCGGGAAATCGAGGTTGACGACATCTGGATGGCAGCAAAAACGATGCCGATAAGTGAATGCCTTTGATCAGACGGACTGAGAACGCAACCGCAGAATTCCGGCCCACCGCTTTGGTGCCTGGTTGTAGATTCAGTTCTTTGTGATGTGACTGGATGAAACCAAATGACGAGAGCTCAAGGTTGGGTTGAAGAGAGAAAGAACGACTTACTCAGATGGAAGAGAACTAAGATCTTGATTTCAAGTCAAAGTGAGAAGTGTCTATGATGGGAAGGTACCACCTCTGCAATGGCCCGGGGCTCCAGTTCGTTCGAGATGAATTCGAAATGGAAGTTGCGTTCCAGTCCGTCGTTGGAAGTACAAACAGTGTTTTGACCGGTTCTCACTGTGCAACCACGGTGCAGTGGTTTGTTTACACTGACGGCATCCGTCTCCAGTCCCGCAAACCCAAACCCAAACCTAAGAGCGAGCAACAACAAAAACGGAATCGACCCACCCCACCACGCTGGGCTGCTGCTTTCGCTTGCCTCGCTCTGCCCAACCTCGACTCCTCCACTCCATCGACTTCCTCTGTTCATCCCGCCCTTCTTTGATCGGCGACTGACATCATCTCCACCCCTACACGTCTCAATCTCTCTTAGCCTTCTTCGCATCTTCCATTCCCCCCATCGTCGCTCATCAAAGCCTTGCGCATTCCAACCGAAATCACACCACGCACCAAAAAAAGAAACAAGGCACTTCGACAATCGTCGCGAATCTCTGCATTGGCCAGCATTGCCACCATCGTTTACAGACCATGACGCGCCGTTCTGCACGATTAGCAAGCCTGTCCCAGGTACGTGCTCCCCCAATCGTTCGCGTAAACAAACATCAAACAAGCAGCGCCATACTATCTACTTGCCTTGCCCATGCTGCCCTACTTGTTGTATTGCTACCATGCCGCTGCTACGACCACCACCTCTACCAACACCGTCGCCGTCGCCGTCGCCAACACCCTCCGTGCGTGTGCTAACCTTGCCGCTCCGATCCCAGGCGCCAGAGTCTCCCGTCAAAGAACCTTCATCCAGATCGACGTCTACCCTTCAGTCCGTCTCCGAAACCCAGAGCGCCGAGCCAGAAACCCTCCCCGCACCTCGACGCCGCAAGAGTCACGCCGCAGCCTCGTCACCAATGCGCGTCCCAAGGACCCCGGGCAAGTCGTCGCCCGTCAAACTGCCCATGTCCGAGATGCATCCCAGCAAAGTCCATCCGACCATGGCTCACGCCCCTTCGTCTGGCTTGCGCTTGGGCTTTACTGACATCAAGCCAAACACCAACCGTGACGATGACCTTCCCCCCATCGCCCAGTCCACTCCCACAAAAATCTCGGTCCCCCAGTCCGACTTCACCTTCCGCCGTGTCGCCCAATCAGCAGCCGGCATAGCCCTCAGTACGCAAGCCCAGAGCATGATGGAGGACATCCGCAAGGAAGCCGAGAAGTACAAGGACGAGATCCGCCAGCGCGAAGCCGAAAGGGAAAAGGAGGAACAGGCCAACCGCAAGATCGCAAAGGCTACCGGCAAAGCAAGTCGCTTCAGCGAAGTTCACATGGCTCAGTTCAAGAAGATGGACTCGATCGAGAATCACCCCTCCGTCCTCCGAGCTCAAAAGGGCCGCGTTCCCGATCCTCTCAAGAAGGGCGTCAAGCGATCCCAATCCAAGGCAAATCTCGACGACACCGACCCAAGCCGTCGCTCCAAGGAGCCCACACCGACATCTTCTACCGCCAAGGCCAAGGATGAGGACGAGGAGGGCCGATCGCCCGCGAAGCGTCTTCGTCAAAACAAGGAGGACGACGTCTCCAAGGGTCGTGCCATCATCCACGATGCCGCCAGCTCCATTCCCAAGCCTAAGCCCGCTTCTACTGCGACTGCTTCGACCATTCCTCGACCCAAGTCTGTCCGCCAATCCATTATGAGCCCCACAAGATCCTCGCTTGCTCGGTCAACAGGCGCAAGAACCCCGGTACGACAGTCGCTGTTCAAGTCCCCCGCTAAATCGATCCAGAGTGCGCTGCCTCGACCTACCACTGCAAGCAAACTTCCCACCCTCAAGGAGGAACCTGTCAAGAATACCGCGAAGCCATCCGAGAACCAACCAAAAAAGCCTTTGGAGAAGCAGGCTGAGAAGCAGGCCAGCAAGGAGATCAAGCAACAAATCGACACCGAGATGGAGACGCTCAACGAAAAGGAAGCCCAGACACCCCAGCAGACACCCCGGGCTGATGTCAAGACTCCCACGAGCCGAATTGCTAGCGCCAAGTCGATTCTGCGGAGCACCACGGCTAGCACCATGACAAAGATCCCTCTGCCCGCCTCTTTTGGTTCCAAAACACCCACGTCCAAGACCCCGACTGCGTCGCGTACAGAGGAGACCGCTACCTCCGCTCATCTGACTACACCAGGCGGGAGCCTCGCCAAGCACGTGGCATTCACTCCTGAGACGCAGCGCGCCACTGTCGCTCAAGCGCTAAAATCCCCCTCTCCCGTCAAGCAGGCTCTTTCCAAGTCCCAGCCCCGCAAGGCACCTGGCCAAGTCTATTACCCTTCTTTGGACGCCATCCTGCGCGAGGAACAACTCGACCGGGGCCTTCTCTACCCCGATGTTACCGAGGAGGCCAAAGCCCGCTCGGTTCAGGAGCCTTCTGCTGTGAAGCAGTTCAAGGCTAACTCCACAACAGTCGAGGCATCGTCGGCTTCCGACTCCTTCTCATTCCGCAGTGAACGCACCCTCAACTTTGACAGCGTACCCCGCCCATCTTTCGGCGCCTCGCCAGGGCAATCGACCGTTCGCCCTGTTCGCCCATCTCTCCTCCCGACTGTGTCCGAGTCTAGCATGCCCGGTAGCTTCCCCGACCCAGAGGAGGTGATGTCACCCGTGATATTGTCACACAATAAGGAGAATGAGGCCCCGGCGGACCCATCGCTCATCTACCTCGCTCTGCCACACGGTCTCGCCACCAAGAAGCGCAACCGTGTCAGCACCGATGAAGAAGAACTGGAGATGGCTGAGCGAGCTTCGAAGAGACAAAAGCAGGAACCGGTGCCGGAGGGGGACGCGCTTCTTGCCCCGAGACTGGTTGGAACCAAGGCTGGTGCCAAGAAGCCGGCTGCAGCGCCGGTCAAGACGAACGGCTCCAGGAAGAGCATTGCACCCGTGAGCCCTCGTAAGAATCTCGGTGCTAGGAAGAGTCTTGCTGCTGGCGCCCGGAAGACGGCCGCTGCTTCTGCTTCCGCAACTACTGCCAGCAAAGAGAAAGAGTCACACAGAAGTCCGGTCAAGAAGGCGGCAGCTAAGATCAGTCTTAGTAGGTTGGAACAGCTCGCCAGGCCAAAGAACCGTAAGTAAGGGACAGACCGGCGCTTGACTTTGGACTGAGAGGCTTGACTATTGCTGCCTTGGGTTGGCATCAGCACTGCGGGTTACGGCTCGATAAAACCGTTGTTGCTACGTCTGGTACTATCACTCATTCTCCAATTCTCACTTGGGTTCTTAGGTACGGTTGGGTTGGCAGTCTGCATCGATTTTCTTACTTTGTACTCGTGGGTTTTGACCCTTTGCTCTCTCTCATGGTTGCTTCGGCCTGCCTTCAGAGGAGAGCCTGCATGACTTTGCTATGTATCTGTTTAGCTAGCCGTGGTGCTGGTCTTATTTTCACATTGCTCTATCTGTCATTCTAGAGGGAGAAAGGGCGTTGGCTGGTAATGGAGTTGATGTGTATATGGACATGGTTACAAGTAGGAGAAGGCTTTGATATTTTGCCGGTAGTTTCCTTGTGTGGTGATTTTCTAGCGAGTCTTGCTGGAGTGTGGATATAGGTTTTAGTTGAGGATCACCTCAGCCAGCTTGAAATATTGTACTTTCCATTACCCTTGAGTAGCTCCTTCCTTCCGGCCATGCCTGTTTCCGGTAAGTATGTGAGTGTATGTGCAGGGGGCTCTTGCCAATGTTGATGTCGGTCAGTCTTCCCGGATCTTTGCTGTAAAGACACGAGCTGACATGGAGGCTTCCAGTAGGACATGCCCCCTGGGGCCACATGCCATTTAGTTCTCAGTGAGAAGCCCGTCAGAGCATCTGTTGTGCTCGATGATCCTGAATTCTCAATTTCACCCATCGAGTTCCATATAAAAGGTACAAAGCATCAATAAATACAAAACCATTCGGTAGCGAGTTCGACATACACACTAACCTTACCGTACGCTCGACGACATTTGTTCTCGGACTTGTCTCTACCAACGCATCTTGGCCCGGACTTGGAGTGACAAAAGATGTGAACCCCATCTTCATGTGTCATATCGATGTTTTCGACCTACCGCATACTGTCATTCTTATCATGTTCCTCACCCCTACCAACAGATAACCCTTTCAACGACAGGTAACCTTTCGAACACCAACTTCGTTCGTCATGTCCTCCCTTCACAACACTCAACCCCGGCAACCCCCTCCGCGCCAACCCCTCGACATCCAACCAAGACCCTCGACAAGAAGAAACCGAGACGCCAACCCACCTAAACCTCCTTCCCGCTCCTCCTCCTTCTCCTTCAACAACCGCACTTCATTTTCATCCATCGACTCAGCGATTCATAACCATCCTGATTCAACCCCCAAATCCCAGTCAAGATCCAACAGCGGCGGCAACGGCATCCACAACCCTTCTGTTCCCACCACCGCCACCACCACCACCGCAGCGACCAGCAGCCAACCCCCAAAACAACAACAATCATTCACTTGTACCTTCTGTTGGCATCCCTACCCTTCCTCCGATCGGAACATCTTCCATCGCACCACCTCTAATGGAAGAGGCAGCTGGAAAATAGTACCAAGACCAGCTTGTCCCCCCTGCTACCGCGCCATAATCGACCTGTCCATCTACTAGGTGTGTGGCGAAGTGGTTCTGCGCGGAGAGGAGTGCGTGAGCCTGGGCTGGTGTTTCTGGCATAAAGCGTGTTATGGGTGTTTGTTGTGCGGGAGTAAGAGGGTGGTGAGACCGCCCGAGGTTGGGGTCGGGGAGCTTTCAGGGGATAGCAATGCAAAGGTGGAGAATAATAATAAAATGGGAAGAAGGGAGATGTTGGGAAGGAAGAGGGGGAGAGAGATTGATCAGGTGCCGCTGTGTAAGGGATGTTTGATTGAGGTTGAAGAGGAAGAGGGGCTTGGAGATGGGGATAAGGAGGAAAGGGAGAACGTTGTGGTGAAGAAGGGGTTGGAGAGGATTGATAGAGTAGATGGAGGGTTGACGAGACAGAGGTGGGAGATGAGGGAGGGCGGCAAGGAGAGGGAGAGGAAGAAGGAGAAAGAGAAGTCTAGGAATGGTGGTAAGGGTGGTTTATCGTCGTTGAGGAGGGGGGCGGTGGATGACAGTTCATTGACCAGAGACGAGATGGCTTCAGACTCTGGCTCAGGCAAACCCGAGACTATCTATGTCAACATCTTTGATCCTGTTGGTCGAGAGGCGTTTAGACCGGGTTTGATGAAGCCGATACCGGATTGGATGCAGACTGGAGAGCGGGAACATCTCGATCACAAAACCGGGACTATCAACTCGAGGCATGATAAGTCCAGAGAAACAATTTCAACGCCGCGACCCATCAGTCAAGGATTATCCGAGAGTTCGTCTACCACTACAGTTATTCAAACACCACCTCAGCCAACAGCCACTCACGCTTTAACCCGTCGACAATCAGGCGCAATTTCACCCCGCGCAACAAGCCCAGCGCCGTCCAATGAAGCTATATCGCGGCCCTCCTCAGTCCTTGGCCGACGAACTCCCAATCTTCGCACCGGCACTTCCTTCGTGAGCGAACAACCGCTCATCGTCCCTTCTATGTCCTCCAGCCATCCCAAGGAAACAACCAAAAACTCAGCCGAAAACTCAGCCAGCGACTCGTGGCCCTCAACAGACTCCAATCTCTCCTCAAATCCCACTACTTTCTCTTACAACAATCAATTTGAAACCCTCTCCCGTCCTTCATCCGTCCGAAACGTCGCCACCATTTTCGAACGAGGCATCGCGAGCAAAGACCAGCGCCACACACCTACCAACCAACCACTCCCTCTCCTACGCGTCCTCCAACAGCCCTATCATCCACTGAGTCCCACCAGCTCCGAGACTGGCTTTCCCTCTTCTCCGCCTCATCTCCAACCAAGCAGCCTAGCAAAAAGACAGCAGAGAGCACAAACCCACGAGCTCGGGGCAGCAAGTCTGCCGAAGCCAATCCAGATCTGGAGAGGTGGCCAGGCAGGACAAAAATCACAAATCAACCGGCTGGGCTCCGCAACCGTTTCGATACCGGTTGTATCCACTAGCTCCGAGTATCTGGAGCGGTATCAGCCTGCCAAGGCTTCTACAAGTCTTCTTTCTTCTTCTTCCTCCTCGACACAGGTGACTCGGTCGTCAGTACGCTCGATTCGGGCGGGTGGACCTGGTGTGAGCGCAATTACGAGGGGGTGGAAGGGACAACTCAGTAACACCACATCTTCGGGAGAAACTGAGAGATGTTTAATGGCAAATCGAGTTTCGGTGTACTCGACTTCTCAACCACCGTCGTCATTTGTGCAATCAACATACCAAAGTGGGAAGAGAACCTCCATCCGGAGGTCTGTGTCCCATTCGATACGTCGAGAAGGGGCTCTTGATGAGGGGGTGGGAGTAGGTGTAGAAGTAGGGTATTCCTCTCATCAAGTAGAGCCGTATTCAGCTGCGAACGGACAAGCAACAATCCGCCGGTCGATATCGCACTCTCTACGCAGGGAAGGAGCGCATGATCATGGACAAACTCACCACTTCACATCCCACTCTCAGTCACCTCAGTCACCAACTCTGCCGCCGAGAAGCCTACCATACAGTAGTACCCGCAACAGTTCGCCCAACGGTCCCACATCTCCCACTCCACTTAACATCACCGTCCAAAGAAAACTGACCAGGAACAACAGCAAGGGGGAACCAACTATCGGGAAACCGGTGGTAACCGCTGCTTCTACCAGTGCCAAAGAAACAGAAGGAGCAATCTCATCGTTGGAATCGTCTCCTGGCACAGGAACGAGGGAGGAAAAAGGAGGAGGAGGAAGTTCGGGTCTCAGGGGTAGTAATTGGACTCAAACTCGGACGCCGAGCGCTGGAAAGATGATGACGGCAGATACCAGTTGGGCGTCGGGTGCTGGGATTTCTGTAAAGAGGCTGCCGAAGCGTAAGAGTATGCATGCTGAGTTGAAGAGGTTGTTTGGAAGACAGTGATAGATGGATGGATTGGGTAACTAGATACCTGGAGGTACCTGATGTGTGATTGATTGGCCAGTCGGTGAAAAGACATTGTCTTTTGAGTATTGTTACTAGCAGTAGTTTTAGATTGTAGTTATTGATAGACCATCTATTACAGGAAATTGACCGGCGAGTGTCCTTGTCCTTTGTGATTATGCTGGTCATCCTCCTTGTCAGTATGCTGTCTCTCAGACAGAAAGACCTTGCATACTTGAGCACTGAAAGCATAATCAACCAATAACAAAGCACACATAGGGCGTGTGGCTCAGTTGGTAGAGCGTTCGCTTAGCATACTCATCTGTATGCGAAAGGTCCTGGGTTCGATTCCCAGCTCGTCCACTTCTTTTTGAAAATTTCCCCTTTTTGGACCCACTGCTAGTTTGTTCTTTTTGGTATTGCAATCCTTCAGATGAGGAAAACCAGGAGAGACAGAGGTTGCCCTGTCCTTTGGTTGTCTGCTGGGGCTTGGAATTAATTACTGGTTTCGCTTTTGACTCGAGCACCGGGATTGGGCAATTATCAAGATTGAATTCCCTTGAAGTTTGAAAGCCTCCTTCTTGATGAGCATTCCACCCGACGTCCATACTGTGCCTCCTATCCACGATCCTTCGTGAACCCCTTCCATGCGTACGCCATGCCACGATAAACCCATTGCCTCAAGAAAGTCCACGCAAAACGCCTAATCCCTTTTGTTCCTTTTGTTTTCTTGAACGCCATTACCCATCAAAACAACCATGTAAACCCTCAAGAACACCCACGAGGTCCAGATTAGCAATCAGAAAGGAACCACCTGCGACTTGTTGATCCCCTCCTCTTTCGCAATGTTTGGAACCATCTCTCTCAATCAGCCGTCCACACGGTCCGCACCTCACTCTTGTGAGATCGGTGATAGAGCATCCAGCGAAGCACACTCCTACTGCCCGCCTTGCTGCCCTTGTCCCTGTTGTCCCTGTTGTCCCTCACCACCAGCACTCAAACTGCCCACCACCCCTTCCCTGGCCCTCTCTTCGGTCCCCTCCGCCGGGCCAGGCCCCCCCGTCGCCTCCACCACCCTCTTGATATCCTCCCTCAGCTCCGGCAACGCCGCCTCCATCTCGCCCGCGAGAACGTCCCGGAAATCCCTAAAAGCGTGCATCTTGCCCCGCATGAGCTGGTTGCTCCTACGCACCAGCTCGATGAACTCGCGCGTGTACACGTCCGGGTTCCGTCCGTTCTCAACGTACGTGATCAGCGGGATCGGAATGCCTGGATTCTGCGGGCCCGGTTGGTGGACATGGGGCGCGTACGGGTTATGCGTGTTGTTGAAGGTGGAGGCGAATTGGGCGGCTTCGGCGCGTTCGAGTTCTGTGGTTCCCTGCTGTGGTAGATTGTTGGAAGGGGAGGAAGGGGAAGAGGGTAGGAGGTTCGCGGTGCGGTAGACGGAGAGGAGGGAGGCGTCGAGGGTTTGGAGGGATTGAGCAATGATGTCGCGCGAGGAGGCGTGTCCCCCGCCGCCGCCGCCGCTGGCTCGGGAGCTGGTGGGCGTGTTGTTGTTGCTCGAGGAAGGGTTGGTGTCGTACTGGGAGACTTGGACCATGAGGTTTAGGAGGTCTTGGATTACATTTTTGACGGACTCTATGGTGGGGGGAAAAGGGGGGAGTTAGTCAAGAGATCTCGTGAGGGAGTTGGATGGTTTCGGAAGGAGAGAATGGGGGAGAGACGCACCCTGCGCCTCTTGGTGAGTGGCGGTTACGGGCGCCATGGTGAAATGGCTAGCTGTTAATAAATGTTCTGGAGAGTGGATTAGGTTGCGATGGTGACTCGGGTGAATGAAGCTGGTTTGAAAGACATTGCTTTCTTCGCGTCGATGTGGCAGCTCTCTGCTCCGAAAGCGATGCCGAAAGAAAAGTGGTTGGTTTGGAAAAAGCGACTGCTGTTGTCAAGCTACAGTGGTGACGTTCGGTGCACTGATGTGGGTCAGAATACCCCCAATATGCGGAGGTGATTCGCTTGTTGCATGGGCAGCCCAAGGCTATCGCTATCGGATCCGACTTGCTAGGCTTATCAACTAACATGTGAATATCACCGCTTTCGGTCTACAACTACAAGTAATTACCTAAACTTCGAGTACATTATGAGTGTTCGCATACAGCAAGAGCTGACGAGAGTGTGCTTTCCCCGCTGCTCCCTCTGTGTTACAATGACCGTTGTGTTGCCGTAGCAACAAAGTGGCAGCCATCCGACACACAACAGCCCTTCACACATTCCCGTCAATCCGACATACAGAAACCACCAGCATGAAACGCTTCTCGATGGCTTCAACAAAGTAAATTATGCAACTTCTGCGACCCGGTGTAGTCTGTGTATGTCTAGCTTCCACTCCAGGTCTTGAACCGCCTTTTAGTATGCTACGCATCACAATGCAGCCCCAAACCGAACCGACTTATGCTTCTTTCCCTTTTGCCTTTGATATCTTCCGTCAATAAACTCCAACAAGTCAAGACAATATACCCTTTCAGCTGCCCCTTTTCACACTTCCAGATTACTCATACACTGTCCCCTATAGATCCTTCACAACAGACATTTTGACTCAGATTCTGCCTTCTCCTAGTCTTGCAGAGCCTTGAGCGCCTGGTTAAGTGGCACGATCCTCAAACTCCTTCCTCTTCTCAACCCCGGGCCCTGTTGAGTCTGGCCACTTTGCCCCGGATGCTGACTCATAATGCTAGAGTTGCTGAAACTCCTAACACTTCCCGGGCTCCTAACATCCGCAGGCGGACTGCCACTGCCGACGGTTACATTGCCACCAAGGTGATTCATAATGGTCGGGCTGAGCGAGTCCGACCACTTGCGGAATACGCTCTTGAGGTCTCTGGGAATACCCTCCAATACGACGGTGGAGATAGGGACAAAGGGACGGTCTTCCATGCCGGCGGCGAGGATGGAGTATTCCTGGGCGAAGTCGAGGGCGTTGTGGAAGGAGGCGTATTGGTCCTGAGAGCGAGCACCGACGATGATGTACATTTCGAAGAAGGCGTCGAGAACGTAGATGTTTGTGGAGAGGAGGTCTGTTTGTTTGAACGGAGAGATCTCGACGATCTGTTGTTGCGTTAGTGCATGTTGAATTGTCAGTGACGGGGAAGGTCAGATTAAAAACTCACCTGATCCTTGCCAGAGGCATTGGCATTCGAACAAAACAGTCTCCCACAGTACTTCTCGTAATTTGGCTTCAGCCTCCAATGATCCGCGCTCATCGGCCGGACACCCGGACCCTCACCCCCGAAGATATCCCTCCAGAAGTTCGGCGGTTCAAATCCTTCCTCAATTTCTTCCAGCTCCCCCATTAGGCTCAAGTCCATACCAACGAGCCTAGCACAGCCAAGCTCATCCACATCCGACCCCTTGCCCTTCCACAAGTAGCACTTGCCCTGCTTGGTGATCAGGTAAGGGAAACCAGAGCACAGGCTCGAAGGCGCAAAGTCTACCTCATCAAACGCGACCTGTCCAAGGAAGCGTCTGCCACAGAACATGGTTTGCGCGAGCGAGTCAAACTTATTGCTGGAACCGCGACGAATGATGACGATACCGCCTAGGGCCTGCATAAACTCGCTGGTCTCCTTGCCCTGCACCATCTTGACCAGCTTGCCGCCAAACGTTCTGGCTTCGCGCGCGGCATACATAAGGGCGTCGTCGGTGACCGCTTCGGGAACCTCGTCGCCAACCCAGAAGTACACCTCGCTCACCTTCTTGCCCGATTCGTTGGTGAAGGTGTGGGTGCAGAGGTACATCTCCCGCTCAAAGAGAATACGCTCGCGGTGGGCGGGAACGGGCAGCTTCTTGCCATCGGCCGCGAACTGGTAAAGCTGGGCACGTTGGGTTTGAATGCGGAAGCCAGGGTTTGGCCGCCGCATGATCACGTCGGCGGCGTCAGCCATGTAGCGCCGACGAGGACGCTCAGTACCAAAGAAGTCACTCAACAGTGCCTGGGCATCTGAGCCGTACTTTGATGCCGACCTCGTATGTCGGAGACCGCGTGGCTGTTGCTGAGTTTGCTGGTGCTGGGGTGACTGTGGCTGCTGCTGCTGCTGAGCTTGCTGCTGAGGTCGTGGCTGAGGTTGTTGCTGAAAGTCAAAGTTGGGGAGAGAAGGAAGCGGGATGCTGTCCTTGCGGGGCACAGGCGGAGCCTCGGCCTCTGGGGTTGCGGGCAACGGCCTAGCACTCTTGGGAGGGACCTTTGGCGGCGGCGGGGACTGCACCTCTGGCTGGGGCTGGGGCTCTGGGGTAGGGGCCTGTTCAGGTACAGAAGGTCTGCGAGACGAAGTGAAAGAGGGGCTCGACAGTGCGGAAAGAGGCAGTCTTGGTGGAAGTTCCGTTCTAGGCTCGGGAGTTGGCGTCTTGACTTGACCACGGGGAGGAAGAGAGGTGGTCGTGGCGGCAGCAGGCTCGATCGGGGGAGGCGATGTAGGTTTCGTGGTTACTTGAGGCAGACCCGCGTTAGCACCGCCTCCAAATAGCGCAGAGCCAGCCTTGACGGACACGACTGGTTCCGAGTCGACCTTGGTGTCTTTTACCGGCGAGACGTCCTTCGTTGACGAAGTCCGAGGAAAATCGGGGAAAGCCCGTTGTTTGACAGGGGAAGACGGCCGTGAAGTCTTTTCGGTCTCGGGATTCAGAATCGGCTGAGTCTGCTCATCAAGGAACCTAGACATTCTTTTCATATCAAGTTTTCTTGGGGAGGGAGACTGAGCGGCCATGTCTGCCTCAGGCTCCGCAGGCTTCATTTGGTGGTCGGCCGTGGCAAGGGCAGCCAGTTTCTCTTGAACAATTGATTTTGCGCGAGACCGTCCCCGGATCGATGTAGGCGTGGAGGGAGCTGCTTCGGAAGCAGCCTCAGAGGGCTTTTGGCTGGCCGCAGCTAAAGCGGCAATTTGCTCATGGACCTTGGATTTCGAACGAGTATGTCCCAACGCAGGTCGAACAGGCGAGGTCTCCGCACTACGCTCGCTCGGCTCTGCCTTCATCTTGTTCACGAAAGCAGCAGCTTGCTCCTGTACCTTGGACTTGGAGCGGGTGTGACTGAGCGCCGGCCGCACGGGCGACTGGGCAACCGGTTCCTTGGTAGGCTCGGCAGCTTCAGATGGTTGCCGGTTCAGAGTTGTGAATAGAGCTGCTTGCTCGTGGACCTTTGACTTGGAACGAGTATGACTCAGAGCCGGGCGAGCAGGTGACGCGGAAGCCATCTCGCTCTTGGGCTCAGCGGGTTCTGAAGGCTGCTGATTCAAGGCGGCGAACACGGTAGCTTGCTCAAGAACCTTGGTCGCTGAACGGCCGCGAGTAATCTTTGTAGGTGAACGGGAGGGAAGATCAGCAGTGTTGGGCTGTTCAGCTGGCTTAGGCTCCTCCGCCACCTTTGTCTTGAAAGAGTTGACGAGGTCGGCGACACTCCCAGAACGTTGATGTCCGTGGCTTTTCACAGACGCCCTAGAGTCAACACGAGTGATGAACTCTGGCTTTGGCATGGTCGGCGTGACCTGCTTCTCCTCGATAGGAGAAGAAACAGCCTCCTTCGCCGCAGGCGGTGACTCTACTACAAGTGTTTCCTCGTTATCCTCAGCTGGCTTGAGAACGGAAGTCGGCGCCTTTCTCCTAGGTCCACGGGCACGATTCTTCGTCATGTGCGTCAACTGGGGTCCAGGCTTGGGCGTAGTCTCCTCTTCAGCTGCACCAGATCCCTTACTAGCCCCTGAAGCGGCTGCCGGAGGGCCTTTGGCCAACAATCCTGCCAAGGCAGGGTTGAACCTGTCGGCTAAGCCGCCCACCTTGCTCAGGCGTCCTGGAACGTTGACTGCCTTGGGCGTTGTGGATTGCACCTCGTTGGTCGCAGAAGCTTCCTTGTCCAGGCCAGTGGTAGGCTTTGGTGCGATCTGAGCTGCAATGTCAGTAAGTTCTCGCCTCTTGGGAGACAAAAGGCCTGTCCGGTCAAAGTCCAGGATGCTGCCTGGAGAAGCTGCACTCGGCGACGTAACCGAAGAAGCAGAGCTTGGCAGATCGACCGACTTGGAGGAAAAGCTTCCAGACCGACCAAGTTCCAGTCTCCTGGCAAGCGCCTCGGGGATTGCCTTCTCGCTAACGACAGGGCTGGCGGCTTTGGTGGGTGACGACTGGCCCTCCTGCTTGGCCTTCTGAAACTCCTCTTTCTTCTTGAGAATGGCCTCCTTGAGCTCATCTTTTCGTTCACTCCTCATGGGACCTCCGGTATGGTTGAGCAAAGACTTTCCTCGCAGAATGTTGTCCTTGAGGGGGTCAGGAGCCACCCATTTTTCGGTCTTGGCCCTCCGAAGTTTACCAAAGACGTTCTTGAGCTCATCCACCTCACCCTCGGTGCCTGCACCAGAAGAGGGTGGGGCGCGCGACTTCAGGTTTGCCCGGAAATCCTTCAAAACGGGAGTGCTGGCCTCTTCGGTGGTGGGTGTCTTTGCCAAAGACGCCGGATCTTCGCTTCCTTTCCTCAAGAGAGGGCTGACAAGGTCGTTACGCAAGCCGCTCAATGCGGGCTTCTCTGCTGCGGCCGCACTCGTAGAAATGCTCAGGCCAGTGGAGGGTTTGAAACCTGAGCCAACCGGGGTAGTCCGCATAAGTCCACCCGTTTTGACTTCGGTCTTTCTCAGAGGGACTGAGGCGCTGCGTGAGAGATCAACGCTGGTGTTACCGGTCTTCTGCGCCTTAGCCTTGTTCAACTCGACCATCCAGGCCGGCTGGTTGGCGTTGGGGGCTGGCTTGGTCTTTGGCGACTCGGGCTTGTTTAGAGCAGCCTCAAGCCAGCTCGATGACTTGGAGGGGCTCCATCTCCGGGGGTCCATTGTCTTGGAGGGGCTGACGGGTATCGACGTATTCTCCTCCTCCCCCCCCTCTGTGTTGGTCTCCTTGGTTTCGGTCGCAGACGGTTGTGGGGTGATGCTAAGCGGAGCAGGAGTGACTGGCCTATCTTCCTCGTAGCTCGGAACGGGTATTGAAGCTGGTCGCGATGCCGGCTTTGGATTAGAATCGTCCTGGGTCGTAGCGTCCGGCTGAGTGTCCGGCTTGGTGGGACTGCCTAGTTGAGGTCCAAAGATACTGTTGCGATTCGAGGCAGTTGACTCGGCACGCGCTAGGCCTGCCGAGTTAACGCTCCATCGCTTAACACTATCGGAGCGCTTCATCATGGCACTCTGCACAAATCCACCTAAGCCCTTGGTGGGAGAGCCAGTTCTTGATGTGGCAGGCGAGGCACGGCTATTGGGAGACATCATCGACATGCGATTAGAAGGTGGCTCCGGCTCATCGTGGGTGGAATCTCCAGTTGGAGGGTCCAAACGCGGTGCACTGGTGATGAGAGGAGAATTGAGCAAGCTCTGACGGGCGGGTGTCGCCTCTGGTTCTGTAGCGGCAGTGGTGTTCGCACTGGCGTCTTGAGCCATATCGGGAAGCTGGGTGCGCGACAAGTCGGAAGTGTCGACCGTATCCTCATCTTCCACCTGTGCTGTCTCGGATTGTGGTGGCTGTTCCTCTGTGGGAGAGGTAATGGCAGCGTTTGCCCGACTGGCAGCCGCATTTTCAGCAGCGTAAACAGACAACGGTCGAGTCTTGGGTCGCTCAGAAGCTTGAGATGTAGGGCGTCTCTGCCAGGAGAGGGGACGGGCCGAGGGCATAGCAGCCGAAGGGGAGGTGAGGATCTGGCTTGATCGCTTGCTTGGTTCGGACGAGTCAAAAGGCGTCGACGACGACGGTGGCGACGACGGCGACGACGGCGACTCGTTCTCCTTTGTGGGTGAAGCCAGCGACAGGGGCTCCATGGGGTCGGATAGCTGGACAGAGTGTGCTCGGGGGCTTCCAGTAGTTTCGTGTGCGGGCGAGGACAGGTCTACGCCATCGGGGGGTTGAATGGTGCTGGCAATGCTAGCAATGCTTGTGCGGTGGTGGTGGGTGTTTGCCGGAGACGATTTCTGAGGGGAGATAGACCTTGCGCGCTCTGTGAACATGGGACGAAAAATAAGTCAGACCTCATCAGTCAAGTCAGGCCTCGCATTCTCTTTGCATTTTCGTTCGTATGTGGTCACCCGTTGGCCCCGTATTCGGACTATCTTGTTATCGTCGACAACAACAACAACAACAACAATAACAACAAGATGGCACCGAACATTGGGCAACGACCAGCCCCTTTGATGAGCAGCAACAGCAGCAGCAGCAGCAGCAGCCCCTTGGACGTGTATGTGTAACTCGTGGAAGCTCCTGGCCTGATCCGCAATCCCCCGCCTACTTAGGACATGGAGAGAGAGCAACAACGAAGTTGTAGTAATGTAATAATAGAGTAGATAGAAAACACACCTAGTCGTCTTGCTTGTCGCTCAGCCTTTTCCGCCAATATCTTTTGTTCCAGCTCGCGCGAGCGTGCTTCGTCTTCTTCCTCACGTCTTCCTTTCAACAGCTCGACAGAGCGCAAAAAGTCGGAAACCTCGTCAGACATGTTGTCTGGTAACCTCCGGGGTACAAGGTCCAAGTATTAGATTATAAACGTTATTTAAAGAACAGACCACTCCCAGCAGCACCAACACATCCAAGTCGATGCGTAGGTATGCAGATGGAGAAGGAGCGGAACCGAACTGAGACGACTGGGCGACGATGCCTGACAGTGGCGTGCTTGTGCTGTCGCTTGCTGTCTGTCGCTATCTGTCGCTGTCTATTGTGGGCGGGAGCCGAGTGGTACGGACGAACGAAGGAACGAAAGGGGGTAGCCGAAGGGAAGCGGAAGGATACGAAAGGGGGGGAGGAGGGGCCGAGAGAAAGGTGTGGAGGGAAAAAGGGATGGAGGGATGTCCCGGGCACGCTGTCAGAAATGACGGCCGTCAGTTCAGATTGCTTGATGTCAACATGAAATACACATGTACAATGGACGAAAGAATCAATCAGCCGGGTTGACCGTCTACCCTGGAGGCGGAGCTGAAATCCTGGGCGGCTACAATGTGCTGCTTCTTGGGAACTGTTCCGTCTCCAAGGATGCCCGGGCACGCAAGGCACGAAAGTGTCGGGATGCACAGCGGGCGGGAGCGGGGCACACCTTCCACGAGCCTCCAATGAATCCACAGGGTGGATCCGATGCCATTTGTGCAGCTGGTGCCCAATCGATGCCCCGAGAGCGCCATCTGACGGGAAGCAAGCTGCAACAACAGAGCACCGTCAGGTACAGAGAGCGACGGAGCAACGCAACAGCCGGCGACAGGGCTGCGCGTGCCGGGCTGCCATGAAAGTGGAAGCTCAGCCCAAGATGGAACCTTGATTTTCGAGTCCAAGAAAGTCAGCCCAGAATGCCCTCGTCCTTGTTGACCCATGTCTCTCATCTATACTATAAGCAAGGCGGTATCGGCCTAACTGCCCTCCACGCATCAATCACGTTCTTGGAAGAGATCTTATTTTCGAGGCTTCCATCAGTCGTTGCGGACTCTAACTCCGTTTCAACCTAACTGAGAAGGTCGGACCATGCGTCGGAAATGCTAACATCAAAATGTCCATTATGGTTTCTTCATCGACAGGTACCAACTTGTCCGGTTTTATCTCTACCCATCACCGCTCCTTGTTTGTGTACTCCACCTTTGACCCGTCCTTCTGGAAGACGCGGAACCTCAAGGGGATCAAAAGGGAGGCTCGCTTCCCCTGAAGGCTGACCGCTGCTCGACAGATCTCCCAACCGTCTTGTTCATGTATCGCCTCGTATCCTCACGGCAAAATAGACAAACCAAACATCGTCTCACATCTCATCTCGGATACGGCCCGTGCCTTGCCGACCACCAATCCCAACCACTAACCAGCTCTTTGTCCTAGTACAGGAAAAGACGAGCCTTTGCATCTTCAACCACCCACGCCAAACCCTCCTTGAGATTTTCACCTGTCATGGCACTACACCGCAGAATATTCCACTTATGCGTCCTGATTTCATCGAGTCGCAAAGCCTGGGGAGAAACACATCAGCATTACTACTTTCGCAATGTGAAGATTCAAAGGAAAGATCATCAAGTATAGGTACTCACCTCCCGCAGCTCGTCCTCAGACATGCACCCCCTTACATCGGTCTTGTTGGCAAACACAAGCAAGCTTGCTCCCGACAGTCGCTGGATGTGTAGATTTGGGTCAATAACGTGGACAAAATTGGCAAACTGGAGTACAAATCATATTTGAGCGGGGATTACTCACCTCTTCCTGGAGCAGACCGTGGAGTTCATCTTTGCAGTCCTGAATGCGAAGCCTGTCCGTGGCATCAACGACCCAGATCAACGCATCTGTCTTTTCAAAGTAATTCCTCCAGTACGACCGCAGCGTTTTTTGGCCACCAACATCCCCTATACGTATTGTTGTGATTAGAATAGGTCACAATGAGTTTTTCCAAACCTATGCCCATGTAACAGAAATTTACTACTTACAAATGTTTAGCTTGTAACCCTCATAGTCTATGGTTTTGATGATGAACCCGAGTGTTGGGCTGACCGTGTTCACATCTTCATTCATGATTTTCTTGACAATCGTCGTCTTGCCTGCATTGTCAAGACCTCTGCGTTGGTACCTGTCAGCAAATTGCGCATAGTGCAATCGGACTGGAAGCAGGCATGTGATTGCTTACAGCATGAGGATGCGAAGCTCTTTGTCCTTGAGCTTCGCTTTTCTTAGAATTGACAGCATCTTGTTGGCGGGGGTAACGAAATGCGAAAACCAAGCAGTCGGTGAATTTTCTACACGGCCTATTCGTGTATAGCGATGTCTAAAGATCGGATCTGCTGACAGAAACCAACTTTCTAAGCTATTGCCAATTCTACGAATCTGGTTGTACTAGCTGCCTCGCCGCTGAATATTCCAAGTGATGGACATGAACATCGGCTGCCCTGCTGTTGCATGCATTCCCGTCCCCACCTTTACCACCACATGTTTAAACCAATCAGATTCGTGCGGTATATGTACGCGGGTACTTGATTTCTGATCCCACGTGATACCCTTCAACGTCAACTCTTCAGCCATCCTAAAGACACTCTGATTCGACGCGCGCAACGGACGTCGCAAGTAGAAACAAGAGACAACTATCGACGTATAACTCATTTCATCATATCTCAAAGTTATCAAACACCGGGCGTACTTTGAGAGTGAACCTCTCCCTCTCTAGAAACGATCATGTTGGCCTCGGACGTTAAGGCTACAACCCAGAATCAAATGTATCATGACAAGCAGATATTCAATCCGTCTGGAACAATTGAAATCCATGAAGTACATACAATGCAGCTGACCGGCAAAATGGGAAGATATTGCTAATGGCCTCGAATCAAGCCTTCCAGTCTAATCAACAGACTAAAGCATGCATGCGACCTGAACAAAGACACAGATCCAAGGGCGATACACTTGACTGACCTTTTGAGACCTGGAGCTGTCCTGAGGTTGGCAGATATGCTCATTGACGTACAAGTTGTCATCTGAACTCTGGCCAATTCCATTGACGGGAGCTGGGTTCGTTTGGAGAGTCCAAAGGTTGGATGAGAGACGGATTGGTTTACCGTGGAGGCCGCATGCACCCTTTCACTTCTCTCTCTCAATTCAATATCACAACAAGGGTTTGTGATTGACGTGATTGGATTCTCGAATTGTCACTGAACCTGGATCTTTCAGGACGGCACCTTCCAGCTTCCGCCAACCTTCCAACAACCTAACTTCACTTCACCACAAGTACAAGGAAGGTACGGACCGTCTGTCAGGCCTCAAATCAGCTGCTAGCCACTTTGTTTGAGGTGCACCTGCCGTCTCATCTTCAGGTTTTACCTTCCATTCACCACCGCACGTACAACGCTCAACCCCGCCCTAAAAGGGCAATCTTGCAACCGCTGGCTCCTGCTTTCTCTCTCTCGCAACACCGTCCCTCTCACAACCCTTCTCACCTTCCTTTGTACTTAAACACTCCCGAATCCTACCGCCTGTCAGCATCTGACGGGGAGAACCTGTCTACGGACGGGAGCCTCAGCTACCTCTACGGAGCGCAACCGCTGGCGTCGATCATCATTCGATTCCGACCGAGTGCGACGAGCATTTGTCGCTTCCTCCGTCTTGCTTCCACTTCTAGCGAACTATCGAACTTCTTGCCTCTTAGCACTTCCACTCCAACTTAACTGACCTCGCATCAAGGATTTGCGACCATAAGTTGACGCCACCAACCAGTACCCGTTAAAGGCCCCTACACGAGCTGGTTAACTGTCGAAGCAGTTTGACCTACGGCAAAAATACCGAGGATTTGGACTCGACGACGATCCGACAGCAGGCAGCTACTCATCATCATCAAAGGCATCTCGCCAGCTCACAACGGTATCCTGTCTCAAACAGGCGCCTACCTGCTACTTCTCCTACCCCGTACCAAGGTGTATATCATCCATTCACAGTTCTGGTTTGGGTTTGTTCGATCGCCAAAGCAAGCAACTTCTGCGACCTGAATGGAACATCAAGGCGGCGACCATCAACCTCCTGACACCTAACAGAGTGAGTATGTGCAGTGCTACACTTGCTTATCAAATGCTAACCATGTTTTACACTTTATTCAGGGGATTGAAAATGACTGGCGAAAAACAAACCAAACCCGAGGCTCCCGCCATGCAAACAGTCGATTCTGGAAAACGGGTTGCCTCAGTTGCCCCAAGTACAGAAGAACGCCCCTTAGCTATCATCCACCAAAATCTCAATCCAAAGTTCAAGCCAGTCCCAGAAGTTTCTCCTCATCTTGGGCACCTTCCTCAAGGTCGACGCATTGTCATCAAAGACCCAAAGGGCAAAGTTGTTGACTTCAGCAAGGCAAGGATTTCCGCCACTCCAGGACCAAGCCAGCAGCAGCAACCAAAAGCGCAGCCCAATACTGCCTCGAGCCCAGATGGACCCAGCAGAGCTGCGTTGAAACCAACTCCCCAAGCTGGCAACCCCAACAACTCTGCATGGGGAAGTACTTCCCCGACAGGATGGGGACCACAAGTCACAAAAGTCGATCAGCCAGTTGGTGCTGGTGACCAGAACTCGGGTGCCTGTCCACACACTCTGAAGGGCGACCAAGCCGTCGTTCATCAGGCTAACGCGCCTGCAAACCCCTGGGCAGCTGAGACGAAACCCTGGCAAGCACAGAAAAAGCCATGGGCAACGGAGAGGAAACCCTGGGCAGCAGAAAAGAAACACTGGGCAGCAGAGAAGAGATGGCACGTTCCTCAGCCCGGTTGGAAATCAAAAGGGCCGCAAGAGCACCGACCCCCGCCGGTGCCTGCTGATTATATGGAGCATGAACTCCCTATTCGCCGGCTTGACTGGTCAGGCTCGCAACGGAGCCCTCTGTCGCTCTCTGACTTTGATTTCAGCGATGGTCCTGAACAAGTCAAGGAAGTCAATCAGAAGATGTCCCTGGATATTCGTAACGAAATCGGCGTTGAAGTCCCCATGTACCGGTACAATAACGAATTGGGCAACCCCACCATACGGTTCGGTCACTTTTTTGATGGCCAAAATTACGATCTAGGCCTTCAAACTGAAGACTACAACAAAAACCTGGTAGATTCATGGATCCGGGACGTGACTGTCGATGCAAAGGCATATTTATATCCTAAGCGCAATCACTTCAATTGTGATATCAATCCAGAGACAGGATGCTTTCTCGCACCTGTCGCATACCCTGAGACTCGAGTGAGCGAAGCAGAGGACCCGGAACTTCGATGGCGTCAGAAGAACTGGTCATCGGAGTTGCTGCGCAGGCGCAAGCTCGCGCCCAAGAGAGGTGGGAAATACTATCGAGGAGAGGTTCCACCGTCGAGCCGCCAGCCACCGAATGTTCAAATCAACGTCAACATTGCGGACTTATTTGTGCCCCAGATACCAATGCATTTGCGCCCTGCTACAGCTTCCGATATGGAGGCAGTGGCATCCCTCTACAACAGCGAAGATGTCCAGAAATTCGATTCTGCACCTTTGGGACCGGCGGACTTTGAGAAAATCCTTACGGACACCCATGGGCACGAATTTCCCTTCATCGTTGCCGTCAGCGGCTCGGCTAGGGTGGAAACGTTGAAAGATGGCATTAGATTCGAGTCAAATCAACCACAGCAGCAGGTCCTCCCTTCGAATCTCCAAGAAGGCTTGGTTCTTGGGTTTGCATACCTCTCAGTTTGGAAGCCCGGTTTGGCTGGCAGTAAAACAGGCACCAGCAGGGCCACTGCTGAGGCCCATGTGTATGTTCATACCTCTTGGAGACGCAAGAAGATCGGATCTGCACTCCTGGATCGGCTTCTCGCCTCGGTTTCACTCAACGCGAAGTCAAAGGAGATGTGCGACTTCTGGGATCCTTCACGCAACCCTGCTTACGCGGCTCCCTGCCAACATGACCGCTATACCTTCAAGATTTACATGCAGTACCTTGTCAAGACCAAATGCGACATCAACAATGGATTCAACAACATGGAGACTCAAGAAAACCAGACCGATGATATCGCCTGGTTGAATAACCTCCTCGAAACCAAATTCGGATTCAAGAAAAAAGTCCGTTTCGAAGCCGCATACCGCTCGCCAAAAGTCGAAGGAGAAGTTAGCTATTGGCTGGATTCTGTCGTGTTTGAACATACCTGCTGCAGTCCTTCATGGATCAATCAACTCTACTGAGGCAACCAGAATTGGCGAATGGGTATCACACCCTCAACCCACTTGGTCATTGTCCTACTGCCCCTTCGATTCCTTTTATCCTCATCTTTTCCTTCCCATTTTTCTTTCATCAGCATCTGCAAACCCTTTCCCTATGTTCCTTTTCTTTCACTATTCATCTCTCGTCTGAGAAGATACAGATGACCTAATGAGGCTTGGATGAGCAGCTGACAAGGAAAGTAGATGACATCATTTGCTCACGATCTCATCGTGTAAAATCGGCGAGTTCGAATTTAGTGGATGGTGCAATGCTCAATCTAGCCTTTCTGAGGTTAAGTACATTCAATATGAAACGAAAAAAAGTTCCAAAATATCTTTGTAGTTCCGTCGAACTCTGAATCTTGTTATGGTCGCTGTTGGATTGCTTTTCTGTTACTTGCTCATCAGAAACCCATCTGTTCTGGGTTGTGTGAAGAAGTCAATGTTAGTGCATTAACAGATCTTACTCCAAGCTGTTAGGTTGCTTTCGGTCATCGGGGCAAGTGCTGCCCGTGAGAAGTCCGAAATCCCTGTCATTCCTCCACAGGCTCCAACTGGGTCAAGTCAGCAGTAGCGATGAAGCCACACAGAAGGCTGTTGTCATTACCAAACCCTCTTCATCCTGGTCAGGAGTTTTAGGTTATAACGTGTCGCAACAATCTGAATCGGCCTTCGGGATCATTCATCTTCCCCGGTTACCTGGTGTTTGTTCTCGGCGTCTTGTTTGCATCAAACCCGCGAGTTTACGATAGATGAATTGTCTTTCAGACCCCTAAGAATCAGCTAAGCACGCTTAACTGATTTGGGCAGTGGACGGATAACGGGGTTATCGAATATCAGATGGCCAACGGCAATACGGATACCACGACGACAGCCGAAGGAACGTTGGGAGTTGGATCAGGGGTCCAACAATCGGCACAAACCTCTCCAGTTGCTAGTTCATCAGACCAAGATCTGGAACCATTGGCATGTATGACATGTCGGAGCCGAAAGCTGAAATGTGAGTATGCGGTTCGGCAGCTTAGACGCATCTCGCCTATGAAACCCCCTCATACTGACTACTTTGAACGTCTAACTTTCTTCGACTCTTTGATGTAGGTGATCGCATAAAGCCAATATGTACACGATGTGGGACGGCAGGGGGAGAGTGTGTGTATCCTGAATCAAGGAGGAAACCGAACTTCAAGCGGCGAAATGTGAAGGAACTCGAAGAGAGATTGGGCAAGTCATTTCTGTTTGTCCGACACACAGGCTAAATCAGCTAACATTGTCAACGATAGCTCAAGTGGAAGGCCTCATTCGAAATGTCACCAAGCAGTCCTTGGGCCCTGATAACCAGGGTGCAAGTGATGATGCGAGCGCTACTGCTGCCCTCGACAAGATGAGTGCTACCACAAGCTTGGATGAACTATCAGAGGAAATAGTGTCGGGCTCTGAGCGAGCCAGCTACTCGTTTGGCTTTGCATCTCATGGATCAGCGTCTAAAAACGTTAGCCATATGGAGGCTGCCCCGGCACCTGACAGAGCAACTTCGTCAAAGCGACCACACTCACCTCAACCTTTTGAAGCGCCACGAGTAGGAGGGACTGGGATCGGAGGCTTCAGTGACGATCTCATTGAGCTGGGAAGGTTCGAGGGGCTACCACCTATTGAGATGATCGAGGATCTGTGAGTCTCTCCCTAAATCATTCCATCCGAAAGATTATGCTAAAGTAACGGGACGTGAAGACACCGATTGTTCTTCCACTTCCGGAAGCCAAAGATCGTGCCCATTGTTCACCCGGGAAACTACATGCGAGCATTCTACTCACCCACTCATATGCGTCCGCCCATGTGTTTACAATACGCAATCTGGGCAAATGCGGCAAAGGGACATCCCATGTACGACCGTTATTACGACGTCTTCTATCATCGTGCTCGTCAGTACTTGGAGGCTGATGAGCTGAAGGTCAGTCAAATCTCTGGGGTTCTAGCCGGATGTTTCCCAAACTGAGTATGAATCGTCAGGGGCTGGGCGAGCATTTCATAACGCTTCATCATGCCCAAGCATTGATTTTGACCGCCATCAATGAGGCCCGCAGTATGCTGTTTACCAGGGCCGCAATGACTGCCGCAAGATGTGCCAGACTTGTGCACATGTTGGGTCTTCAACGACTCGATGACCCCTCAGGGGATGCAGAAGACTCTGATGGGCACGTTTTGCCTCCTCCCAAGAGCTGGAGTGAATTAGAAGAACGTCGAAGAACATTCTGGGGTGCCTACTGCGCTAACGTACATATCACCATGAACACTAGGTGGCCCATCATGATTGATGTAAAAGACGTAAGGATATCCACTTGACGGGATCGATCGGGGTTTCAAGACTAATGCCTCAGCAGACCACAACCCGTCTTCCTGCCTCCGAAGATGCCTTTAATACAGGCTCTTACGAAGCCTCGCCCACACTCCAAGAAGCTTTTGGTGGCTCCTCCTATTCCTCCTTCGCTAGCATGGCCGTCATAGGTTATCTGTTTAACGAACTGCTCAACCATGTCCACCGATCAAAGGTATCGGACCGGCCCGACGACCTTCAAGACGGTCCTTACTGGAAACGCCATCGCGAGATTGACAACAATTTGGATGATGCCTTCATGTTCTTACCCGACAAGTTTCGACTGCCCACCAACATCACGGAAACGGTGGCGCTGCAGGTTAATTTGAGTATACACGCGTCCGTACTCTGCCTGCATAGCGCTGCTTACGACACGGTAAAGAAGTATGGGCTCGACAAGCGGCTAGGTGAGAGGAGTAGAGTGAGGAGACTGAATGCTGCGAGAGAAATCGTGAATATTATGAGGTTGGCTAGAGAGACCATGAGCCCTTACGTAAGTAGTGTTCTTCGATGTACTTCTTCCATGCCACCACTGGCAGTCCGTTTACTAACAATGACACTTCACTCTGTTACAGAAAACCCCCCTGGTAGCCCTCTCCATGTACTGCGCCTCCACAGTCTACATCGATCTCGCAAGAGAAACCTTCACATCCCCCTCGCCAGTTCCGCTCCCGCCCTGGGTGGCTCCCGAGCTCGAATTCATCGTCAATTGCATGGAGTCCATCGGTCGGCAACACATAATCACACGTGCCTACCTCAACCAACTCCTCCTCGATATTGAGCAAAACGATGTCAGTGCGTTCTTCAATCTACCCAACATCAAGCGGTATGGATGTTGCAACCACGGAATTCCCCTGCTGGGGCGAACGGCTGCGTCGAAGTATACGAAAAACGGTGGGAGGCCGGTGGTCCCGAGAATGATGTCTATGGGGGGTGGAGGTAGGATCATACCCGAAGAAGCAAGTTGGAGTGGTGGTGGTGGTGGATGTGGGATAGCAGTGACGGCGGCGCAAGCCTGTGGTGGCAGTCTGAACGAAAACGGGGGAGCTGCGGCGGGAGTCGTACCACCACCGGAGTGTGAGCTTGGTGCCTGTAGTGGTGGTACTCAGTGTCCGGATAGGCAAGGCCAAAATGGTGACACTACAGGAACCAGCGGCGGAAGTAGCGGTCCTGGTCTCGCACCGGAAGCCAAACGGAGACGAATCCATCACGAACAGCAGCCCTTTCTCGAACGCATCGACCTTTCCGACTTGTTCAAGTTCGGTAGCTCCGCGCTCCCCTCTCAGTATCGACATCGTCAGCCTACAGCAGCAGTACCACCAGATTTCACCACCGAAAGCAGTGACGAGTTCAACGACGGCTGGGGCCCGGGACCCGCGACTGCTGTGGGACCTCCCTATTTAATGAAATCCAACAGCGACGCTTCCCAGCCGGTAATCCAGCTTCCTCACAGAAGTGTGAATGATTCATCCACTGCGATGTTTGCCGATAACAGTACCGGTACCGAACCTTCATGCATCCCTGTTTTCGACCCTAACCAACATACCCCGCTAGAGGACATGACCAACATGGACCTTTTCTCCAACATCACCGAGACGGGAGGAGTGAGAGGGATGCGAGGGATAGGTCAGATCGATTTAGGCTTGACAGACGTAGTGGTCGATCCCTTATTTTTGAGTAACAGCAACGGCAACAGCAACAGCAACAGCAACAACTGCAACTACGACGACCTTGGGAACAACATCAATACCTGTACTGGCAAATGCCCTCTACTTGGAAATCTTGATGGCATTAGTGGTAATGCCAATGGCGATTACAATAATGAGACTGCTACAGCTGGGGGACATGGAGGAGATGATGATGGTGATGCGTGGATGCTGCTTACCGACGACGTAGGGAATTCTGGCACTCGCACCACGACGGGGGAAGAATCACCTGCCACGGGTACGGGAAGTTGGGATAATGTGCTCTGATTTTGCGCACCCCTTTCACGGTAATAGCACACGACGTGGTGTAGATTGTCCTTGTGGAGGCGTTTCTTGGCATTGAGGCTCAAGGGGGGGAGCTGTGGACTCATTCAGGGGGAAAAGGTTGTAAAGTAAACAAATCGCTGCTCACTCGGTTAGAAACGGGTTTGGAAGAGTTGGCAGCTCGGTACCCTAATACATCTCAGATTTTATATATGTGACTTTATGAAAAAGTTTGTGAGCTGGTAAATAGCTAAGGCTGAAGACCCAATGAATGCATGGTAATTGATAGCCATTGAGGTTTCCACCATTGACAGAACGGCGATTGTTTGTGCATTTAATCGACTCTTGATGCCATACACTTTGCCCGGGCAGGTCGGCAACAAACTTGAGACCACCTTGACTCTCGCCATTGTTGTGCAATACACGTATGGGTAGGATGGTACCTAAATTCAAGCATATTATAGGTATATATAGAGGGATAAATAGCTGGCCCCGCGACCTGTCATGTGCATAGAACAGAACATCTTCGCGAATCCCTTTTTTAGATCCTTCCGGTATCGGCGGCAGCGCTCTCAGGGGGCAGGCCTCTCATGACGCGTAGTAGCCGAACCTTTTCCTTTTCCAACCCATCTCATTACTGACACTCCCCACCATCATATTCCTCCTAGAGTCCTCCTTTAGGTGGGATCAGACAGACACGCCAAATCATCCGATGCATGACTTCCTTCGGGCTCGCTTAGAAAGCAAACACCTGATCCTCCAACTTGCTAACCGGCCTAGCCTTCTGGAAGCCCAACGCCTCCGTCGCCTTCTTCAACCCACTAATCATCGGGGGAGGGCCGCACAGCAGAATCTTGACATCACTCGCCGGCTTAGGCAGCAGCTTCTCCACCATCTCTTGCGTGACAAAGCCGACACCTCCGGTCCAGCCCTCAGGCGGGCGATCGAGGACGTAATGGACCCTGATACCCTTGTCCTGAGCTACCAGCGCGTCCAGGTCTTCCTTCAGGAGAATGTCCTGCGCAGTGACGTTGGCGAAAATGAGATCGACCTCGGTGCGGTCGCCCGCGGCGCGGCCCCGGACAATGGCGCGGATGACTTGCAGCATGGGCGTGATGCCGGTACCGCCGGCGATCATGCCAAAGTGACGGACCATGTTGGGGGTGTACACAAAGGCGCCCTTGGGACCCTTGACGCGGATGGTCTGGCCGACTTGCAGCGAGGCCATGTGCTTGGAGATGTTGCCGGTCGGGTAGGACTTGATGAGCAGGTCGAAGTAGCCGGGTTGGTGGTCGCCCGAGATCGGGGTGTAGGAACGCACAATCTCCTTGGTGGAGCCGTCGGGTTGCTCAATGGCGGCGCCGATGGAGATGTGTTGGCCGATGGGCAGGCCGAGGACGGAGTCGGGAGTGGGGAGCTTGAAGCGGTAGCTGTTGCAAAAAGGGGGGGATTGTTAGTTTTCGTTTCTTTTGGTATTTCTTCGAATTTCTGTATGTATCAAGGGGTAGGGCAAAAAAAGTACGTACATGGCGACGTTGTGGGAGATGATGGTCTTCTCTTTGAGCTCGAACTCCTGGAAGACAGCGGGCTTGAGGACCTTCTTGGGGACTGCAACGAGAGGTCGTTAGCGCGTGAATTTTCAGCACCTCGAGATAACGGGGAAAACGTACGCATCCTAAAGTACTTGATGGCACCCAAGATGAGGGCCGCAAGGGCGGCGTAGAGAGTCCATTCCTTCTTGACGATGACGGTGCCGAAGACCAAAAGGCCGGCGGGGATGTAGATCCCGTCAAAGTACTTGCGCTCGAGCAGCGATTCCTCAGACATGGTGCCTGTCTTTGTCCCTTCTTGTCGGTTACCTGAAAAGAAGGATGAAGAAGAAGAGGGAAGAAAAGAAGAAGAAAAGAAGAAGAAGGGGAAGAATGAGGAGGAGGAGGAGGAGGAGGAGGAGGAGGAGGAGGAGGAGGAGGACGGCGAGGTGGGTAAGGCAAGACGAAGAGCTCCTCTTGATAAGAAAAAAAGGGATTCCACTTTCTGCTCTTGTCCAACCACTCCCCAAAAGTACCCGTGAAAGGCCACTTCTTCCTTGACTCGAGCAACGGCAAAAACGCGATGGATTGGAGGCGGGGATCCAACGATCCAATCCACTCGGCTGGGTCAAACAGGGGGTGTGTTTTGAGCCTACGGCACCCGGACCAGGTCCCGTTGTTGAGTGTTGAGGGGTGGGTCGATTCTGCTGCGGGCCAGACCAGTTTCTAGGTGCCTGTGCGTATCGTTGACGGGACGGGACCTGACGGGCTGTGATACAGTAGCGCGGGTGCTACAACAGGTGTGTACCTGCCCTGTGCACCGCTGTAACAACACCCTTGAACCACTGTCAACCGGCGCTCAATTGACTAACATCATCCCGCTGAAGGAAGGCGGTGACCGTCACCCAATGCCGGGGATGTTTTGTTGACATTTCAGGTCCCGTCCCGAAGCCGAGGAAAACCCCCCCGCCTCCGAATCACGGAACGGCAGTCCCACTTCCACGACACCACCTCACTGGGTCACAGGAATCAGCGTCTTAGGCCCGAGATCAGCGAATTATGAAGCCCAAAATGGCCGTTATCTCTCTTCGTAATGTTGTTACCTCTGTTCCCAAGGGGCATCTTCGACGCAATGCGCCTATAACTGCTCTTGTTGTTCATCGTCGCTTCGGCTTTTCACACTCTCTTATTACGTTTGTACAACAAAAAACAAGTCGTACATTCGCTATAACCTCTTGCCCGTGTCACAAGTAAGGAGACAACCTACAATACCTATCACCGCCCAGAAATCCCGAATCCCGCTCCCGCTCACCGAGTGTCCGATCGAGGTGATTTTTTATATTTTTTGGGCCCCGGGCTTTCGTGACTTTGCAAGTTCCCTTGTGAACGGTTCAACTCACAAAAGGATCTCTTAACAAAATCACAAGCCAACCGAAATACCCCAGATCGCCTTTCGATATTCCTACTCTCGGTTGCGAAACCCGGGAAGGAAAGGCTCAGATCATGGGTGACAACGCTCTACTGCCATCCGAGCCGCCGGCAAATGATCCAAACCCGAACCCGGCCCCAGTCACGGTAAAGGAAGAGGAGAACCCTTTCCCTCTTACGGCTGTCGACAAGTGGGTGCTGTCACAGACAGATGAGGAATTCAACTATCACTCATGGGATGAACTGCGCGTTCTTATCCGTAGGGATTTCTCTTTCCTTTCTTTTGATCATCATCGTCGTCGTCGTCTCATTACAATCATCATATCTACACATCCACGCGTTATCGATATTACAAGCCAACCTGCCCGCCCGCTTTGCTTTTTTTGCCCATGTCTCTAACTCTTGAATCTTCATCACTTCCCGAAAATAACAGAAAACAATGACCTCTCCGTCCTCAAACGCAAGCCGTCCGATCTCCGGCGCTATATGAAATGGACAGCCGAGACCAAGGCCTCGTACGGCAGCATGACCAACTACCTCCTCGCCCACCGCCTGCCCAAGACATGGGGCGCACCCCCCTTCACGCCCGTCTCTGACGTCCCCTTTGCCGAATCCTCCGACTACTGCGTCCTGCGGAATGACTGGCCGTACGGCTTCGAACCGGGCATCACCCACTTGGTGGTGTGGACGCGCACCCCTATCGCGGTGGATGATGATCAGGGCGATATGACGCCTGAGAGCCGCAAGATCGTCGGTGATTTCGTGAAGCAGTACTTTGTAGATCGGCTGGGACCAGGTGGTGAGGAAAAAGTGCTGTATTTCAAGAACTGGGTGGCGTTGCAGAGCGTGAGAGCGCTGGAACATGTTCATGTGTTGGTGAAGGATGTTGATCCGGTATTAATCGGGGAGTGGACCAAGGAGCAGGAGTGGCATAAGGCGTAGGTGACCGAGGTCGTAGTTGGCAATGGCGGCGATGTGTGTAGTTGAAAGAAAGTAGAATAGAAGTTTGATAGACAGTGCAAAGCGGCTAGACCACATGCAATAACACTTGAGAGTTTTTCCCACTTTAAGCAGCAGCACGCCTCTGCTTCCTGTTGCCAGCAGGAACAGCACCAGCACCAGCAGCATCGCCGCCGGCGGCGCCCATACCGCCCAATCCAGCCATGGACTTGGCGGCGCCCATCAGGCCAAAGCCCTTGTAGATACCATAAGCAGGGACGACGGTCCAGAAGATCCAGGCCCAGTTGCCGAAAAGGGTGACGAGAATGGCAGCCGCCCAGGTAACCCAAACCACGTCGAACATGTACTCGGTCAGGCCAGGGGCGGCGAGGTCCTCACCGGAGGCCTTGAGCGCCTTGGTGGAGGGATCATAGCTGGGCCGGCCCGTTTTCTCGAGCGTGTACTGGCAGAGGAAGCTCGGGATGGAGAGGGTGAACCAAAACAGAAGGGAGCGCGACCGGAAGAGGAAGTGAGAGAGCAGGAAGATGCCGTTGACGGTGAGGGAACCAATGTGGAGGTTCTTGAGGGTCGTCTCGTTGGACTTGGCCCGGTCCTTGCGCGCTTTTTGAGCCATTGTTCAGGTTGAATGGGTGTTTTGGGTGGTGGGATTGGTGATGGCTAATATTGGCGGAATGTGGTGCCGATAGTATAGTAGCGAGACAGATAAAGTCACGAGCCTACGGTTGTCGCGTGCCTAATTCAGGGTCAAGAGAGAGGAAGCTGCATCTCCGGCCCTCGCACTCCTGTTCCCACACTCAATCGCCTGTGCAGTCTTGGCGGGGTGTGTGCGTGCACACACACATATATACACCGCATTTGACAAATCTGGCCATTTGACATCGCTTTACACGACTTAACTCAATCGTTTGATATCGAAATCTACCCAAAACTAGTGTAAAAAGTCAATATTTTAATACTCTAGATTGTGCAACTATTTATTTTAATATTTATATTATTTTTTGAACCGTTATTAATATAGTACGCTACTCCAATACCCGCTAAAAGGCATTGATAATAATAATACTAGTAAATAATGAGTATCCTAACAACGTCGCCGAAATTACTAATATAAGTGTAAGGAGTACGTAGAAGTATAAACGTACTTTGGCAGATATTAGTAAGGTATTTCTACTATCGCGAACTCTCTAAAATGCTAGAAAGCTTCCTATATAAGCACTTAAAGTATAATATATACTATATTATTCTCTATACTTTATTAATTGCAATTAATATTATAAAGGAAGTTATAAACCTCTTCGTACGAAAATCTGATTTATACTTTAATAAGATCTATACCTTTCTAACTAACAAGTATAACGTATACGTTTCGACCGAGACTATACAATAGTACTTTCAATAGGAGAAGTAGAAGAAGAAGCGACTTTATATAAAAGTATTATAATAATCTCCTATACTAATAATTAAATAAATATTAAAGATCTCTTTATTTATTATAGAAATATTCGTATTTTGTAATAAGTCTAGTATAGATCGAAGGGATAGCGTTCGTTATATTAGTTAGATACTTTATAGCGCTATTATAATAATATTAAATAAGTTTATATATAGTACGTAGTATTACTTCCTCCTAACTATTATAGTAGATAGACTATTTAATATACTAGTATTTAAAGGGGTAACGGATTCAGCTGGGGTTTAGAATTAGATAGTAAAATATTTACTCCCTAAAATAAATTTATTTCCTAGTTGCAATAGTATTTTAGTAATAGATAACGCTAGTTGGCACCCCCGTACTCAATTCTAGTATGTGTACAACTAGAAGGGGGTTTTATTATAGTATTTACTACTGTATTCTCTCGAATTCAACCTTATCGAGGTATATTTTAATGATTTTAAGTGGTAGTTTAAGTAGGTATACTATAATGAAGGCAGTAATAAGGTATTAGACAATAATTTTGCTACGTTCTTTAAGCGATTAATATAGGACGTAAAGTATAGAATATAGTAGATCCGTAGCTATTTCAAAAATATAAAGCTAGTAATAAATCGAATTAATAATATAAATAAAGTTTATAGGGAATTATATACTGACGAATTAATTGAATATAAAGAGACGGGTATTATATTAGAGTAGCAGTAGAGAGTATAGAAGGGAGAAATAGATTTATATATATTAAATTGAGTTATATACTAGAAATATTAAAAATATTAAAAGTATTAGAAATTGTATTTATTTATATAATAATACTAAAATACTAGAAACCCCCCTCTTTCGCTATAAATTAATTTGTAATATTATTATTATTTATTAGGACTATTAGTAGTAGTACTACCTACTATAGAAGCGAAAACTTTAGTAACGCTATACTTGAATATAATATTAAATTAAGGGTTTAGAATATATATTAATTAACTAAATTACAATAATAGGGGTTAGAGGGTATACTTACTATAATTTATTTATATTACTAATACTATATATTTAGTTTTAAGAAAGTTTTTAATACTATCCTTAAATACTATATAAAGGTTATATATAAATTCTAGCCTCGTAAATTACTCTACCAGCTATTCTTTGAATATAAGTATATTAGAAAGCGCTTTTTTATTCTAAAATTTATTCTTTAAAGCGATTAAAATTCTATACACTAGCCTTACCTTAATTAATTTTCTAATATAATAACATTTATAGAACGCTTTAAAGAATTCAGTAATAATTTTTTTAGCCGGTCGATTAAGCAGGGCGGGGGGTAGTAGTAATAAACGAAGATTAAAAATCGAAGGTACGGGCGGACGTAGTATAAATAATTCTTTAGTTACTATTAGGGATTTTCTAGTCTCTTTACCTTTGTCCTCTTCACTTACTACTAATAGCGGTACAATTAATAGTAGTACTCGTAGCTAAATAGAGACTATAATTATTATAAAAATAGGAGGAAGGTTAGTATTAGCGCGCCTAGTAGTAAGAATTTCGCGGTCGGTTGGGTACCTATAGAATACAATAGTAAAGTAATTTAAGGGTGTATATAAATCGATAGTTACTACTTTACCCAATGGAGGGAAAGCGCCTACTATATTATAATTGTAATTGCTTATAATTGCCGAATTAATTATAGAGCCGCCGGCAATATAAGGAGGAAGTAACTAAATTTAGGGAAATTAAAGTAGGGAGGGAAATACTAGTAGGGTAGCGGGTATAATAAATATAGGGGAGGAGGGTATACTTAGTATAGACTTTTAAAATTATTCCTCCTTACTATAATTTATAGTAGACTATTTATAGTCTTTATATTAGTACTATTATTACTATTATTAATATTATTAATAATATTAATATTAACCAGTAGATTATTACCTCCTCCTTTACGTTTATTATTATTATTAGTACTAGAGGCGGCTACTATTTTATTATTTAATATCTCTTATAATAAATTACTAGGCGGGTTAGTTATTATAGCCTTCCCTAGCAAGATTGTACGTACCTACTTACTTATATTTTTAATATTAAGGTTATAATAGGTTGTATTCCCGTCGATAATATAGTATATTTAGTATTTAATAATCTTATTATAATTCTTATACTTATAATTAAAACTATATACCTATACTTGTACTAGCTCCTAGTATATAGTACTATATAGCTTTACCCTTATACGTTCCTTTCGCTACCGGTCTTTCTTTAAAATTCTTTTCGACCTCTACTAATATAGTATTTATTATAATACGCTTAGGCTTCTCAGTACTAATTAGAGTTTATAACCTTCGAGATGATAGTATATTAGCCGTTTATAGGGTAATAAAAGGATTAATTAAACTACGAAAGGGGGTAGGAATAGAGGGTATATTACTATAGGAGGAGAGGGTGGCGGGGATTTTACTAGCGGGCGGCTTAATTAACTAAAATTTAAATAATATAGTAAAATAATATTATTAACTAATATAGTAGAAGTATAATTTTATAATAATCTTATATTTAATATTGTTATACCCATTAAAAAACTCCGTCTTAGAAATAATCTTATTATAAATAATAGCCCGGGCGCAATAGTTATTATAAGCGGTAATAGTATAACTAACGTTATATAAAACGATTAACTATTTTATTTTTACAATCGTATTATTATTAATAATTTCTTATATATAATTTCATTATAATTATTTAATATTCTTAAGTAGGGTCGTCCTAAACCATTATTTATAGAATTCGTTATTATTTTCTTATTTAACTTCTACCTCTCTAAATATACCTCAGTCTTTAATGGGTAGTAGTTTATTGCAACTAGTAGTAATATACGAATTGACTACACTAAATTAGACCTATATCGATTTAGGGTATTTGGGAAGTAATAGTAGTAGTATTAGAACAATCGGTTTATAAATAGCGTAGGGCTAGGCCGGTAGCGTCGAAGTAATTAGTTTAGTTAGGGAGGTTATATTACTATTATTATCTCCCAAAAGATAGAATAAAGTATTGAGAGTCTATTTTTTAGGAGTAAGGCAGACGGGGAATTATTATTCGACTTTATTATTATTATTAGAATTCTCTTTACTACTAAAAATTTTAATAGGTATTGTAGGTTTGGGGGGGGACGATGGCGGCTCTAGCTCTAACTTTAGCTCTAGCATCGGGTCCCTAGTAGTAGGGGCCTTTCTCTTCTTTTTAATAGCGGCCTTCTTAGGAGCAGTTTTAATAGGAGTAGCCTTCTTCTTAGGAGGGGTAATTTTGGGGATAACTTTAATAAATTGCTCGGTTTTACAGTTCTTCTTTTTGGGGCGGGAGGAGGCGCGTTATAGAATTATTAAGCTAGGATCTTCCTTATCTTAATCTTTGTTAAAGTAGACTACTAGCGCGCCGCTTTGAGTATAGGAGCGCTTTACACCAGCGGGTTTTAAATTAAAGATCGTTTTAGGAGGTATTATTACAATAGATTTAATTAATTATTAGTATCTTAATTACTTTATACATTGAAATAGCTTCAAAATAATCTAGAAATTGTTATTAAATGATGAATTTTAATAAAGTTGAATAATATAGAAGTGCGGTGTGTGTGTGTGTGTGTGTGCACGCACG